TAATATTATAAATTAAATGTATAATTACATATTTTTTGATGGATATATGTAATAATAATAACATCATTAGAAAATAGGAGAGACATATAGGAGTAGACATGGTCTGGGTTCAACATTCTACACAGAATATTTGAATTTTATATATGTACGAGTAACTCATTCAATCAAATGCACGAGCTACGGACCCTTGACATACGGATGAACAGACAGCAAAGTGACAGCAATAAAGCTCCATTTTACCCTTCGCAAAGCAAAATTGTAAGATGACTGAATCTTACAATATACTTCACGACTATATATACATATATCCTTAAAATTATAAATGTGATCTAAAACTTGTTTGTTGTTACCTTATAGCGCCGCAACGGCTTAATCATACACTATTAAAAACCATATATATATATATATATATATATATATATATATATATATATATATATATATATATATATATATATATATATATATATATGAAATAAAATGAAATGAATTTATTTTGCTAGAATGTCGGTAGTTGCGATGAAAGAGGTTTGCATTTCCCATATACATTCTGCCTCTATATATATATATATATATATATATATATATATATATATATATATATATATATATATATATGATAAGATATAAAGGAATAAAACATAGGTAAAAGGTACATTTTCCGTTTTGGTCTGTTCAGTGGTAGTGGTAAATATTTCAGTAGATTCACATTTCATATTTTTGGCCTAATCGAACCTGACATTAGGTCTCACCGTCACGTTTACCCTATTAATAATACGCCCTTACCTTTAGCTCATTCCAGCACAGTAAGTAATTATCAAAGAATAAAATACAATACAGTGTGCCTTTTTTAAGATTTAAATACTTTTTTTTAATGGATGATAATGGACCAGTCTGCTGAACTTGAGAGCTTATAATTTTTTTTTATGAAATAAAAATAGAATGAAATCCCCGCCTGCGCTATTAATATGCTCTGGCAGGGTACCAGTGAGTGATGAATGAGGATGAAGCCCGGACAATTGGACGTTGACAGGTGACAATGAATTGTTAACCGTTAACATTAATCACGAGGGGTTCCAGGAGGAGTGGAGGGGCGGGTCGCGTGGAGGTCGATCTGACAGAGTGCAGGATTACTAGAAAGGGGAATAACATCTTTAATTACAACAATCTCTTCCATCCCCTTAGAAGTTTATAATAGAAATAAGCAACAATAATTTCTCAAAAATACAAAGTCATCAATCGTGACATTTCGTCATAGTCGTAGAATACTGACGAATGTATATATGTAATATTTGTCAGAACCGTCAGTATTCTACGACTATGACGATTTTCATGGGACCAACACAGGAATAATAGTTTATAAATGAAAAATAATATAATTATTGAAATTGGATAAGAATTCTCGAAAATATTGAAGAACTGTTAAAATTTTTAACTGTTATTACGAGTATCTTTATCTATTCGAATAATGAAGTACCGCGTTCGTTTATCCCAAAGATTGACTGGTATAGAATGCTACTAACATTAAGTCCGCATTTTGCACCAATTTTTTATTTGGTCAATAGAGTTCTTTAAGCAAATAAATAACTGACATTCAAAAAAGACAGTAAGCTAGTTATTTCTTAAAAAAAGATAGCATTCTTAATACGCCTACCCGCAACCTATAACTTATGGTCAGCGCCGGCTTTAACCTCCGAATGCCATCACGGAAATTTCTGACGGACCACCCGAATTTCATCTTTCTTACTGACCTGTCATTCCACACTAGTATCTTACCAGTGTATGCCGATAGTGGGGGAAAAGAATTGTTACTAATGCGGTATGGCGGCCACATAGCTAGCAGTAGCTAGCTATAAAGTAAGCTGATAAAGTAGTAACTTTATCAGGTCGACCTTCGTGTGGTCCTCCTGGAAACCATGGTGGTTAATTCCTAATGAAATATAACTGGCCAGTGTTCATTCTCACTTGTCACCCATCACTGGTGCCCCGTCAGTGTATAGATACCGACGGTGCAGGCGTGTTTATTATTGCATTTTCTTTATACCACCCTGTTACCACACCGTATACGTTCACTATTGTAATTCATTGATCGATACAAACAATACAGTAATCCTAGTAAGTTCAATCAACTTAGTTAATAAATAACCGACGCGTGACTAAAGGTGTTTACACCAGGGTTACCAGATGCACTTTTTTATTGTTACCCAAATATTTTTCCCAATCCTTTACTTTTCCTTTACTTTTACTCTTGCTTTTTTTTATAACACAGGAGGCAAACGAACATGCGGCTTACCTGATGGTAAATGACTATCGCCACCCATGAGCAGCCGCGACATCAGAAGAATTGCAGGTGTACTTCTCAACCATAAACTTGTGTCGGTTTCTACTACTTTATGACATTTAATCACTGCGCGACAAGGAAACAATTACTACTTCATGATGACCTTCATTGATCATCATCATATCAGCTTTTATCTGTCCTCCGCTGAACATAAGCCTCCCTATAGAGGTGTTTTTTCCAGTAGTCGCCACGCTTGGCACACGGATTGACAACCGCAGATAGGCTTTGGAGATATTTTATGTGGGACGCTGCTACCCATCCCTCGCCCTCCCTTAGTCGCTTCTTACGACCCCCACGGGAAAGGAAGGGTGAGGTTGTTCTATGCCAAGACCACACGGAAACATTCATTACTATATTCTATTGAATGGATGAAGGAATTATCTTCATTATGATATTTAGTTGATTTTTTTAATGTTATACTGTTTACAAATACGAAAACTATCAAAAAATGTACCCATATTTCTCCACGCCTGTTTCATTTTTCTCCAAAATTTCGCGTACACAAACATTTTTACATTAAATTGCGAAAAAAATTATCTGGCAACATTGCATCACATATTGACTCGCACAGCAATCCTCTAGGGTTAGGTTAATCTCCCGGCATTATTAAGCGCATTAAATGGATGAAGTAGAATGTTGCGGATGGGTGTTCATTCGAGTATTACTGCACAAGTTCCAAACGATCTCAGATAAAGTTATATACCAAATTACCAAGACATAAAATTAATTAAAGTTGCTAATTCTAGATTGTACTCAAAGGGTGTCCCGTCTTCGTTATTTGATACGAGCGACGAGACACTCGAAATGAGACGAGAAGATAATAACCCTTAGAGTTAATGGGGTGAAATTGGAATTAAATTGGAGTGTCTGTTCTATTGGTATTCGCCGGCGGGATAGCAAGTGATAACAGATAAGGACAAAACCAAATCGCATAGACTCAACGTGGCTAATTCACTAGAAATTAACCACAATGGTTTCCAGATAGAACCCCATGGAGGTCAGCTTGACAATCTATATTGCTAGCAATTGGGACTAAGCTCGTTGCTAGCTATATACCCTGTCTGGTCAACCTCCACGCGGTTCTTCCTGAAAACTTACGTAGTTAATTCTTATGAAATTCGTTACAATAAGCTAACTGACCCGCTTTCAAACTCACCTATTACCGCACAAGCGGGGTCACCGATCCAATATCATTCTATAAACAGGTGGTCTACCATGAAATGAAATTCCGAAATTTCGGGCTCAATTTCGTGTTTTTGTTCGTATCGAAATAGACCCAGTAAATGGAGCTTAGCATTTCGTTCATAATAAATCCAAGTTTAATAGTCCAAAGGAACGATATTTTAACATTTTTAATAATTTTAAACAGCATGTATTATGTAAATTTAACATCAAATTTCCGGTTCGTTCGTCCCCAAAATTTCGGAAAATACTTCATGGTAGGCCCTCAGACTATCATTCGGATCACTAAGTAAATGACGAATTACATAAAGTGGAATTATGTGTTAAAAAGAGCTTTTATTTGAAGAAGCCAAATTACGGGCTCACTAAACGAATATTTGTTTCTTATTTTTAGCTGAAAAATTCCAATTTATTTATGCTTAATAAGGGAATTTACCTAAAATCGATATGCAAATTGAAGTAAAACTCATTTCCAAACAGATCAACTTAAGCCACTTCATGTTAGGTAGGTACGCGTACAATGAGGTATATTATGTATAATATTATACAAAATATAATATATCATCATTACGTTGTTGCCCGTAAATACATTATTAGAGTCGACGGAGTACATTTTCCTGTTTTAATGAGTAGGACCTCGGAGAATCGACATTAATTACATTCATAACTTTTTTAAATAATAGGTAAACATAAATTTTAAAAATAATAATATTAACAAGTTTTACTTCAAATCTTGAATGATTGTATTCTTATTGTTAACTAACTTTTACATTTCGATTTACACCTAAAAATAGGATATACCCTATTTTTTTAAGTACGTACATTTTCTAAGCCATATAGTACGTGTCATACATACGTTTTACACGTACACAAATTTCATAGTATGTAATTGGTTAGGGCGCTAACAAGTAACCAACGAACTCACTTTCACATTTATAATATTAGTAAGTATTATTGGCAATGTGGAATTATGAACATTCAAATACTGACGAATGTAGGGTAGTAAATGGTCTTAGAGGTATGTCAATGTAACATTTTACCACAAAAAAAAAGACATTGACCAATCAAAACCAAAATCTTAGTGTTAGTTCCCGTCTCTTTTATGAATACATGAACTTACGAATACCTACTGCTGCAATTTATTTGTATTTTAATTGTATTTAAATTGACGGTAAATCTTCAGAAAAAGGGAAAGCAGTTAAAAAAAAAAAATAGATGAAGCAAGTCGCGAATGGATTGCTGAATTATTCAATCGTGTTAGTATTCCATCTAACGGTATCTAAGTTCTTTATTTTGTGCTACTATGCTCAAAAAGAAATGAAAAATAAAGGATAAATCCAAAAGAAATTTAGATGGACATATGGACATCTTTGAAATAATATAAGTTCAAACGCATCATATTTAAGAATAATCTATGAATACATCCATAAGAATGACAGTTGCTTGACAAATGTCAGTACAAGACCGCCCTCTGTCAACTAGATTATGAAACACAAACGTAATGGTGATCGCCGTGATTTGTAGTAAACTTGACTGAATCTTTTTAATTTTATTTGTATTTTCTAATTAATTAATATTGCTCCTATAATTTAGTACTGTGGCTACGGCCATATCATGCTTTCTTATGTCGGCATTAGCTAAAACTTCAATTTTAACCGAAGAGGGTGGAAATCAGTGCAGAAAACGTTCTCTTCCATCCAGTGAACAGTGCAATAAAAGATCAAAAACCGACGATATGAGTGCCAACGAGAAGAAATCAAACTTTTCATTGTTAAATCCAAACAATGGGACAATTAAAACGAATACGTCGTCTATGAATAAGCCAGGGGCAGCTACTAAGAAACTTATTATAAAAAATTTCAAAAGTGTGTTTACGATTTATTTTTGTCATCATGTCATAACCTTAATTTTGTATGGTGCTATGTAAATTGTTCACAATATGTTGTAGGCAAACCAAATCTACCGGAGAACTATCAGGAGACGACATGGAGCAAATTACGCGAAGCTGTGATTGCTATACAGACGTCGAAGGCGATAGCCTATTCCTTGGAGGAACTGTACCAAGCGGTTGAAAATATGTGCAGTCATAAGGTAAATATTCTAGTAATCCAAGCAAAACAAATATGTCTACTCTATTTCAAGTTTTAAATCACTTTACACCAGAACATCTTAAAATTTAGTCTGAATTGATCATTTATATAATGATTATAACAAGTTTATTTGGTTTTAAATATTTAATAATTACTACATCCACATATATTGCAAGTATTTCAAGAAATTAGTGTATACAAATTTATAAGAGTTAAGTTTCTATTGAAAATAATTCTGTTATTGTACTTTTTTAAATTTGTTGTTCTGATAGCAGACTTAAAATTATAATAATTCAGTTGAGTAAATTTGTTTAAGATAAGTCAGTGCATATAAAGAGATCCTTAGAGTTGTATCATTTGACAAAAGTTTTATTAGTCTGCCATTTAATGATGTATTTTTCTTTTAAGTAGAGTGATTCATTCAACAATTCAATTTCATAGTAAATTATGACACTTCTTGGAATTTATGTCATTTAAGAATTTTTTTTAAATATTGGATATTTTTAAAAAATTATATAAATCCAAAAATAATGACAAATTTGTATTTCTTTATTCATTTCTAGATGGCATCTCAACTGTATGTGAACTTAACAAATTTAGTAGAAGCCCATGTGAAGGCTAATATAGAACAATTCCTGTCGGAGAGCATGGACCGGCAAGTATTCCTGAAGAGGATGGATGACTGCTGGCGTGCACACTGCCGACAGATGATCATGATACGCAGCATCTTCCTCTATTTGGATCGCACTTACGTCCTGCAAAACCCTAGTATACATTCAATATGGTATGAATTTATAATATACATGTTTTTACCCACAACTTCAATTGCATGACTAAGATTAGTAGTAGTAAACTTAATAAGGATTGGTTAAGATGCTGAAAGGTAATAGATAAGCTCACTTTTTCAAAAAAGCAACATTCTTTATATTTTATTTATTCTACTTAGCTTAATAAAAGAATCAAGTAAAAATATTTTCCAGATGGTAAGTATTTTTATACTCCTTTTTTCCCTATAAGCAACATTTTCCAATAAGAATTTTTTATTGAAATTGGTTCAAATAAGTTACTTATATAGAGTGTTCGCTGTATTGGCTGCTACTTCATACATCTGTATATCAGAAGTAGGAAAACAAATCAAATAGACTACTTCTGTAATCCATACCAACATGTCTTTTAACCCAGATTTTAAGTTAGACCTTCAGGAACATAACTGTGAAACTAGACTCAATTTGATGTAGTAGCTTTTGCATAATATAAGAGCAAACATACAGAAAGACAATTTTTTTTTTAAATATTGTTTTAACCTCTATTGATCTTATAGTCCCCACATATATCGTCATAGTCATAGAATACTGACGGACCTATATATGTAATATTTGTCAGACCCGTCATTATTCTACGAATATGATGATATATTTGTCTTGAATATCATATTTTATTATTATGTCACTGGTACATATTGATTGATCAGAATATAATGACTGTTTACCACATGCTTATGAAAACAACTCGTCTGAGATGTTGCGCACTAACTCAAATAATAGTTACATGATAGTAGTATAGATGATAAACAGACTAAAAAGGTTCATGTATCCAGTGTAGCTTGTGTTTGACATTTGGCTCTCTGCCTATCCAGTAGGGTTCTGTAATATGTGACAAAAACTAACTTGCGTTCTTCTCCATCTCAAATAGTACACATATACCAAATTTCAAAGTGATTGGTTAAATCGCTAAGAGGTAACTAAGTCACTTTCACATTTATAATATTAATAAGGACGAGATAAATAAGTTACAAAATATACACATTCAAATCATTAATAAATATTCATTTTGTGTCTTAAATATAATTACTAAATAAGAAAAAATCTTTGCAAATTTTTTACTTTATAAGTGTTAAATTGTTTATTTTACAAAACTACATAGTCTGAAACATAACTACATAAACTATATGTAAATAATAATAGCCCTAATATGTTTTCTTTTTTTTATACAACTTAGAATGGCAATCAAGCTGTCGGCCCACCTGATCAAAAGTGGTAACTGTCTCCTATAGACATGAGCGGTACCATGGGCATAACAGAGTATACTGATTTGCCCATGATATTCCCCACGCGTTGCCATTCCTGAGGACACAGGTGTTATTCCTCTGTACCCTGTAAATTGAATTTAGTTTGTAATATGTAAGTGTTCCAAGAAACTGGTGGTTTTTTTTTATAGATAAGAAAGTAGTTAGCTTTTAAAAACCTAAAGTGCAATTACAGTGTTTAGAATCTCTATAATTATTTATTCCAGGGACATGGGTCTAGATTTATTCCGGCATCATATAGCTATGAATACACTAGTTCAAACGCGCACAGTGGATGGACTGCTGCTACTAATAGAGAGGGAACGAGGAGGAGACGCAGTGGACATCTCATTGCTGAAGAGCCTCTTACGCATGCTCTCTGATTTACAAATATATCAGAAAGCATTTGAAAATAAGTATGTCATAAAAATTTACATAATGAAATTTCATGTTTTTTTATATAGATAGATAGATAATTTATTTACATTACTTACAGCACACAAATTACAATACAAACATACTCATAATACACAGTAAAAGAGATAAAAGAATGAAAAATAAAAAAGCAACAAAAACTAAAAAAAAAACTAAAATATCCTCACAATTTTATTTGTTTTAAAATATAGGTAATCACTTTTAATAGAAAAAAATATATTTTTAACTTTTATGTCCTTTATGTTTTTATTGTAGAATTATAACTTAGGATTATGTAGTAATATCTTATCTCTGGCATATGGGGTCAGCTAAGCAAATGCACGTCGACCCATACGGATCTTGTGTGCTTCCTCCTGCCTTATACCATCATTTCATAGATCCTATGTGTTACCCGTTACCCTAACGATATCCCGCGGTTTAAGATATCTGTAGTCCCCTGAGTCTGGATAAGCCGTTCCCAATAGACTTGCAAACGAATCGCAGTTGCACATCAAGTGTTCCATGGATTCCGATTTATGTAGTAATAACTTAGGAAACGATTTAGTATTTTTTTTTTCAATGGAATGAAAATGAAATAGCGGGGTGTCAGTGAGTGATGATAAGGGAAGATAAAATCAAGCCAATGTGAAGAATTAAACACGATGGCTTGGTGACTGCATAGAGGTTGACCAGATAGAATATATTGGTAGTGATGGGAACATTACTGCTTTTTATTAACAGTTCCTTTCCCATCTTGATAATCCATCAATGTTCCACTACTGAGCATGTACTATAATGTTAGCCAGGTGACTTTAATTTAGTTTTTTGTCTCTTGCACTAGAGTAGAACAATATAACCATCTCAAATATCATCATTCACTTTCCCCAGATACAATTACTGATGTTGTGTATTGCTTGATGCTCTACAGGTTCCTGCAAGCAACCGAGCGATTGTACGCGGCGGAGGGCCAACGCCTGATGCGCGAGCTAGCCGTCCCCCAGTACTTGGCTCATGTAGAGAAGCGATTACGGGAAGAAAACGAGCGTCTACTGCATTATCTCGACCCTTCAACCAAGTGAGTGTTCATATATTTGCACCCTAATAATATTATTATTATACTTTTCCTCCCCTTTTTTTTGCAACTTAGAATGGCAAACAAGTTGACGCCCCATCTGACGGGTACTGTGTCCCCAAAATACCCTTCATTCGTTGCCATTCTTGGGGACTAATATGTTATGCTTCTGTACTATATAATTTCATTGCCATATTTCATTCTTCTAACCGAAACACAGCCATGTAAACAACTGCTTCATGGCAAAAACATGAATTGAACAGAGGTATCCAAACAGATGACTTTTGTACAAACTTTCCCTCTGGTAAAATCTTTGTATACAGCCAGTACTATTTGGGACAACGTAAAAATACTAGCAATACCCCATACATTCAAATCTGTTCTGGCATGTAGAAGCTATGTTGAAATAAACTCGCATACATACATTAACACTAAAAACATTACACTCCCTTTTTGGCCAGGTGTGTAAAAAAAATTATTTGCTTATTTATTTCACAATTGGCAATCTTACATTCACTAAACTATTTCTGTAGTTCATTAATCGAAAATCGAATACGGGTGAATGATACCTGAAACTTACAAGTTCATGTCGATAATGGTACAAAAATAATACAAATTAACGATAATATAAACAAGGTTATCACTTGTTTATTTGTCATTAACATACAATTACAATATTGACAAACATATAGAAAAACTGCGTTATTTCCTTAAGTTTGATATCAGTAGTTTATCTATTTTTTACGTTTTATTGTGATGTTAGACTTTTCATAAGTCTGAAGATACGTACCTCGAAATGTAACTAAAAGTATTAAACTTTAAAATTATTTTTTTTTATTTTTCAATAATAATAATTCTACACATTTCGCCTTATCTAAAGGCATGTAAATTTTTGTCTTAGTACGTATTAATAATTACTAAGTGGCTTAAATTTCGTCATAGTCGTAGAATACTGACGTATCTGACAAAGATTACATATATAGGTCCGTCAGTATTCTACGACTATGGCGATTTTTCAGGTATAGAGTAATTATATAAATCCAAGTAGTTATTTTAAATACATTAATACATCATCTTCTTACCCTTATCTCAATTATTTGGGTTCGACGTAATGTGATTATCCATATTACAAAAAGATTTGGCTTATATTTTTACGACCGGCCTCCTTTCTGATGTCAAACCTCTTTGGGAATGCATTTGTTGGTAGTTTCCGCCGCCTACGATATGGAGGGAAGGATTGAGGAAAAAAGAGGAAGAGAACGTTGGAAATGCGTAAAGGAAATTGGTAAATGAGAGGAATAAGAGACTTATGTGGGAAAGAAAAGAGTGGGGGGGGAGGATACTGCAGTTGCGGAAAGGACTGCGATACTGCAGTGGCTCGTGAAGCCCGAATCTCATACCCGTATGCCTTTAATCTAGAATCGGACAGATTTCTAGAGAAGAACACCCCTGACGCCTAAATACATTAATACATAATCATTATTACATTTAATTGGTTAATTGTATAGAATTAAAAATATAAAATTATATAGGAAGATTGAATGTTTGAATAGAGATTGGATTACATGTTTATTTTTTAAATTATGATCCTTCTTATATATTTATAATTTTAGAAATTTAGAAACTTACTATAATTACTTACTATACTTACTTTTAGAAATGTAAATCATAAAAATTCTTTTTTTTTTTAATGGGTGATAATGAAATAGCAGCCCCGCCTGCGCTATCACCTGGATGGCGAGGAGAGATGAAAGTATATCAATTAGCCCATCGTGAAGAATTTCACGAGAATTAACCACAATGGTTTTCAGGGGAACCGCGTGGAGGTCAACCTGATAGGATGCATTACTAGCAATGGTGTTGTTAGACCCATTACTAACAATCCCTTTCCTTCCTAAAAAGTTTATTATATCTAATTATCATAATATTGTTACAGATGGCAATTAATTCACACAGTAGAACGACAATTACTTAGTGAACACCTGTCTGGTATCCTGAGCAAAGGTTTGGAGACTCTGATGGACGGTCCAAGGTTGTCTGACCTCACCACACTGTATAATTTGTTCAGCCGAGTCAAGGATGGCCTTAATGAACTCTGTAATCACTTCAATGCTTATATTAAGGTAACAAATTCTTATTACACTCTTACATATAAGAACCTCAAAAATATAAATATTTTATAAGAACAAATATGCTAAATGTAATCTCTGATGGGGTGTTCAGAACCATTAGTTAACTGCTATTTTGGTGAAGGTAATACTTGGCATACTCTCATTATGTGAATTATATTACAGTCTGTTGTAATCGAGGGAGCAAGTGCAATACGCCATCACTCGGTTTAATTTGTTATCAATGTTTTATTAGGCGGAAATATTAATAAAGTTTCTGACTAACTGTCTATCTCATCAAGAGTTAGTTATTGAGTCTAACTGCCCATTACTAGCAATATACCCTATCAGGTCAACATTCACTGTTCCCCCTTGAAATCATCGTGGTTAATAATTGTTGATTCTGTCACATTGTGCTTAACATTCCTTATTGGTGCCCCGCTTCATTCGAATTTCATTCAAATTTGATCCATCCTGTCAAAGCCAAAATCAATCTGGGAAAGCTCTAGACTAACCTTTGTTTTAGCATGGTGTACAATAAGGATCAAATTTCCATAATAAAATTAGTTATGAAAATGGACGAAGAAGAGATGTTTATACTTTCTATTTTTATAAAGAGCCTGACGTGAAGTTAGATATGAAAGGTAGTAATATTAATAGGAAATTTTTTACAGAAAAAAGGTCGCACGATAGTAATAGAGCCAGAGCGCGACAAGACGATGGTGGCGGAGCTATTAGAATTCAAGGAGCAATTAGACCACATAGTGAACACGTGCTTCCAGAGGAACGACAAGTTCCTCTACTCCATGAGGGAAGCCTTCGAGTTCTTCATCAACCAGCGGCAGAATAAACCTGCTGAGCTTATTGGTAATTGTTTTTTTACATACCGTAAAGTTTACATAACTGTAAATCTGCTAGAGCTTTACTTTCAGGTGATTAAATTTTGAATTGCTTATCATTAAACACTTGATTGATTGTGTGTCTAGTCAAAAGATACAAACGCTGCGAGAAACTGTTTAAATTAATTGTAAAATAGTTTAAGCACATTGCTGCAAAATCAAAAGTAAAGTTATACCAACTTGGCTAAATAATCCGATGTATAGTTTTATTGCACTTTTTCTTTCACAATTCTAATTCAAAATCAGGCAAATTTTATCATCATAATTATCATCATATCAGCCTTAACTTGTCCATTGCTGAACTTAAGCCTCCAGGGTTGCCAGTAGTTGCCATGCTTAGCAGACGTATTGGCAAACGCAGTTATGTTTTAAGAGGGATGCTGCTGCCCATCCCTCGCTCTCCCTTAGTCCTCTTATGACATCCACAGGAAAGAAAAGAGCCTAGTCTATGCCTGGACTACACAGCACATGTTATATTCTTTATTAATTTATATAGCCAAATTCGTCGACGTGAAACTTCGCGCCGGCAACAAAGAAGCGACTGAAGAAGAATTAGAGCGACTACTAGACAAAATAATGGTACTTTTCCGATTTATCCACGGCAAGGATGTGTTCGAAGCGTTTTATAAGAAGGATCTCGCTAAAAGGTTACTGGTTGGCAAGTCAGCTTCGGTGGACGCTGAGAAGTCGATGTTGAGTAAGCTAAAACAGGAGTGCGGCGGGGGATTCACTTGTAAACTAGAAGGCATGTTTAAAGATATGGAGCTGTCGAAGGATATCAATATTACTTACAAGCAGGTATGTGTAAAATATTTTTATTATTTTAAATAAGAAATTTAGTTTATTAATTTTACTACAGGATACAAAGGTACCTTTGTACCTCCATTGTCGCTAAACTGAGAATTAATTTATTGAAATACCATAGGGAGACTTTGTACAAAAGTCGATTGCTTGGGTACCTCTGTCCCATTCGTGTTTCAACCGTGAAGCTGTTGTGTTTACATGGCCGTGTTTCGGTTTGAAGGGTGGGATATGGCGTGAATTTATAGGGTACAGAGGAATAACATCTGAGTCCTGAAAAATGGTAATGCATGGAGAGTATCATGGGCGAAACAGTATACTCTGTTATGTCCATGGTACTGGTCATGTTTATAGGCAACGGTTACCACTTTCCATCAGGTGGGCCGTCAGCTTGTTTGCCATTCTAAGTTGCATAAAAAAAAAAAGAAAAAAAATATTATTCAATACAATGGCATATAAAATTTGACCATCTATTTGATGGAAAATGGTGCCTGTAGCCTATATGTGTTATGCTATGTATGGTGCTGTCTATATCAATATAGGTTGTATTGATATGATCAGATTAATTTCCAAGAAGAGCTAGACTTGATAGCGCCCCTCTATATAAACATGTTACATTCTCTGGCCACAGCACTTGACGGCGATGAAGGAGGGCGGCGGACTAGAACTATCGGTGTACATCCTAACGATGGGCTTCTGGCCGACATACGCGCCGGTGGAGGTGCGGCTGCCGATCGAGCTGACACGCCACCAGGATCACTTCACTAAGTTCTACCTCGCCAAGCACTCGGGCCGCAAGCTGCAGTGGCAGGCCACGCTCGGACACTGTGTGCTGCGCGCCAACTTCACACAGGTACTACCTACCTACTTTATTTATTTATTGACTCTTTCATAAATACATATTACTACATCTATCTATTAAAGTTTGTTATGATCTCCCTAGCGATGATGTTATCACTGGAGTTTGATTTATCTTAATTATAAAGCTTCGATATGGTATATAATAATAATAATAATTCTTTATTTGGAACAAAAACATTGGTTACAATATTATTGAAAAACGATGATATCCGCAGAAGTATGTATTTCGTGTCATCCAAATTTGACCTTTGCGGTCTATAAATGAAGTACACCTTGAAATATGTAAATAAATAGATAGATATTCTTTATTATTTTCTCCATAAGATTACAATAGTAAACTTTATAATAAGTTATAGATACAAATTTTTACAAGAAAATATTACACTAAGAAAACAATGGGCGGCCTTATCGCTAAGAGCAATCTCTTCCAGGCAACCTTTGGATGGAAATAATCCTAGTCATATGACACTCGTTTCAGGGTAACAAAGAGCTGCAAGTGTCGCTGTTTCAAGCGCTTGTTCTGCTGCTGTTCAACGATGGAGACAACCTCTCTTTTGAAGAAATCAAGACTGCCACCAACATAGAGGTATACTAAGCATAAGATGAGATTTATATCATTAGCCTCGATTAGGAGATTGTGCTACCTATGAATATTTACCCAAAGAAGCTTCGCTAGCAATTAGAGTTCCTGAAAGGAATATTTACGATTTCCGTTTCACCCTATCTGTAGGGCAAATAGATTATAATCTAACACATTAAAAAATAATTAACCAACATAACCCATGAGTTTTGTTATTAATAGGGTCTAACTATTCTTGTTAGCAATATACCTTATCAGGTCGACCTTTACGCAATTCCCCCTGGAAATTAACGTGCTTAATGAAATGAATTTTTTTTGCTAGAATGTAGGTAATATTGTTTAATATGACAAATTGTCACAATGGGCCAACAAACCTGCACTCATCTTCACCTATCATCTCTCACCAGTGTATACCGAGAACGCAGATGGGCTTAGTATTTTATTTTCACTCATTAAAAAAACTAAACTAACTTCATCCGCATCGTTTTATTCTCCACTAGTAACCTGTGAGCGTGTACCGACAGCGTAGACAGAGGGTTACCATTCCATATTCATCCTAAAAAGAGAAACTATAGTATGTGAAGAATCAGGTGGACCGTCAGCTTGTTTGCCATTCTAAATTGTATAAAAAAATAAATAGATTGGTTTGGTCGGCAGGAGGGCGAGCTGCGTCGCACCCTGCAGTCGCTGGCGTGTGGCAAGGCGCGCGTGCTGACCAAGGCGCCGCGCGGCCGCGAGGTCGACGACACCGACCACTTCTCCTTCAACGCGGACTTCACCAACAAGCTGTTCCGCATTAAAATCAACCAGATACAGATGAAGGAGACGGTATGATAGCTTTATTTTATAACTAACTATATAGTTTTGCTTGTGCATACCAGTGTTTAAAGTTTAATTGAGATATAATCTACCCATGTACCACCAAGTTTCATTCAAATTATTGTGTCATATCTATGTTTATGTGTGCGTAATCAAATATTGCGGGTTGATTGACACGACGAGGTTGGCAGAAACATTGGCAGTCTTTTTGCTTGGGTACCTCTGTTCCATTCATGTTTCAACCGTAAAGCAGTTGTATTTGCATGGCTGTGTTTCGGTTTGAAGGGTGGGATATGGCGTGAATTTACAGGGTACAGAAGAATAACACCTGAGCCCTCAGGAATGGTAACGCGTAGAGGGTATCATGGGCGAAACATGAAATAAATGTACCGGCGTTACCTGACGCGTTATTCAGCGCACTCATCACCCCCTTTATAAACATAATGGCAATGCATGGGGGGTATCATGGGCGAAACAGTATACTCTGTTATGTCCATGGTACTGCTCATGTCTATAGGCGACGGTTACCACTTTTCATCAAGTGAGCCGTCAGCTTGTTTGCCATTCTAAGTTGTATAAAAAAAGACATATTTCAAGTAACTTGTGATTGAATTTCGACTAAGTTATAATTGATAATATTAACAAATAAAAATTATTTTATATACTAAATACAAATATAGGACATTAGGATAAAAATAGTGGGGCGAATTATTAATCTAGTGTGTACAGTACTAAATTAACAATTATTAAAGTTCTTAGTAAACAAACAATTACCTTACTGCACTACATACATAAACATAGATATAACTCTATACAAATCAATTGAACTATTTAAGCATTATTGAATAACAAACATCTTTACAAATTTTGAAATGTATAATATTAATAATATACTTATTATTATGAATGCCACATAAACACACCAATTGCCTTGTTTTCAAACTAGGATACCCTGTGTTATGATAACTAGACAACAAGCGTTCGAGGGCGCAACCCATAAGCTTTGTTACTCTTATCTAACTACCAAAGAAAAGGGGGTATTAATATATGAATACAATACTTATTAAGCCAATAACTGATAAAATATTCTTTATATAATCTATAGAGTGAAGAACAGAAGGCGACCGAGGAGCGCGTCTTCCAAGACAGACAGTACCAGATCGATGCGGCCATAGTGCGTGTCATGAAGATGCGGAAAGCGCTCTCTCACAACCTGCTCATCTCTGAACTGTACAACCAACTCAAGTTCCCTGTTAAGGTAACCAGATTTTTTTATAAGTTTAAAATTAGGTAATTGAAAAAAAAATATCCATATTCAATTGGCCTAGTTTCTAGAATCTATGTGCTTTAAATCATTTTTCAAATTATTTATACTTTTGATTTTTTTTATCATAGTGTTAAAGGAACATTTTTCACAAATTCTTGCCCATCTTACGACCATTATATTTCCTTAATCGCCTTTTATAACACTTAATTTAAGCAATTGAATAATCATTCATATTATATCCATTCAGAGCAAGTTAGACAATGTTAATAAACTTTAACAAAAAAACTATTACAGCCGGCCGACCTCAAGAAACGCATCGAGTCGCTGATCGATCGAGATTACATGGAACGGGACAAGGACAACCCCAACCAGTACAACTACGTGGCATAATCGCGGCGTCCGCGAGTGCACACCCCCGCAGGCGTAGCCGCTCGCCTCCGCCCGCTTCCGTTCGCATCCGTTCGCGTCCGTTCACCTCCGTACGAATCTGAATCCGGTGCGAAAATTTACTACATTTGGAGTGAGATGTAGCGGGCGGCTAGACATGTATAAAAGACGGTTATGTGAATGAAACTACCTTATAGTTGTGTGGAACAAATAAATATTTATCTTAAACAGATTGTTGCAAGAGAAATGTAATGTGAGAAAACTGGAAACAGAATAGACAAACAGTTAACATTCAAGTGTTTATTTTAAATAAAAAGAAAATTATATAGTCAATCAAAAATTATCGGCAGATGTAAGAGGCTACGCTTGTCCCCATATTGTCTCTAAATACGTATCATTTCTTTTCAATCTACAAGTGTACCTTACTGTTAAAGGAGTCCAACCGCTGAATTTATTTAAAAGGGCTACAAGTTCTTTATTGAATAAATAAAGAGGTTTAACATCAATAAAACCGCTATTATGTTGATTTATATATGTAAATATCATACGAACTCATAAAGAAATTATATATGAGTGACACATATAGTCTCCAAATTTAGGAAATAACATTATTTCTGTTTAGATTGTGTATCTGCATCAAAAACCATTCAGTTTATGTCCCCTAAAAAGCTACGATGAAGTACACTGAGCCTTGTAACAAAAAAATGTACAGATTTATTGGCCAAATTTAAATAAAGCACAGGATTTACATTTCTACTAATATTGCATAATTTATCCAAATATTAAAAAGTGCTGAAAAAGTGGAATATTCAACCAAAACATGTTTCTAAGAGTCTGATGAAAAACTTTTATGCTGGTATGCTGAAACCGTAGATTCAGATGGGCTAAAACAAATTAAATAGATAACATTTTTACTCAAGAATTTAGTAAAGTTAAAACCAAAGTGTGTAGAACATTCAAACTAGATCCTCGAATTAATTTATCTACATATATCCTATAGAAATGTCTAGAAACAACGCTGCACATTCGGAATCTGGTTCCATTATAAATATAATTAAATAAGTATAATTACAGCTTGGAAACATAACGTGTGATATTAGACAATGGATCATCCTCCGATAGAACGGACTCGCTCATTTGTAGTGTTGCTTTAGATTTTGTGTAGATACATTGATTTTTAGTTATGTAAGAACATGCATAGAAGCTTATGTCCTTGATGTTTCACATTTTTATATATTAATTATATTTTAAATATCGAATTTGCGTCTATCAGAGCTCATTCTTGATTTATGGATTGTGAATGGTACCAATACACATGCTTAATTATAAAGATTTTTACAAAAAAAAAAAAACAAACACCTTCAATTGCGACCAGTTAATTTGGTCTAAAAAACCAAGTTACTGAACCGATTTTGATAACATTTTTATGAAACCAAGCTATATCTTTTCAGATAAAAAAAAATCCCAAATCGGTTTACAATTTGCTAAGAGGTAACGTAACATTAAAAAATAATGCAACCGAATTAAGATCCTATTTTTTTTATAATTGAAAATATATAAATATCATAAATTATACCTACATTTGTAATATTTTACTTACATAATACTATTTCTACCTTCTTACCTCTTACTTCGTCGTACCTATTTTACCTCCACCAAGCTTTTCATTTCCAGAGTGAAATTACATCTGTTTTTGAAGGCTGAGAATAAATGTGTCATCATCACGGTATATATATATCAGATATATATATATATATATATATATATATATATATATATATATATATATATATATATATATATATATATATATATATATATATATATATATATATATATATACATTTAGTCGCTATTATTAACGGGTAGAGGGATGCCAATAATAGTGGGTACATAATGTATGAATTAGTAATTTCAGCCAATATTTGAAGAGCATGAGATAGGTTTTATGGGTCGGTATACGCGAGTGATACCTTACCCCATCACAAATTAATGCTTATGCACAAGTATGCTTGGTTTCAAAATAAAGTTACATTTGTTATCAGCATTAAACATGTGTATTGGCGGCATAATTGTGGAATGTGTATTATATGAGTAATATATTTCTATTTGTACATTTTGTATCTTTTTTTTTTTTTATACAAGAGTGTGTTTACTCGAGACCACAGTCTACAAATTGTTTTGCATAGTTCATATTATGTTGCTTTTTAGTTCACGTTTTGTCTACACAACTAGTGCCCAAGTTAGATTTCCATCGAGTTACGTCAAAATGGAGGGATCGCTGAATAAATACTATTTATAATTTTCACTCGTTGTTTTATTCGACTTGTCAATATAATAAAATTAATAATAAACAGAAAATAAAAGCAATAAAATAAATAACATTATTCATATATGCACAATGGTATACTATTGTTAAGTCTCGTCAGTACACATTATATTTTTATGAAATAACTACCGGTTTATTAAAAAAAAAACTTACGAAATTAGATCGAAAAAGGTCGACTAGTTTCGGTATCAATTCATGATCCTTAGTCATGAGCGACAGTGACACGTGTGTGTCAATCAGGCTCGTGCTCGCGTCACAGTCGCTCATGAAGAAGGATCACAAAATAAAACCGAAACTAGCTGAGCGTTTTCAATCTAATTACACGCAAATTAAACCAGTAGTTATTACATTAAAATTGTATTCTATGAATGGAAGATTTACATATTGGAATAATATTTACCTGGAATGGATTTTCCAATCGTTATTTTTATTATTTTATTCACGCATATGTTAACATTGAAGTAAAGAGAGACTACAGAACACCAGCTGTCACAAAAAGAAATACATAAACAATCTAATTAAAAAAAGTCATAATAAAACTCTAAAAGACACTAATCGCAAAGTAAAGACCTAATATATCTATGCATACTATTATATTGACGAAATAGGAACAAGGCGGTATAAGTCTGACACAATTAAAATAGCAGTAGTAACAACATATTGAGCACAAATATTACATACTAGCGGCCCGTCCCGGCGTCGCACGGGTGGACATTTTTACATTTTAAAAAGTGGCCATTACGGCTGCACACGCAACGGAAGCTTAAATATGGAGTAACTTCTACCGTTTTCCCAACATTTCCCTTCATTGCTCTGTTCCTATTGATCGTATCGTGATGAAAAGTATACTATAACCCGCCCAGGAGTATGAAAAATAATTATACCAAGTTTCATTAAAATCCGTCGAGTAGTTTTTGTTTCTATAACAAACATACAGACAGACAGACAAAAATTTTACTGAATGCATTTTTGGCATCAGTATCGATCACTAATCACCCCCCGATAGTTATTTTGAAAATATATTCCATGTACAGAATTGACCTCTCTACAGATTTACTATAAGTATAGATTACTTAAATCCACTTAATATAGTTAAAAATTTGTAGAGTCTTCAAAACATAAGATATCCGATTCTATATCTACTAGCACTAGCAGTTGGCTGCTCTACAAAAAGCACCTTAGTGTCTCTGTCACTAATATATCTACAATATATACACAGATCTGAGTATATCACATCATCTGTTTACTTGTCAGTCATCTTGAACACTGTGTCAAGATGGTCCTTGTGGTAATCCAGCTCCTCTGCCAGCGCGTTGGCTAATGTGGTCGGTGTGATCTCTGTGTCTAGGTAGTCGCGTAATAACACCTGTATGGAACATGATTATGGTTTAGTTCTTTTTTGTACAATAAAGAGCTATCTTTTTAGATGTGTATCATACCATATATATACATGGTATGACAAATACTTAAGAAGATACACCTCAGACATATAATTTCTTATTTCCTCATAAAGAGACTATTGTTATAAGTGTATTCTCTGATAAAATTCATATCTATAAATGACGTTATTTCTATTCTAAGTGGTATAAAAAAAGATATTGGCATTTTGTTACATTTACAAAAGGTACAGAAACAGAGGCTTTTAATGTATTAACTCGACCCTTTTAATGTGTTAGTCCCTTAGGCGAAAGTAAAACGGTTATATATACACTGTGTGATTAAGTCATATACTTTTATAGTTTAATAAATTATAATTTTCAAAGCTGCAAATAGAAAAAAAACAGCGAAGGAATTAATGCACACAGCTATAATATAAGTATGCAATTAGTTCCTTTGCCGTTGTAGCGACATAAAAATACAAGGTGAGTGACCTTTGGCGGCACGGCGCCGCCGTGTCGCAGTACGCCGGCCCGCAGCGCATCGCCAGCGGTGCGAGACAGCGGCGAGGGTTCGAAGTGCCGCTTCCAAATGCTCCACGCGACCGCGCGCGATATCAGGTACGAGTAGTACTTCGCGCCGTAGCCGATCAGGTGGCTGAAGCGGTGTTGCCATGCCTGTAATAAATCATTGTAAAATTTTACATAAAACAATTTTTTACATGATTTATTCTGTGGTTAATTTCCAAACACTATGCAAAAATAAAAAGGATGTGTAAATAAAATCCTTCTAATGACGAAAGTCAAAGGGAACATAATTTATAAATTATTAGATAATTAACTACTGAATTTAAAAATAACTAAACCAAACTCATTAACTATTAGAATATAAGTTTGTATCTAATATTTATTACGTCACAACGAAAAAAAGCTATAAGCATTTTAACTGAATTCCAGAGGGAGACTTTATACAAAAGTCGATTGCTTGGGTACCTCTGCCCCATTCGTGTTTCTACCGTGTAGCAATTGTGTTTGCATGGCTGTGTTTCGGTTTGAAGGGTGGGATATGGTGTGAATTTACAGGGTACAGAGGAATAACATCTGAGTCCTCAGGAATGGCAACGCATGGGGGGTATCATGGGCGAAACAGTATACTCTGTTATGTCCATGGTACTGCTCATATCTATAGGCGACGGTTACCACTTTACATCAGGTGGACCGTCAGCTTGTTTGCCATTCTAAGTTGTATAAAAAAAAAAAACCATTATTTTAGTTCACTATACTGAGCGTTTTTTAAATAATCCTGTTAAAAAATTGTTTTTAATTTGAACGTTATTTATTCTAAAAATTAACATAACGCAGAAATTAGATATGAACACTTAATAGTCATACATAGTTGTCCTTCTTGTACAATATATACGTAGTTGGTACATACCGTATTCTCCACATAGGGCAGTCCATAGTACTGCCTCTGCACTTCCTTCAGCACGTCGGTGGTGTGGCCGCCAGACGCCGCGTTCGGACCGTGGTAGTGCTGATCCAGGGCCGAGTAAAACACCTGTGCATGGATATGTCGTTTGATTTTAAAATAATACATATAAAAGAATGCTGATTGACCGACCGACTCATATGTCAATACACAGCAGAAATCATTAAATCTAAAATCTTGAAATATTGCAAATAGGGTCTTTATATAGTGTAGGCGAACAATAAGGAATTTAGAAAACTCAACTCCTAAAGGGGTAAAACGGAGGTTGAAAGTTTGTACAGAGTTGCGTCAGTTTAATAGTTAGACATGTGAAATGTTACATTTAGGCTTTTGGTTCAAGACAAAAATTGATATGTTTATTGGCCTTTAAAGTATATATCCCTAAAAGAATTAAATAAGGGAATAAGAATTAGAAAAAGGGGGGAAGTTAAGAGCGAGCGAAGCGAAGAATATTTGTTTAATAGCGAATTTTAGGGTAAAAGGGATTGTTAATACGCTGTCATTGCTCGCAATTCGTAGTTCGCTATCAGAGTAATTTTAAAAAATCTATCAGAAATTAGCATTTTTTAATTCTGAATTTAATACATTTCGGTATAAACGTTCTTAAACATTTATTTTATTAAAATATATATATATATATATATATATATATGAATAAAAATATGTGATATTACCTGTAATTGCATTTCACTGGCTCCGAACAGATATTTGGAAGCACAGAGCCTGTGCAGCATGTCTTCTGGCATCGGCTCGCGGGTTTGGAAGTGTCGCGCGAAACGACGCACCACCTGGACATAGTATGTATTTATGTATACTTTATTGCACTTGTACATTACATAGACAACACAGTTATTAAGGTACAAATTACTTTCACAAGAAAGTCAGAGGTACATATGTATATAATTAATAGTATAGGATTAATTATACAGTTCATAAGTTCTCTCAAATTGTGTCAAAATGGCATAGAAATTTAACAGTGCTATACGATAATATTATTCGATAATTTATTCTTTATTGTACAATAAAACTTTGTACAAGTGGCGAGCTTCATGCCATATGGCATTCTCTACCAGCTAATAATTAGGAAACAGAAAGCATATGAAGGGCAGATATGGTGAAAAATATGTGACAATTATAGTAATATATATATATATATATATATATATATATATATATATATATATATATAATAGTAGTAATTATAGTAATATTACATATTAATGTTTCTAAAACTAGTCATTTAGACTCCAATAGATACAATAAATGTATAAAAAAAAGTAGTAATAGATTTTTCGCATAATTGTCATAGAAGAAATAAGAAGCAGCGAGGAGAGGAGGAGAGGAGGAGAGGAGGAGAGGAGGAGAGGAGGAGAGGAGAGCGACCTGCGGGCAGCTGGCGAAGTACTCCATGAGCACGCTGGGCACCTCGGCCAGGTCGGTGGCGCAGCGCGTGCCCGCCACGTGCTGGTGGCGCGCGCGGCCCAGCATGGAGTGCAGCGCGTGCCCCGCCTCGTGGAACAGGTTGTCCACCGCCGCCGCCGGCAGCAGCGCCGGGCCCGACCGGTGCCCGCCGCTCAGCGACAGCATCACCACCACGATCGGGTTCTGGGGGTGTTTACAATTATTGTAGGGGGAAAGGATTGTTAGTAATAGAGACTAATGGCCCCATTTCTAGTCCTGTCAAGTAGGCCTCCATGTTCCTCCTGGAAACCAGTGTGATTAATACTTGTTTCATTCGTTACGATGGACTAACTGACCTGCTTTCATGCTCATCTATTATCTCTCACTGATGCCCCGCCAGTATACTGATAGCGCAGGTGGAGTTACCATTCTATTATCATGCATTAAAAAACTGTTTTTGTAACTCATTACAAACCGCGATAATAAGTGTTACACACGCAAAAAAGTTGAATTTCGAAATTTACTGAATTCTGATCATTTGTTTATTTAAATGTACATTCTCTTTTTAAAAATGGCATTCATTTATCAATCCATATAGTTTGCATACTAACCTGATATGTACCATCCGGCAGCAATTTGCCACCCTGTATAGTGAAATGGCAATCCTGGTGAGGTTTTCCAGGCCTCTCATATAAATCACAGTAAATGTGGCCAAGTAAACCTTCTGTTTCATGTACCACTGCTAATTTGTATACATCAGGTGACCATGATTCGCCTAAAAAAAGGATAACAAATTTAATGTTTAATTTAAAATAGATATGTGGTAAAAATTATCCGCATTTCTAAAAATTTATTTAACCTGCAGACAATCAAAAGTCCTCGAGGTACATTTTTAGGACTTGCACAAGACATTATTATGCCATGTTATTATACGATATACGAGGTCTGTCCGGAAAGTTCGTATAAAAGTGTTCTGGAATGCGAGAAAGAGGAGTGGGGAGGCCAGGTAAGCGCAGGACCCCTTCCTTATGTCCCTAACAATGCTTCAGTTCTGGTCTGACCGCCGTGCGGTGCGAACTGGCTTGTCACGCCATCTGTGAAGTTACCTCTTAACGAAACCCCGTCGGCATGGAGCCCGCTTCCGTTGAAGAGCAGCGCGTCGTAATCAAGTTTCTCTCGAAACTCGGCAAGAATGGCCGTGAAATTTTTGCCGATCTCAGAACAGTTTATGGGGATGATGCTGTGAAGGAACCAACCGTCCACAAGTGGCTAAAAAGATTCAGAGAGGGCCGAGAAAGCGTTCAAGATGACCCACGTTCAGGACGTCCTTCCACTTCACATTCCGACGAAAACGTGGAAAGAATTCGAACTTGTGTTAATGGGGACCGTCGTTTAACGGTCAGACAGGTGGCTGAAGAGCTTAATTTGGGCAAAACCGTGGTCCACGAAATTCTAAGAAACGAACTTCAAATGAAAAAAATTTGCGCCAAGATCGATCTCTTGTTGTCCGTGAGTTTTTGAGTAAAAATTCCATTACGGTGACCGAACACCCCCCCTATTCGCCGGATTTGGCCCCGTGTGACTTCTTCTTGTTCCCAAAAACCAAATTGGTACTTCGGGGGCGGCATTTGGGGGACATAAATGAGATAAAAAAAGCTACGACGGGGCAGCTGAGAAACCTACAACCAGAGGACTTTCAAGGAGCCTTCTCACAGTGGAAACGGCGTTGGCACAAGTGCATTATATCACAGGGGGAGTACTTTGAAGGGGATAAAATTGATTTACCTGAATAATTGTAAAATAAAATTTTTAAAAAACTTTTATACGTACTTTCCGGACAAACCTCGTATGTTAAGTTATTTCACCCTGAGGTAGTGTATTTATATAGGTCTTTGATAGATACGGAGTAATTTTATTATACATAAATGGATATGACATAAATGAATTTATACCTGGCAACATTTCTTGAGATTTCAAACTAATACCGTACAATTCTTGACATAACATATTCAACCCTTCCATGCAGCCGCCTAGAGAAAAATATGGACTGAAATCCGTGTTGGCAACATTGAGTAACTGCGTTTTCGCCTTATGTGTGAAGTATGGGGTGTCCCAGCACATAAGTTTGTCTTGATATGACGATTCTTGTTTCTTCATTTTGAGCATAGCATCAAAGTCTATGTTTGCTCTATCATGTAGATTGTCTGACAGTATATCTAGGAATTGCCGAACGTTCGGTGCTGTTTCCATTGTGCTTGCTTTTATTGCTCTGCAACAAAAGCACCAATTGTTCTTATTAGATATTAAAGAGATTAAAAGAATAAAAATTAGTAAATTGAAAGGGCATTTCATTGTATTCATTTTTATAGTTTTAAAGCATGCACCATGCTTACTTTCATTGCATTCTATTCTACAATCCACAGTTTTGTCTGCGAGAATTAGGATAATAACAAATATTCTATGTGCTAATCTATATGGAAAATGAGAAGAACAAGAAGAATAAGGAGAGAGAGAGAGAGAGGAGAGGGGGAGATATAGGAGAGATGAGAGAGATAGGAGAGCAGAGAAAAGAGAAAATGGAGAAAGGAAAGATAGAAAGAGGAGAGAGAAAGAAAGGAGAGATATAAGAGAGAGGAGATAGAAAAGAGAGAAAAGAGAGAAAGGATAGAGGAGATGAAAAGGAGAGGGGTGAAAGATTAAAGGAGATGAGAAAATAAGAAAGATGGCGATAGAGAATTGAGAAAGGAGAGATGGGAGAGAAAAGTGAAGATAAATAGGAGAGGAGAGAGAAAGATAGAAAGGAGACGGAAAGAGAAAGAAAGAAAGAAGCTGAGAGAGGAGATACAGAACATAGAGAAGAGATAGAGAGAGAGAGGATATTACCGGTCCGCATAGCAGCGGAACCCGCAGAGCTGGGCCATGCGGTGGCGCGCGCGCAGCGTGGCGGCCAGCAGGCGCTCCTGGCGCGCGTCGGCCGCCAGGTACAGCCGGTACGCCGCCTCGCGCGCCGCCGCCTCGCCGCACTCCGCGTACACGCCGCTCACGATTATGTCCTCGCCTTCCGTGCTCAAGCTGAACGGACAGCCATCCCTCAATAATATCAACTACTGACTCACGAGATACCTTATCTCCTCGAGTTATACAAAATAATAATAATAATAATATACCAAACAAAATGAGAAACGAGATATAAATGAGAAGCATGATGATATAAAAAAATTACCATTAGAACACAAACAATATTGTAAGATAAACTACGCAGGTGTCTCTGCTCTATAAAAAAAAGGTGAAAAAAGATACTATCTACGACAATGGCTGATATTGTATTAGATTATTATTCAATGTTATCAGGAGTAAATATTTTCATTTCTATGTGTAAGAGTACAAAGATAAATAATAAATATGTTCCACCCCACAGTTGTAAAGATTGCTTTCTGCAATAAGACCGCCTTACTGTATTTATACAAATGTATTGTTACTTTTATTGTCTTGCTTATTCTCTATATTGTATGATGCAAATAAAGTATACTACTTCATTAATTCATTCTAAACTATAATTCTAAATGGGTCAGAAATATTTTTTTAATAATCAATACATAATTTATAAAATTGTGTCAATCATGCATGATTTATATTATTATCATTAGACTACTTGTTTGACTAGCTTGTTCGCTGCAAGGCTCGCTTGGCTTGTATGTGGAATTCGATCCCTCGCAAGAATCACTTTTCTGTCTCAGTATTATATATAATATTTGTTATAATATGACATAACAGTCTTATAATTATGTTTGTCATACTTACAACTGCCTCACGTTGCCAGGGACAGCATGCCGAGGCACCCTCCTTGGTTTGGCTGCACCGGCCATAAACTTCTGTCCTGTCTGCAATATGGTGTCATTAAGAGCCACCACCTGCCTCCGTGGCTCCTCATCCAACTGAATGCCACTCTGCTCAAAATCAAACAGGAACAACTCGGCTAAATGCTGGTCACCTGATGTTCCTCGCTTCACTGAGTCTCGCAGGGCTTCATATAGACCCTTATGTGTGTTTAGTCTGTAAATAATAAAGACCACCTTATTATACTCATAGACAAAGTATATCTAAAAGATATATGGATGGCTGAAGACTGAACGGCTTGGAGCAATGATGAGAATGACATCCTCATGTGGTCACAACCCTCAGTGATGAGGAAACAAGAGAATTGAATGATTGTACTTATATAAGCATATTTATTATTTAAGGGATATACCTATAATGCTAATAAAATATTCATTAATTGAAAATTATAAGTAAAATATTGTATATCAAAACTTACTTTTCAACCACTCCACTGATACTTATGCATGCATCCTCAGCAGCACTAGCAAAATGAGGCTGTGGATGTGCTATCCTCACAAACTCTGCCAGATCCGCTACTTTGCACAATGTATCTGATAGCTCATCGAAAATCTCCACCATAGGCCGGCTGGGGTTAGATGTAGCTTCCTCAATAAGACGGTCGGTTGCTGCTATAGCTTGCTCTTTTAGAGTATAGAATCCCTCAAACGTTGCTAGTTCTGGCTTGTTGAAGAGACCCTACAAATATAAATGAAAAGAGTGAATGCAGTTTCTTGTATCAAATGTGTTATTAGTGAGTATACATAAATTTTATTTTCATAATAGGTCCCTCTTATAAAAGAATAAATTTTTATTGTCCTCTTTTTCTTAATATAATTTTAATAGGCAGCTAACTACATACATCAGTGTTAAGTTTCGGCATTTAGTGGAATGAAGAAAATTAAGGTATTTAGATACTATGTTTTAATTAAGACAAATTACAATAGGTAATATAAATAAATCAATATAATATCTTACAGTTCTCTCTCTTAGTGATTCAAACAAAGGCCGAGAACTGGGTCTGGTGTTAAATGCTGTGGCTAGTGGTGACCAAGTACTGACATTGCGACCACCTCTTCGACGTTGACCATGTAACACCCTTAACGGTTTTAATAACTTCATATTTCTGTGAAATATAAAACTTTACGATTAAGAATTAAAATTAAATGAAATCTAATTTAGTAGATATATAGTGAAAGAAAATAATACTCGGCTTGGCGAGGGAATGTCATGCACCCTAATTGTATTCACTTACAATTTATTTAGGTTACAGTAACTTACATCCGTCAGAATTCTAGAGGTGAAAATGAAAAACAGATCTAACTACGATTCATTTCAAGATTATTTACGATTTGAGATATATAAGTCACTTAAGAAAATTATAGTACTTTATTTTTGATAAGATCTCACAGAAAAATCAAAGATAGGATTTAGAAACTGCAAAGACTGACAGCCATAGCGACTGGTGATAGGATAGATTAAATAACAATGCGTGACTGACACAGATATATGAATGATATTATTTTTATGTCAGTCAAACATGGCGTCATGCATATCTTATTGTCAAAAATGATTTAGACTGGTTTTGAAATTAAAAACAAAAAGAAAAGTATTATGTTTCAGTAATGTTTTGTTTTATTTGTTTTTTTAATGTTTAATTATTTAAGTGATACTCAATGAGTCATTAAAGGTTACATCTGTTATTTGAAAAAGTATCATGTAAATATTGCAATACATTATGACAATTGAAAATTTGTAGTGAATAAAAACGTGAATTGTTCAGAATAAAAATGGTATGTAAGCAATGATCTACCTATATAATTAATTATTGGAACGACTTAGATGATATAGGTAGACCTTTTATTATATGCTTTAAATTTCGCGCCGAAGAGTAATTATTTTGAATTTTAAAAATATTAATTATAGTCTACCCCACCGCCTCCACAAGCACGCCGCTCAGCTGGTGATGGTAAAAAATCAACCCCACCGACTTCCAGTATTGTTACCAGAAATGGTGCCCGCAAAGCCAAGATTCAAACCCGTGCCATGTCAGCTGGTGCTAGGGTAAGATAACCTTCAATAAAACCCCTAAGAGTATCCACTGACAAAACATTTAATATATCATTTATAAGCAGCTTATCCTTTTCCATTTCAAATACTATATGTGTGTTAAATTTCATAATGATTGGATGATCCATCATCATTACCAAGAACTAACAAATACACTTTCTCAATTATTTAAAATAGTCAACTCTACCTTGATCAAACTTATTTTATTTAAAGATACTTAAGTTTATACATATTATTTTTTTTTTTTTTTTTTATTTTACTTTTTATTATTATATTTTATAGTTCACAATTTGACCACTTGGTTTGAAATAAAATGAATGTCAACTGTAATCTAGTTTCTATACTACTGAGTAGAGATACTGTTTTGTTATCATTGTTTGTTTACATTGCTACAAAACAGCACCTATACCTCTATATGTATATACTAATATGTCTTATCATAAACATTCATTATGTAGAAATAATCTTATCACATGTATGATGTAAGTACATAAGAAAGTTGCATAAATAGTATAAAACCAAATCAGTATTTTTAATTTGTAGCCGTCTGCTTCAGTTCTTGCTGCCAAGAAGAAGGCACAACAGAAAAAGAAACAAACTGTGGACACTATAATCAAGGATCACTACCAAATTGTAAGCATTTTGTTATAAAGTGTGAGAGAATGTGATTTATTTACATTATATGCCAAATTTATAAAAATAACAAGTATCTACTTGTATATGTTTTTAAGTGAAATAAATATGTTCAAATAAATCTGTTTATATTTGGAACATAAATGTTAAAGTTCCTATATCAACCAAGTAAGGTAAGTTTTAATTTGAAAATAAAAATATATAAGATTTTAAAGCAAAAGCAAATATACATTTTATTTCTTGTCATGTTTAAATCAAATATGACTAGTAACTCTTTCACTGAAAAAAAATTAATGGTCACATGCAGAAAAAATATTAGTATATTTATAATGGAATAAAATTAATACAATACTTGACTATAAATTATTTTCACAAATAGTATATTTGTGTTTGTGGAATATAGGGAAACCTATATTCACCAGTGGAAAATGGATAGGTTATCAGTTATTATTTTTACTTATGCAATGGATGAAATGACAAGCTGATAAAAACCATTTCCTATAAACGAACAACAACCTGTTATGAATAAAATATGTTTTTAGCTAAATTATAATTGTAGGTAATTTGATAATTATCAAGTTACCTGTAAGTATATTTATTAAGTTCTGTATATAAATATACGAAGTGATTCAAACTGACGAGGATAATATAGAAATCTGAAGAGAAAAAGTCAATATCTTGATATCATTCAAAAGATATTTTTTATAGTGTCTCCTCTCAATTTTTATAGTTGTATGTAGGAAGTGAATCCTGTAATCAACATTCATATTTGATGACTGATATAAATTACTTTCTCGAAAAGCATGTTCTGGTTCATACATTTACATGTTGAAAAGTGTATTAATAACAGATTTGGATATGTTATAATGATATTGCGTCATTTTTCATTTATGGTTTGGAATGAGAGTAGGTGATCAAATAATACTAACACCATTTTGTTGTGTGGGTGTATGAATGTTTGTTCAAGGCTCATGTTTAATTCTTCACATTATATTAGAGTCTTAGCAACTAAATTAACTGTTTTACAAGTTAATGTTTTTATTGTCATGTTGTCGTTCTATGCTAAATACAATAAAATGTATGCATATAATATTTGTAAAGTATTTAACTTAGTCTGCGCAGTTGATAGTCAATATTTAGCTTTTGTACGAGAATATAAGTGGACTGTATATACTACAAGTTTTTTATATAGATCCGAGAATGCGAAAACGATAAATTGTTATAAAAGTAAACTACCTAGATTCAAACTTAGTTCAAATGACTTACCCTTTGATTAGCGTAAATTCCTTTTATAACATACTCAGATCACTCAGTTCCCTAAAGCATGCTAAGGTTACCTGAGATTACCTCGTAAATGTTATAAGTACTAAAGGTTTCGATCTTGAATCCTCTGATAGACGTTTCAATCTTGAAATGTCTTTTTAGCTACACAAGAAATTATCTTTTGCGTAATTTATTTAATAATACAAAAATATTAAATTCTAAAATTAAAGTCTCACGATTGTGAAATTAAATCTCTTACTTATTAAATATTTTAGAGTGACAACGACGAAACTGTTCCATTTCTGTATTTGAGAGCAGACACCAACAACGTTTTTTTATCTTACTACCTCCAATGAAAATTATTCATTGCCACATACAAGAATAAAATGTTTTTGTAAATTATCGAGAATGTTACTATGCAATTATTACATCTAAAGTGAACAGCATTTATTATCTATGCAATTTACTTGCATTAAAGCATGTTACTTCAACAGTTTTTTGACGCAGTAGTAGATACATTGCGTAATGAAGCCTCGAGTTCTTAGTTGTGCTAGATTAGGTAATGACCTTTTTTTAAATTGGCTCAGAGCTGGATATTCTGGGTTGTGCCTCTGATTGATTGCTCCCTGGTTTCTTGTAACACAGAGTATTCTAATTTGAAAACCAGGCGATGGTTACAATTGTCTGGCACTTATTATTATTGTTAATTGTGTATCATTATGACATACTAAAATATGTATTGAAAAACTTCTGTAGATGCAATTAAAGGCATGGACAGATAGAGAAAACACAAAGAAAAATTTCGTCCACTGATAAAATATCCTTCATCTATACACCACTTAAAAATGCAACCAATATTTTAAACTACTTCAGAAAGAGGAAGTTCTCAACTGGTATATGTATTATATTATATTATCTATTTCTGAACCAATTTTGATATTTATTTTGTACTATCTTTTACCTGAGACTTCGTCCCGTGACTGGGATATGTTCTTTAACTAGTATACAGGATAGCCTATATCTTTTTCCATCCCATATAATATGTCTATGTCAAATTATCATAGTGATTGGTTAAGCCGTCAAGGTATTATGGGGTAACAAATAAACAAACTCACTTTCACTTTTATAATATTAGTAAAAATTCAATAAACTTCACCTCTATTTTATTCTCATATAAATTCTATCACAATGGATCTTGTAAAGGGCATGCTAAAGTTGCAGCTATGTAAAATAAAAACCAAATTATGAATATAAATATTTATTATTATTGTAGAAATTTTAAAATAAATTCTTCTGAGTTAGTTCATTTACAAATTTCCACGCATTAGACATGCATGTAAATTTATTACATAATATCATAATGCTACTACATTATAAGAAACCGCATACAATTGTTTACACATTGTGCTCCTATTCTATTGAGACAAGAAAATCGTATGACATCGTGCCTGTCACGGTATTTTATAAAAACCACCATTACGTTAGAACGTCAACCTTTTTTTTGCAAAACAATATATATATACTGTGTTATTTATTTATTCTTTAGTATAAGATACATATGTGTACAAGACAGACTTAATGTTAACGCATGACCTCCGGTTAACTTTAGTGAAGTGTTGGAATGCTCGAATGCAGTACTAGTACTTATATATGTTATTATTTGTCTTATTATGAATGTTTCTTATAATTATTTTAAAACGATTATTTCAATTATTGTATTAATATTGCGAGTGGTATTATATATGTGTTTATTATGTTTATGATGTACTTTTCTTGCTGTTTCTGACCAAAGTGTAATGAACAAAAATGTCTTTTTGTTTACGCAACTTAGAATGGCAAACAAGCCGACCAGCCACCTGATGAAACGTGGTAACAGTCGCCTACAGACATGAGCAGTACCATGAACATAACAGAGTACACTGTTTCATTGTTGTTGCCCATGATACTTTCCATGCGTTGCCATTCCTGACGTCCTGACTCGGGTGTTATTTCTTTGTACCCTCTAAATTCTGTATGTGGCTGTTACCAGTTTATAACAATAAAGCAGTATCAAATAATACATTTGTGTAAACTTTATGGGCTGATAAATTGTTATTCAATTATGTAATTAATATATATATTGTTACAGCTGTCTGTTTGCCTTAAATAATTAAGTGGCATTCACAATTTTTTTTTCACAACTACAGGCGATGGATTCGAAAAAGAAGGTGAAAGGTCCGACTGGTTTCGTGACAGAGCCCCGTATGGTGGAGCATCGATGCCTTTGGGATGAGAAGTACCCAGAGTGTCCAGAGAGACTGATTGGTGTTATCGACAGGTATGACTTGCATTACTTCATTCATCATCATTATTACCTTGTGGTGTAGAGCTCTTGGATGACTCCTAGGCCCTCACCAACACTGTATTTATCCAAGGCACACACTTATATTCAGTGAGGGTAGGTTGCGGTAGAAAAATGAGTAAATGCGATGTTCTTGGAATGGATTTCGTAATGAAAGATTAATTTATTCACAATGTTTACAGATACAAACACTATTATTTAATATGAGATGATATAAAGCAAAATATAATGAATAAGATTTTTAAAATGACTAAATGTCATACTGACGAGTATGGCGAGAATTTACTGATTATAACACCTGAGTCCTCAGGAATGGCAACGCATGGGGGGTATCATGGGCGAAACAGTATACTTACTCTGTTATGTCCATGGTACTGCTCATGTCTATAGACGACGGTTACCACTTTCCATCAGGTGGACCGTCAGCTTGTTTGTCATTCTAATTTGTATAAAAAAAAAAAACTTAAAAGACATCGTCATTGTGATCAACTATATTTTAGGAGTTATTATGAGAATAGATCTTGTTTATTATAATTGATGAACTGCAGAAGGTCTATTTATCCTCAATGTAATGAATACGCATTATTAATATTTATTTCACGTATACTTTATCCATACATTTACTAAACAGATGCCGTGAACTGAATTTAATTGAACAATGTATGGAGTTCAAGCCGCGCGCGGCCACGAAGGACGAGTTGAATGTTCTACACTCGCCGTCCGTGTACGAGATGCTTGAAACCACACACGACAACAACGATCTCGAGTATCTTGAAGATTTATCATCGAGATACGACGCCATTTATATACACCCTGTGAGCTATATTTTATTTGGGTATATTATATGGTATTGATCTTATATTGATATAGAGGTGCCGAAATATATTAATATTATTAATATATTTTGGCACCTCTGTCCCATTCATGTTTCTACCGTGAAGCGGTTGTGTTTGCATGGCTATGTTCCGGTTTGAAGGGTAGGATATGGCAGTGAATTTACAGGGTACACAGGAATAACAGCAGAGTCCTCAGGAATAGCAACGCATGGGGGGGGGTGTCATGGGCGAAACAGTATACTCTGTTATGTCCATGGTACTGCTCATGTCTATAGGCGACGGTTACCACTTTCCATCTGGTGGGCCGTCAGCTTGTTTGCCATTTTAAGTTGTATAAAAAAAATATGTATTGACATTGAAGAACGAAAAGTGCAGAATACTCCAACTAATCATCCAAGGCAAGATTGCTAGTAAACAAAGTGCTGTGAGGAGGCGTCTACTCCTAGTTGAAGAACCTGCAGGAATAGTTTGGTTGTGGCACTACCTCGCTTTTCCGAGCGGCATCTTTAAACATTAGGATTGGCCTTATGTTATTCAACCTCCGATAGATATGGAGAAGAAGATATTGTAAAAAGGAAATAATTGATTTCTTATATGTTTGTTTGTAGTGGATAAATTAAAAAAACACTGAACAGGTTTTAAAAATACTTTCACCTATAAAAAGCTACTTTATTGGCTAGTAACGGAGATCTTTCTACTATCTATCTAGCCGTGCGAAGCCGGGGCGGATCGTTAGTCTTAAGATAATGTCAGTTTTTTTTTTAATGGGTGAAAATTGTATGGCAACCCCGCCTGCGCTAACGGGATACGCTGGCGGAGCACCAGTGAAGGGTGATAGATGAGAATGAAAACAGGTCAGTTAACTCATCATGATGAATTCATCAGGAATTAACCATGATAGTTTCCAGGGAGAACCGCGAGGAGGTCGACCTGGTCGGGTATATTGCTAGCAATAGGATTCTCAGTCTCCGTTACTAACAATCCCTTTCCCCCCCAGATAATGTCAGTTTGAAATTATATATCTTTATTTAAATTCAAGGCAGTTAAGTAGCAGTCACATTGCCTTAGATCCGTATCCTTAAGGGGCACACCTAGTGTGACAACCTAAAAAAAGGCCATTTTTGGGAATTAAAAAAAAAAACTAGTGAATCCATCTATTTAAAATTTTGAGGGTATATTTATACATGTTTTGAAAATACACAGTAAAATTTTTGAAATAAAATATTAAATATTTTTGAAATGACACGCATCTCCGGCGGCGCCAAAAAAAAAAAAGGTCCTCCACTGCTGGAGTGATTGCAGCCTTCTCCGTTGATAAAATCTAAAAAAAAAAATTCTCGTTAAACTAAAACATATCTGTCTGTACGGTGACCCTCGGGGGAACAAAAAAATCAAAAATTGACAAAATGGCGGCATGTTGAAAAAAAAAGTTAAATTTTTCCCAAAATTTTGGTCGTTTTTGGCCTGCCAAAATTCGATTTTTGATCAGATCAAAAAACTGGAGGGTCATCGTATGGAGAACTATATAGAGGAGATGCAAAAAAAAAAAATTGATAGCGATCGGATCATTTGTCTCCGAGTAATCACTCCAGCAAATTCGAAAAATGCTGTTTCAAGAAAAACGCGTTTAAAGATAAAATGATCGTTTTCACTGTTATAAATGGATTAAAATCATACAGCTAATCTGCTGTTCCAGGCCCATATAATTCACCGTCCTCTTCCTCAAAAAGTGCTTGTTGAGCTGAAGAAGCTCAAGAAGAAGAAGAAAAAAAAATTCGATTTTTTGAAAGTTTCACTCTAGGTATGCCCCTTAAAAGATAGTTTTTTTCTACATAACTAGTTACAATTGTATAATAATTTTGTACCATAGAGCACCCACGAACTTGCTCTCCTATCAGCCGGCTCGACCATAGACATGGTGGACCGGATAGTGTCGGGCGAGGTGCAGAACGGCGCCGCGATGGTCCGGCCGCCCGGACACCACGCGATGCGCTCCGAGCCGTGCGGCTACTGCTTCTATAATAACGTCGCACTCGCCGCCAAGCATGCCATAGACAAGCATGGCCTTAACAGGTTTGTTGTTTTAATAACGCTAATAATAAAAATATTTTTATAAAAATCTTAAAAAAAATCAATACAAAATAAAAAAAAAATATATATTTATATTATAACAAGAGCGAAGAAGGAAGCCTTCAAGAACGAAGACACCACGCTGGCATACACAGACCACCAGTGTATGCCGGCTGAAGAACCCAGCGACCCGGAGGTCGTCGCTTTCGTAGTTGAAGCCGGGGTAGTGGAGTATACCCCGAGGCCCCTACCTCGCCCGCTCACACATCATCTGGCGGGCATGAGATGTCCTTGTTGATTGATTGGTTAATAATAAAAATATATGGCGCTCTATTGACATTAAATAAAAGAGCAACCGTTTGGCTGTACCAATGTATCAAATATATTGTGTACCTGTTAGATGTACCAACAGACTGTCTGGTGGTATTGTAATCACATTGGAATATTTATTTATTTCTTTTTTTTTTTTTGATGGGTGAAAATGGTATGGTAGCCCCGCCTGCGCTAACGGGATACGCTGGCGGAGCACCAGTGAAGAATGATAGGAGAGGATGAAAATAGGCCAGTTAGCTCATCGTGATGAATTCATCAGGAAGTTAATTCCTGGTAGTAAATGGTGGTAAATAATGGTAGCTTTCAGGGGGAACCACGTGGAGGTTGACCTGATAGGGCATATTGCTAGCAATGGGGCTGTCAAACTCCATTGCTAACAATCCCTCTCCCCCCCTATTTATTTCTTATTGCATTTCTTAATATGATTAGTAGATGACATTTCAACTTCAAGCAGGATCCTGTTGGGCACAGCAAGTAGGAGAGAGGAGGACAATATTGCTAGCAATGGGGCTGTCAAACTCCATTGCTAACAATCCCTTTCCCCCCAATTTATTTCTTATTGCATTTCATAATATGATTAGTAGATGACATTTCAACTTCAAACAGAACCCTGTTGGGCACAGCAAGAAGGAGAGAGGTGGACACTTTTTTTACTTTAGAAATAGTTCAAAAGTTTGTTACAATATTATCCAGTTAATTATCGTTTTCGATAATGATAAATTATTATAAATTATAATCGTCATTTCAGCCGTTATCTGTCCACTGCTGAGCAGTCATCTCTCATAGAATGCCATAAGGAACAGTCCTGAGCCACCTGTATTCACTGATACCTTACAATGTATTTGAGATTATCACTCTATCCCGTACGGGGTCGCCATTCAAGAACCTTTCTTCCCCATCGGTTATCAGTTCTTCGAGCTATGTGACTAGTCCATTGCTACTTCAGCTTGCATAACTGTATCTCATTAATTCATATATATTATAGGAGTATCGTGTTACAGAATATTGATCGTGGATTGGGACGTTCATCACGGCCAAGCCACCCAGCAGATGTTCTACGACGATCCTAGGTAAATATCTATTTTCAAACGACTTCAAACAGGAGGTTCTGGTTGAAGTCGTTTAAAAAGACGTTGTGTCAATTCGATTATTTTTTTTTATATATATGTTTTTTACCTTATAATTTAATCAATTCTAAACGGATTTGGCTTCTTTTTTATTTAGAAGGATATACAGATAGGAAAAAAGATTTTAATTTTTTTTTATACAACTTAGAATGGCAAGCAAGCTGACGGCCCACCTGATGGAAAGTGGTAACCGTCACCTATAGACATGAGCAGTACCATGGACATAACAGAGTATACTGTTTCGCCCATAATACCTCCCATGTGTTGCCATTCCTGAGAACTCAGGTGTTATGTCTCGGTACCCTATAAACTGAAACACAGCTATGCAAACACAACTGCTTCACGGTTGAAACACGAATGGGACAGAGTTACCCAAGTAAACTACTTTTGTACAAAATCTCCCTCTAGTGTTATTATCACTTAATAATATCATTGTTAATTTTTTTTTTCTTCAGAGTGGTATATTTCTCAATCCACCGGTACGAGCACGGCTCCTTCTGGCCTAATCTACGGCAATCGAACTTCAACTACATTGGTACCGGAGCGGGGAAAGGATACAATTTTAATGTACCACTAAACAAGACCGGAATGACAGACGCTGACTACCTAGCTATATGGCACCAGTTGTTGATACCAATGGCTTTAGAGGTAAGTTCTTTGTTAAAAAACTACGTAAAAAAATAAAAAAAACAATTTTTTTTTATACAACTTAGAATGGCATACAAGCTGACGGCCCACCTGATGGAAAGTGGTAACCGTCGCCTATAGACATGAGCAGACCATGGACATAACAGAGTATACTGTTTCGCCCTTCATTCTGGGGAAAATAGAACTACTTTTCAATCCATTGTTCATTACACATACCAAACAAATAACAACATCCTATCAAACGCGTCAGTGTCAGTCGCGTCTGAAATTTTGCAAATGGACTGATTTTTTATATGATATAGTCCATAAGTAATTTCCTATAAATACATCACACGTAACTGTCATGTTTTGGAAATAAAAACCCCACTGTATACCAATCATAATTGAATTGCTTTATATAACCCGCCCACGTAAATATACTAGTCCGTTAATTTCTTTTTTTTATACAAATTAGAATGGCAAACAAGCTGACGGCCCACCTGATGGAAAGTGGTAACCGTCGTCTATAGACATGAGCAGTACCATGGACATAACAGAGTATACTGTTTCGCTCATGATACCCCCCATGCGTTGCCATTCCTAAGGATTCAGGTGTTATTCCTCTGTACCCTTCAAACCGAAACACAGCCATGCAAACACAGCTGCTTCGTGGTTGAAACACGAATGGGACAGAGGTACCCAAGCAATCGTTAATAGGACTATTAATCACAGCACTTTATGCAAAGCAAATGTGATAATTATTATTCGTGTAAGGTGTATTTTTAATCTTAAAAAATCAAAAAGTTTTCGTTATGCATTTACTTGAGTGTTCAAAGTGACTTCAAAGGTCGACAAAAAAATTATAAAAATATTTGGCTCTATTTATCATCCATTTCATTCCATATTTAAAATTTAAAAAAATCGAATTGTCTCTTCTGTTACCGGCCAATGCTCAGGTAAATCAGTTGCCTTAAAAACAACTAATTAATTTTTTTAAATAAAATAACATGTATTTCTCTTCTGTCCATCATCACCAGTATCAACCGGAGCTCATTCTCATATCCGCCGGATACGACGCTGCGATCGGCTGCCCAGAGGTACTGCATCTCTTTCTAATCATATATTATAGTGTACCTGTGTTTTCAGTTCTCACCCGAGCTAATTATCGTCTCGGCTGGATACGACTCTGCTTTGGGTGATGAAAAGGTATGATGTGCTTCTTGATTGACTTTCAATTATAAAATCAGTGAAATAAAATGTTAATTATCGTAATTTCATTTCGTCTTCACGCTAAATCTTATGAGAGATTAATTAAATAAACAAACCAGCTTCTCTACGAATTTATGCCCTGCAAATTTATATACTTAATTGTCATATCGTCATAGTCGTAGAATACTGACGGATCTTTATATGTAATCTTTGTCAGATCCGTCAGTATTCTACGACTATGACGATATAAGCTAAATAGCCATTACTGATTTACAATAGATTTTATTTTATGTGGATAAGATAAGGCATAGAGAAATATTGTATTATTTTTTACTGGTCTACCAACCTATGTTCCACGATAAAGATTTGAAATTAGAAAAAAAAAAGTATAAATAGAACAAAAGTTATGTAAAACAGCCTCGTTGCCGTCAGGCCAAAATTCTTTAGTGCATTAATCTTATAATCTTTCCATTATAGAGCATAGTAGTTATTTATATTTTTATTAGCGGTGTTTAAATTTGACCATGTTTTATTTCTTTATTTATTTATTCATTAGTACATATATGTGTACAAAGCGGATTTAATGTTAAAAGCATTCTCTCCCAGTCAACCATAGAGAAGCGCCAGAATACTCAAATGCGATACTACTAACATGTTTATAGGCGAATTAATGTAATTTCGTAAATACTGTACCATAAAGAATAAAGTATAAAAAAAAAAAACGATATAAATAATTATGCTTACACCAGGTGAAATAGTCAGAGGTATTTGTTGTCGAGTATTATCGTTGTGGTGAACATAAAGCTATTAAGTACAGGTATTCGAAATTAGTAGTCGATTTAAACCAAATCACTTCTACGTCTGACGCTTATTATGCATTCTTTATTCGGCCATCTTAGATTAAACAATATTGAATGGCAATGTAGAAGAGAATTTTTTTTTATACAACTTAGAATGGCAACCAATCTGACGGTCCACCTGATGGAAAGTGGTAACCGTCGCCTATAGACACGAGCAGTACCATAGACATAACAGAGTATACTGTTTCGCTCATGACACCCCCCATGCCCTGAGGACTCAGGTGTTATTCCTCTGTACCCAGTAAATTCACGCTATATCCCACCCTTCAAACCGAAACACAGCCATGCAAACAAAGGTGCTTCACGGTTGAAACACGAATGGGACAGAGGTACCCAAGTAATCGACTTTTGTACAAAGTATAAATATATGTTAGAGCGAGATAGACAAATCGTCCACCTATACATTATAAGCTGGATATAAATGGATTTGCCCGGAATATGAAGTCAACATAAAAACTGTCCGCACCAGGGCGAGATGGAGGTAACGTCAGCGTGTTACGCGGCGCTGACGCAGCACCTGGTGGCTGTGTGCAGCCGCGTGTGCGTGGTGCTGGAGGGCGGCTACTGCGTGCCGTCGCTGGCCGAGGGCGCCGCCCTCACGCTGCGTACACTGCTCGGCCACCCGCCGCCACTCCTGCAACCGCTCGTCGAACCAACAAACGAGTAAGATTTTTTTTTAAAAAGCATTAATGCAAAGGAATGTAATTAGTCTGTTAAATAATTTTAATATGATAGTTTATAAATGCCATATTTATTTCATACAGACGTAACTAATCTTTTTACACCGGGGGGAAAGGGATTGTTAGTAATGGAGACTAAAAATCCCATTGCTAGCAATATACCTAACCAGGTCGACCTCCACGCGGTTCCCCCTGGAAACTATCATGATTGATTCTTCATGATGAATTCATCATGATAGGCTAACTGGCCTGTTTTCATTCTCATCTATCACCCTTCACTGGTGCTCCGCCAACGTATCCCGTTAGCGCGGGCGGGGTTACCAATCCACTTTCATCCAACAAAAAAAATCTTTTTACACCGGTCACGCAAACTAAGTTACAGGGAAAGCTAGTCCATACTAATACTATAAAAAGGAAAGATTAGATTTTGTTTGTGTATTTGTAATTGATAAATTCGAAAACTACTTGATCGATAATAAAAATTATTTAACACGAAGAACCAGCGAGTAACATAAAGCTGTATTTTATTATTAAAATAACATATATATATATATATATATATATATATATATATATGTTATTTTAAAAATAAAATATATAATATAATATATATATATAATCCCTTACAGAATACGGGAGACGATACTCAACTGTATATATGCACATAAACCATACTGGCGCTGCTATAACTACCAGCCGACGTACAGCATCGACACCACGGTGCGGAATGTGTGCGATGGAGAGAAACAGAAGCATACAGTGGTGGTGAGGTGGGAAGGAGACGAAACGAGGCCTCCCAAGTACGACACGAGGGACTGCTATCCGGTACAAGATGAAGGCACGAAGAGACGTATTGCTGAACGGCTAAATCATTTAAAATTAGGTTAGTGTATGTGTGAAACCTTTCAAATAGCAATCAAGTATAGATAGATGTTAACAAAAAATTTAACATTAATTTAAAATTGTGTTCCACAAAAAAAAAACAGATTTCAATTGTAGCATAACCAGTTATGTTGATATGAAAATTAAACTACTGAATGTAATTATATCCTTTTAAATAGCCTTTCCCAAAGTGGGCAATAACGCCCCCTTGTGGGCGCTGCAGACCTATAGGAGGGTTGTAAGAGATCCAGAAAAAAAATGGGGGCGTTGTGTAGAGGCTTGGGGGGTGATTTTTGATCTTGAAGTAATACTGGTTTTTAAGTAAATGAAAAAACGGGAGCGCTAAAAAATTATTCTGAAAGTGAGCAGTAGATAAAATAAGTTTGGCAACCCCTGTTTTAGATAAAAAAAATTCCAAATCAATTTATAATAGGCGGAGTTGTGAGATAACAAACATAAAAAAATACAACCGATTTGAGTACCTCCTTTATGAAGTCGGTTAAAAATAGTGTTTAACATATCATATACCTACATAAAATTTTATAATATAATATGTAAAAATTTAATATTTGTACTTCTACCATCAGGTAACTGTTTGCGTCATGTGTTTTGGTTCGAGGGGCCGGGGGAGTATGACAGTGAAATTACAGGGATAACAAGGAACATGATTGCAAGCAGGTTGAACTGCCCTTATTATTTATATTGGTCACCAAGTTTGTTAAATTGTTTCTTTTATGTATTTATTTTATTGTAAATTATACTAACATTAGGCTAAAATTATATTACTAACAAATTGGGCCTTTTGTAACCTGTAATAAAGTATATTATATTATAATTCCTTAGTCTTCGGGAATGTATATGGATCTCAATTCGGGAATGTATATGGAAATCATTGCCTAATGGTTACCTTAATGCGTCATTTTTTTAAGAACTCCATCTTACAATCTTTGGGTTGAGGGTTGGTTTAAGTATTTACAAGAAAGAACTGCTTTTAATTCATACGAGTATTACAGTTAGTGTAAGAGACTATTTTCTTGATCCTTTTCCAGTAACAAACCTATCGCTGCCCACACACCCGGTTGGTTATATCTACGATGAAGCCATGCTGAAACATAAAAATATATGCGAACCGTGAGTATATATACATATATATATATTTATTATAATATACATATTATAGAAATTAAAAAAAAAATGCCTTGATAATTTTGTTAGAATTATTAAAATGACAGACTACCGTCAATAACAATTAAAATTTTTATAACGTTTTATAATTTCAGTTTTCTATACGGACAGTCCTAAGATTATATAGATAGAGCATCGAACCTCAAAAACAGGTTAACTTTTTGTCAGCTAATTGTCAAATTAGCTACTCTTTTTTTTTATTAATGTTCTATGTACGTACACAATATATCTTGACGTAACTATGTTTAAATATTTTATAAATAAAATGAATTTTTGCGCAATAAAAAGGTACAGAATTTATAAGACAAAATAAATATAGAAGTTATAAAGGAATCACTCATAACTATTTTATCACGCAAAATTGTATGAAAAAGTTGATCCGTTATTTTTAGGCCAGTCTGTACAGTTTTGGAGTAGATGGCGCTGTTTAAAAAAAGTAAATACTGCGTCGTTGCAGCGATCACGTGGAGTGTCCGGAACGGATCATGCGCATCCACGAGCGGCACCGCGACTACGGGCTGCTGGCGCGCCTGCAGCGACTACAAGCGAGACCAGCCACCGACGAAGAGATACTCGCCGTGCACACGCCGGCACATCTCAATAGGTAACTGGCCACTTTCATTAAAAATTGAATGATATAAAATAATAATAATATTATAAAATGTTAACCCTACCCTCGCTATTGGTTTACATAGGCGTTGAAGTTAGGTCAGTTGACCCATCTCTACAATCCCCATCGCCCTGGGGCGAAAGAGATTGTTAGTAATGGGGTCTAACAGCTCCTTTGCTAGCAATGTACTCTATCAGGTCGACCTCCACGTGGTTCTCCTTGGAAACTAACGGCTGACCTGCCTTTCATCCTCACTGATCATCTCTCAGTGGTAACCCACCAGCGTATACCGTTAGCGCAGGCGGGGTTACCATTCCATTATCATCCATTGAAAAATCCTCCTCTCGTCCGTAGTGGCCTATTCTCACCCGTTTAATTGATTTGATTCTTTTTATCACTTATATTAAGGTTATTTACCTAGAAACCTAATTCGAAAATGTATAAATTTTAAATCGAAATCATAAGCATCCTTAAAAAGCAGTAAAACCGCATTTTACTAGTAAAATTGAATATTTTAACAAAAGAAATTTGGGTTGAAAAATAATAGAAAAAATTATTAAGCTTTCCAAACTTCTATACGTCCAGCAGTTAAATGTATATGTAAATTGTATTTTATTACAACTATTTTCGTTTTATTTTTTAGATTAAAAGAATTGGCGACAACGAAGCTTAGAGATTTAAATAGTCAAAAGGATAAATACGACTCGATATACTTCCACCCGGACTCGCTGGAGAGTGCTGCTGTAGCGACCGGCTGTGTTTTGGAGGTACTTTTTATAATTTAATTTATTTTTTTATATATCTAATCTGTAGTAAAGACCATTTTATGTTTTGTATGTTTATATATGTATGTATGATAATAAGGGCAACTTTGTAGCGTTTATGACCTTTTAAGATGTAGTAGTTTCTGTCTATTTGTAAAGGCAAGCACCATTTGGTCACTAGGTGAGATAGAAGAATTAAAAAAATTTAGGCTACTTTAAAAATGACGACAATAAAAATCTGTACCTTAATAATGTAAATAGTACCAATATGTTTCAAAAGTCTATATTTTTGGTTTATTTTTTCTATTTTTTTTTTTTCTTATATATTTTGCTTTTTTTATTTTATATATTTTTTTTCTCTTTTATTTTTTCTTTTTTTTTCTTTTTTAATTTTTTTCTTTTACGCCTTTTACCCATTGATGTACGCAGCAAGCATAGTATAAACGCGCCGTTACGAAGCTGTGTGTGTGGCCAGATGGTGGACGCGGTGTTGTCCGGTCGCGTGGGGGCAGGCACGTGCGCGGTGCGGCCGCCCGGCCACCACGCGGACTGCGAGGTGCCGAGCGGGTTCTGCCTGGTCAACAGCGCCGCCGCCGCCGCCGCGCACGCGCTGCTGCAGCACGGCCTGCCGCGCGTGCTGCTGCTCGACTGGGACGTGCACCACGGCAACGGCACGCAGCGGATCACATACAACGATGACAAGGTACGCCACCACGGCCCTCACTGCTAACCCTTTAGTCTCGATACTAGAAAGGGATTGTTAGTAATGGAGACTGAGAATCACATTCTCGCATCCCTCGCGGTTCTCCCTAGAAACTATCATGGTTAATTCCTGATGAATTCATCATGATGGGCTAACTGACCTGTTTTCATTCTCCTCTATCACCCTTCACTGGTGCTCCGCCAGCGTATCCCATTAGCGCAGGCGGGGTACCATACCATTTTCACCCATAAAAAAAAACCCCTTTAGTCTCGGCGGGGAGGGATTGTTAGTAATGCGAACTACCAGTCCCATTGCTAGCAATATACCCTGTCAGGTCGACTTAGACGTGATCCCTCCTGGTAACCATCATGCTAAATCCCAGGTTTATTCGTCACAATGGACTAACTGACCAGCGTATACATCCTCACTTATCATTTATCATCCCTCACTGGTGCCCCACCAGTGTATACCGATAGCGCATTCAGCTTTACCATTCCATTATCATCCATTAAAAAAAAATCATTTAGTCTCAACACGTTATATAAGCAGCAGTGTTGCCAACTCCTCACTTCACTTTATCCCATGCATCATCTGAGTTATTGTAAAAGTGTTTACAATCTTATTGGTTTTTTTTTTTTGTGTTAATGTGCAAAGTAATAATCAAAAAATATTGTAATAATTACCCATTTAATATGAGTGTTTAATTTTAACATAAATCTAGGATGAATTGTCCTAAATTTACAAGCATAATTTTTTTTTTATTTTATTTTATACAAAAATCCACAGCTCTTAAAAAATAACTTACATGCTAAGTCTCTTATGAATACAGCCAATAACGGATTTTACTTATACAAACAAAAATTTTGATTCCATAGCGAGGTAGGCAAGTTAGAGTGGGTGTATGCAAGTAATATAAGCACATGTATGTAAGGAACCGACATGATTAATATAAGTTAACGACATGATTAATAATGTAAGTTAACGACATGATTCTACAAAACATATATCACCTATTATACATCTATATAATAAAAAAAAAAACTGCAAATGACAGTCATATTTTTCTTCTATTAAACAGCAGCGTACACGATCATGATATCGTATCTAAGGAATAACAACACATAACTGATCCATTGGCACCAACGCCTTTACCGGCGACGATTGCAAATTACAATTACTCATTTTCATCAGCTTGTTTCCCATTTCAAGTTGCATAAAAAATACCCATAACATCTTTGTTTTCAGATACTATACATGTCAATACACCGGTACGACGACGGCTCATTCTTCCCGCACTCGAAGGAGGCGAACTACACAGCGGTGGGTGAGGGGCGCGGGGAGGGGTACAATGTCAATATTCCCTGGAATAAGGTTAGTCACATTTACTGGCAACATTCCACATATAAACATCACACACGCCAGACACTTGACAAAGAAATGACGCGATCTTTGGTTGCGGCTATTACATAAATGTATAATTTCTGTATAAGCGTAAATATCTTTGTATGTACCTTGTATGAGAGGTGCATTTCAGTTGTGAATATATAATTTTATTAATTTAATTTAAACATAGAGAAAAGTTTTTTTTTTTGATGGGTGAAAATGGAATGGTAACCCCGCCTGCGCTAACGGGATACGCTGGCGGAGCACCAGTGAAGGGTGATAGATGAGAATGAAAGCAGGCCAGTTAGCCCATCTGAATTCTTTAGGAATTAACCATGATAGTTTCCAGGGGGAACCACGAGGAGGTCGACCTGGTTGGGTATATTGCTAGCAATGGGATTCTTAGTCTCCATCACTAACAATCCCTTTCCCCCCTAGAGAGAAGGTTGGTCAACTCAAGAAAGGGACTACTTTGAACAGATGAAATAGATAGTGGAAGTACCATACGCTAATCACGTACGCTAGCGGGATAACAGTAAGTGAGGATGAAGATAGATCAGGAGCCGTGACTTCTCGTGCAACCTTCGACTTTAAATCCTCTCTAATAAATATAATATTAGATCGCTTTTAGCGATAAGACCGCCCATTGTTTTCTCAGATAGTCTTTTTTTGTTATTATTTGTATCTATAATAAATATACTACTGTAATCGTTTGGAGGCAACAATAAAGAATCTATCTACAAAGTTTAAATATGCTCCAAGTAAGATTGAAGAAAAAAGAAAAACAATATTTTCAAGAATATTTATTTTTTGTCATAATGTACGTCAAATATTGCTATCTCATTCTATTTTACGCATGCTGTATCAGTAATAAATCTATTGAAAAATTAATTTACCGTTTGTCCAAGAGACTTTATATGGGTATACCCACTATATGAGTTATCACGTAATGTATAATATGTTTGCAGCGCGGCATGGGCGACACGGAATACTTAGCGGCGTTCACGCAAGTGGTGCTGCCCATCGCGTACGAGTACAACCCGGAATTGGTCATCGTGTCCGCCGGGTTCGACGCCTGCGTCGGAGACCCGCTAGGAGGTAACAACTTTTTCTATACTGGGTATAGCCTACCGCTTTGTTCACGTGATTTTTTTTTATTCAACTTTGAATGGCAAACAAGTTGACGGCCCACCTGATGGAAAGTGGTAACCGTCGCCTATAGACATGAGCAGTACCATGGACATAACAGAGTATACTGTTACGCCCATGATAACCCCTATGCCGTGTCATTCCTGAGGACTCAGATGTTATTCCTCTGTACCCTGTAAATTCACGCCATATTCCACCCTTCGAACCGAAACACAGCCATGCAAACACAACTACTTCACGGCAGAAACACGAATGGGACAGAGGTATCCAAGCAATCGACTTTTGTACAAAGTCTTCCTCTGGTAATTTAGGATGTCGTCTTTGAAATATATCAAATTTATTAAAATAAACCAAAATTTATTTGTCTATCCCATGAAGGATTGCGTAAAGAAACTTAATACATTTTCTGTGGGGTGAAAATGTGATTGTGACCTCGCTTGTGCTATTGAAATATGCTAGCGGGGCATCAGTGAATGATTGAAGTCAAATAAATTGGCATACTGTAACAAATTAACTAGAATATATAATTAATTAATTCATTTCATTTAATGGCATTTGTCGCAGGCTGTAATGTGTCACCAGAGTGCTACGGGAGAATGACAACATTCTTGCGAGGTCTAGCAGGCGGCCGCGTCATACTGTGCCTAGAAGGAGGCTACAATGTCACCAGCATCTCTTACGCCATGACCATGTGCACTAAAGCCCTCCTCGGTGACCCCATACACCACCATTATGACCCCAAACAGGCCCCACACTGGTCCGCTATAGAAACTATCAATAACGTCATCAGAACACACAAGAAATATTGGAAAAATCTGAAATTTCAATTGGCATTACCAATAGAGAATGTTCTAGAAGAGCCTTTACCGTCACGAGGACTGGTAATATCTGATGAACAGAATAATACGAATGAGAAAATAGAGACATCTCTATCAAGTACCATAGAGAGTCAGTCAGATCGTTCACTAGAAATCAATATGGCTAACTTGAACATAGACAAACCAAAGTGTTTGGATGGTATACATTGTGGTACAGATGATGAAGACGATAAAGCAGAGAGTTCGAATGAGAGAAAAGAAAAAAGTTCCGAAGGAGGTTCGAGCGCGAAGGCCGGGAATACATTAGTTGATTATTTAGCTGAGAATATGCAAGCTTTAGTCGACGGAGAGATGTTTGCGGTGGTTCCTTTGTCTTGGTGTCCCCACTTGGAATCGTTATACGCGATTCCAAGCGATGTGAAGTTTGAACAGGGAACAAAGTGTGTTGACTGCGAGGAGACTGCCGAGAATTGGGTGTGTCTGCACTGTTATGTCGTAAGTATAAGTTATTCTATTAGCTAGCTTTTACCCGTGACTTTAATCGCGTGACTGGTATATGTTTATTGGCTGGAATAAAAAGTAGCCTGTGTGTGTTTTTTTATACAACTTAGAATGGCAAACAAACTGATGGCCTACCTGATGGAAAGTGGTAACCGTCGCCTATGGACATGAGCAGTACCATGGACATAACAGAATATACTGTTTCGCTCATGATACCCCCCATGCGTTGCCATTCCTGAGGACTCAGGTGTTATTCCTCCGTACCTAGTAAATCCACGCCATATCCCTCCCTTTAAAACCAAAACAGCCATGCAAACACAACTTTACGCTTGAAACACGAATGTAGAATCTGTATACCAAATTTTATTGTGATTTGTTAAACTGCTAAAGTATTGTGAGGTAACAAACTAACACAACTTCACTTATTTTTAATTAAATGAGAGAACAGTACCTATAATATATATAGGTATTATTTTCTTAGATATGTAATTAATAGATAATAGTGTCCTTCGAGTAGTTTGAAGAAATTGCAATTGTCCTATTATTATCTATTTCTTTTCTTACTACATAATAAGTTAATTATAAATTAATCAAGTGCCACTTGAGAGAATGTCAGTATCTTTTTTTTTATAAAATGCATGGTTCATACATATAACCCACAGTATATTTATACTAATTTTGTTTCTCTATTTGTTACCACTTCGCGCCTTAATAGTTTAACCAATTATGAAAATGGTATGCATGTATTACTTAGGATGGACACGGGCTACTGTATCGTCGTAGGTCGGGTACAAATCTATATGTTGTATGTGCAGACGGCATGCGGGCGCAGTATCCGCGGCCACATGCAGGCACACTACGCAGCTACTCAACACCCGCTCGTCCTGTCCCTCCTCGATCTGTCGGTGTGGTGCAGCGCCTGCGACGCCTACGTCGACCACTCGCTGCTGTATGATGCGCGCAACAACGCGCACCGCTGCAAGTTCGGTGAGGACATGCCCTGGTGCTACAAGAATGACACTATACACATGCAGTAGCTGGTTTAACGGACGACAATAGTAAGATAATAAGTGAGAGATGACAGCAAGTAAGTTGACTGATTGTAAAGAATATATTAGAAGTTAACAATGGTATCTAGAAGGGAGATCGTGCTTTATATTGCTAGCAATGGAATATCAATTGTTAACAGTATGGAGCACGCTAGTTTTCGGTACTAATGATCCCCCCCCCCCTCCTTCAATACACGTTTAGTAGCGTCGTCCTCGTTACCTAATAACTTTTATTGATTTGTAAACAAAGATATTCCATCCTATATAATATGAGGTACCTTACTTACTACTTAACTTGTTTAGTTAACCTTTAGCATCATTTGAGTGTTGTCCCAACAACACTTATTGAAGCACAAAAGTCGGAAATAGACAAAATGTTTTGAGCTTCCCATACCAATGTGGTCCATCAAGCTGTGAAGTTAATATGAGAGGCTCAAAGTTTTTTATCATTTTCAACCCATCTTTGTTTGATAAAAAAATGTTCAGTATTTAATTACGCCTTACAAAATATTGCACTTTCTGTTTGATTCTGAGGTAGCTAATGTTACTCTACTCTTATTGTCTTTGTCAACCTATAAGGAATCGAAAGAGATGGCACATATTTTAATTAAGCGGAATTAGCTAAGCACTAATTCACTTTACTAATGTATTAGTGTCCTTTCGTTGCCTGATTCCGATATAGCTATATCACTACTATCTTTGTTGAATTCGGAAAATTCGTGAAATATAGCACATATTTTTATAATGGTTATAGTATTATGACTTAGAATCGACTAAAAACTTGTTACGTTTTTATCTTATGTATGATAAAATAATTGAATAAACACAACAATTAATGATAACATATCTTGTAGTCCTAAACAAGTTTGAGTTTGGTTAATATGAAACAGTGTCAGCAACTTCTGGGCTAGATATAATTATGTTTTATTATGGGTACGGTGAAAGCCACTTAGAGATAAATTCTAACACACTAGTCCACTAAGTTGTGATGAGCTTAACATTGGATGATATAAATATTATGTCCAAACTATAATTGAAGATTTTCATCGCTACCAAATAATGGTAATAGTCTCTAAAGGGAGGCATGTTTATACTATTGACTCACATAGCACCGCATAGAGAAAAATTAACAATTTTTGTATTAACTCTCTCAAATTATATTTTATTTAAATGACACTTTAGACCATTGTATGCTGACTTCACACAACAATTTAACAATTTAGATATATCTATGGTAACTTATTATAAGAATTTAACAATTAAAACAAAATATTAATAATGTTAATATTACTAATCATTTTGATAATGGTATCCGGCTCGAAGGACCATAATTTTTTGTTTGCATTTCATTGTAATTATTAATGTCATAAAACATGACTTTTTATTATTTATACTTTTTTTTTTATTTGTCATTCCAATTGAGAATAGGTTTTTTTTTTTATTACTTATTAATTACGGTTTGTAAATTATGTACTTTATTTATCTACGCGCCCCTATTGGAAGGCTATAAATTTGAATTTCTATGAATTTCAGTACAATTAAAAGCCATTTTGAACACTTCTTTATTTGCACTCTAGTTTTAATAGTACACATACACTAATTACAGTTACGGGACGGAGTGCAATATAGTAGCACAGTCTAAACAACTAATCTACCAGTCATTCAACTGGCACATTAGACAGCAATATATTCCGAATTGCCATATAAATTATACATACCGGAGGTGTTGGACCACTGGTTATTACATACACTGTGACACCATTATAGTGATATGCAGTCGATTTGCCATATTTTGCCTCGTATATATTATTTAATATCAGTGTACTACCAAATGACTGTATATTTAATGTAAATACTCACCTATACACCTTGTGTATATTTATTTATTTTGATATGTATGTACATATATATTACAATTAGATTTGTTAGACATAATATATTGTTAAATACTATTATTTATTATAAGGGCCGTGTCGATTTTCAGATGTCCACGAGTTCATTGTTGATAAATAAACATTGCATGTCTCCACTTTTATCCTATAACGAAAAAGGAAACAATAATAAAGACTACTTTTAATTTCATTAATTAATTTATTGTTATATTTTTGACAGTATTAAATCTTTTTTTTTATACAACTTAGAATGGCAAACAAGCTGACGGCCCACCTGATGGAAAGTGGTAACCGTCGCCTATAGACATGAGCAGTACCATGGACATAACAGAGTATACTGTTTCGCCCATGATACCCCGCATGCGTTGCCATTCCTGAGGACTCAGGTGTTATTCCTCTGTACCCTGTAAATTCACGCCATATCTCACCCTTTAAACCGAAACACAGTCATGCAAACACAACTGCTTCACGGTTGAAACACTAATGGAGCAGAGGTACCCAAGCAATCGACTTTTGTACAAAGTCTCCCTCTGGTAATAAATATTATCTTAAATATTGTATCATCATATCAGCCTTTAACTGTCCACTGCTGACCCATAAGCCTCCCCCTTGTGGGGTTTTGCCACTAGTTGCCAATCTTGTGAGGCAAATTGGCAACCCCAGTTGTGGTGACGTTTTAAGGTGGCTGCTATTGCCTATCCCTCGTCCTTCTTAGTCGGCCTTTCGACACCCACGAGAAAGATAGAGCTGGCTTATTCTATGCCGGGACAATACGGCGGATTAAATATTGTATAGTGTGCTGTAAAGACATCTTAATCAGCCATAAGCTGCAGTCAAATAAACAAAATAATATTATTTTGGAGTCAGTTATTAATTGTATATTTAATAATAATAATAAATAATATAATTACAATATTTTTCCATTACTGTATTATATAATATTCTATTGTTTTTGATGAATGCATTGGTAAATCTGTAAGCTCGCCAAAAATGTGAATTCTATGGACAAATATCGTCCTACTGTAAGACCTACCAATCAGGAACAGCCTTCGGATAGTTGACGATTTTACGTGTGACAGATTGTGATTTAACAGTTTCACTTCGATTGATTATAATCTACCGAAAAATAATGCGTCAAATTGTAAGCAGTATGCGACGGTTCACAATCTTTCGACAGTTTACAATCTCGCGAGATAGATTGTAATCTAACAGTATTTACAATCTTACAGTGACATATATATTATAAATAAATGAATAAATATTTATGACACAACGACATTAATATTTTTTTTTAAATATGGTTATATAAATAGTAGTAAAAGCTAATATCTTAACAAATAAATATTTAAGAACCCAGTATTCAAAACTGATGCTTTATTAGAGGCAAAAAATGTGTTTATTTTACCCGTTTCAATTTCGAATTTCGTTGTGAATATTTGGTATTTAAATTAATTTGACTGTTTATGTGTATAAACTAGATTGTTGTCTGAGATTTATAACCTAGTTCGACCTAGGGAGACTTTGTACAAAAATCATTTGCTTGGGTACCTCTGTCCCATTCATGTTGTAACCGTGAAGCAGTCGTATTTGCATGGCTGTGTTTCGGTTTGATGGGTGGGATATGGCGTGAATTTACAGGGTACAGAGGAATAACACCTGAGTCCTCTGGAATGGCAACGCATGAGGGTATCATAGGCGAAACAGTATACTCTTTTATGTTCACAGTATTCCTCATATTTATAGGGGACGGTTACCACTTTCCATCAGATGGGCGGTCAGCTTGTTTGCCATTCTAAGTTGGATAAAAAAATAGTTCAAACACAGACGTTTAATTCGATCTAAATGCACAAATGTATTTGAGTATTCGTACTTACGTTTACTGTAATTTCCAGTACTGAGTTTGTTACAATCATGGTTTTTTTTTTCATTTATTTGGGAAAACTAACAGTTACAAAATAAAGAATAATACATAATATTAATCAAAGAAAACATTGTGTAAATTTGCCACCAACACCGTTTACCACAGTTTCAATTCAAATATAATACAAATAGCTTACGCAAAGAACAGTTAAAAATTACATGAATCTTTTAGAGATTAGCTTTTTAAAAGTGCTTGGGCGTTCATTAATAATATCAACATCATTAAATAAAGCGTTATATGAATTCACAAGTCTATACAAAGGTGACCGTTTTCCAGAATTTGTACGACAGCGACTAGTGGCAAAAAGACTATTTGGATAACGGCAATGCACTCTAGTGAGTATTCTATAACACAACTTATTAATAATTGGACTACAGTCATATCTATTATGACACAAATCATATAAAAGCATAGTTTCTAAATACGTCAATGATTGAGTTTAATTGAATGAATGAATGAATGAATAAATGGTTTATTTTCTCTTCACAAAAGGTAGAATAAAGTGACAACTTGAGGTACAATTTGATATGAAGACCAATTTTGTGAGAGACTGGTGCTTGCGATAGGTTTAGAAGAACCTGTATTACAAGTCACCAGTGCCCCATCTCCATGGACTACACAAATACAAGGCAACCAAATAGTGTCATAATACACAGATAACAATAATAAGATATAAAGTGCAAATTACTTGACAAATATAATTAATTTATATTTTTTTTTTGTGCTATGTACTGGATTTGAGTTCCCAAGCACTTGCGTTTGCGCTTTTGGTGTACGCTCGCATATGCCAAGGTTTGCAGCTGGTTAACTTATAATATGGATGATGGATTTGGGCTTCAACATTTAGTGGGTACTGAGAGCATGATCTTTCTGATGCGGATTGATGGACGATGAGTTGTCATGGTGAGGTTTACAATTTGCAGGTTGGCAGTTGATGGAGTTGATAGAAAATTTTGGAGAAGATTTGAGAGTTTATGAAGAGGGTGAGTATTGTAATTAATTTATATTTGTCAAGTAATTGTTCTAGCGATAGAGTTATTATAGATGGACTATAATTTGACGTAGGTATCTGACTTTGCCGCGTTACGGTTTACATATCTAGCGATTATCCACTATGTGGATGTTAAAGATTATCAATATTGATATAGTGATAATGGTCGACGAATAAATGCGAAAAATATTTTCACACGCACGCATAGTAGATAAATAGGTAATTGCAAATTTAAATTTCATAAATAATTATTATTTTATTATTATACCAGCCGTTAATTGTCCATTGTCCAACATAGACCTCCCCCAAAAGAAGGGGTTTTGACAGTAGTAGTGAAACTTGGCAGGTGGGTTGACAACCCTAGTTAGTCTTTGGTGATGTTTTAAGAAGGACGCTGTTGCCCATCCCTCGACTATTTAGTTCCCTTAGTCGCCTTTTACACCCACGAGAAAGGGTCAGCCCATTCTATGCCGGGACCACACGGGCGTTATCTTTCCTTTTTTGTCCTCGTCTTAGGCCAACGCATTTAGACCCACTCGTGGGACAGTTTGACAATATAAAAAATTTACACACACACATATATATATATATATATATATATATATATATATATATATATATATATATATATATATATATATATATATATATATATATATATATATATCTATATATGGGCCTTATAAGGGCCATATATAGAGTGTGTATATATATATATATATATTCCTCATTATATATCCTATTATTAGTTATATAACCCCTTATTTTAATTTATGACAGTTAAACAGAAATTTGTATTGTCCTTGTGTAAAATGGACTATTTAATCACTTGATATATAAATAATTTATTTTGTCGGTGTCGTTTTATTTTTATATTAAATAAACAAATATAAATTTTCTGAATCAGGTATTTTTTTGGGAAATCCATGTCACCGATTAGTTTATTAGAATTATTTTGTTTATTACCGTTAGCGTTTAGGTTTATGCGTACGACTAGCAACATTTAGTACTGGGAATTAATAACTAAGATTGAGTTATACAAAATAATTCTAATCGATTATTCAATGGTATAAAATGGACTTGATGTATAATGTGAACTATCTGTGTAACCACATATTTTTGTATGCCGTACAGGCCAAACATGTCGAACGTTATTATATTGTCAACATCTGCATGTATTTATACGCATGTTTTACAAATAAATAAATTTTGAATCTTGAATAAAATCTACAAATCATGGTGCAATCTTTTATGTGTTATGGTGTTTTGTAAAGGCTGTCTCGTTGCCTTTAGACGACACTGGCGGCTATTGAGTATTAATATAATTGTAACAATTCCTTATTTTTATGTTAAAAAATTAATTGATATATTTGGCAGTATGTAGTGCCAAACAAATTGCTCATTAACAGTTAAAAAGTATTAACAAAACAATAAAACAGTCATATCATGTTAATTTACCTTGTGTTTTATTTGGTACTACCTGTTTTTAAATGTTACCCGTTTACAATTGTCCTAGAAGCCCTACAGTGGAAGTTTTGATGCAAAAGCCACCAATTTGACCATAGAGGACATCTTTACTAATCCCATTAATATAAATACGAAAGTTGGTAACGATTGGCGCGTGAGTGGATGTTTGTTACTTATTCACGCAAAAGGCACTCAGCAGAGTTGAATATCAGTGTGTACAATAAAGTATAAATAAATTTGATAATTTCGCGTTATTATGTATTTATTTATTCATTAGTACAAATATGTGTATATGGCGGACTTAATGCTAAAAGCATTCTCTGCCAGTCAACCATAGGGAAGTGTCAGAATACTCGAATGCGGTACTAGTAATTATTGATATACATACATACTAAAATTACACATATAAAGGTAAATGAATTAAATTTATAATCATTTCGATTTTATTTTATTTGAAAATTTGTTCATATTAGTTTTTAGAATATAGATTTCACAGTGATATCGAATTGAAATCTTATTTTCACAGATAGATCTAGAGAAATGGTGAAACAGACTGGACCCCCAATATATTGACTATAGTACAAGTTTTGGGTGCACCGTCATCTCTTATCAGGGCCATATATAGAATGTATATGGCCCTGATAAGAGTATATATATGTAAATATATATATGTATATACATATATATGTAAATGACTAAAAATATATAGATACTATTCACTGAAACTTGTTATCTGATATCATATTTAGTTAATGCGAAAGCCGATAACGAATTCGAAGAAATCTTACTACCATATAACAACGTTAAACCTCTCATAAGCCCATTTTAGCTATTGAAATATTTTGTCTCTTTCTTTGGTGCTAAATTCCCTATTTGAAAGAGACAAAACAGTGTAATAGTTAAAATAGGCTTGTTTTTGGGAAAAAGGTTAGTCTGTAATAACGGTTTAATTTTAAAAGTAACGAATTGAGATATTGTTTTTTTATTTATTTATTTAATTCTTTATTGCACACACTAGTTATAAGGATATGACAGAAGTGAGCTTAACTCTAATAGAGTTTTTTTTTATTGGTGAAAATGGTATGGTAACCCCGCCTGCGCTAACGGGATACGCTGGCGTAGCACCAGTGAAGGGTGATCGATGAGAATGAAAACAGGCCAGTTAGCCCATCATGATGAATTCATCAGGAATTAACCATGATAGTTTCCAGGGGGAACCGCGAGGAGATCGACCTGGTTGGGTATATTGCTAGCAATGGGATTCTCAGTCTCCATTACTAATAATTCCTTTTCCCCCATTCTCTAATAGAGTTGTTTTTGTTATTATGTATCACTTATTTATTTCCAAAACCAAAGCCTCCTTGAACGGAATTCTATATTTTCATATTAATAAGGGTTATATTTTCTTTATATGATAATACCAAACATTTAAACTACCTAATACCTTTATTTTTTATGCATCCTCATTATCACATCGACCGTTAACTGTCCACAGCTGAGATATTTGTTGAGAGAGAGACAGAGAGATGACGCATCTCTGTGCATCTTCTACCGAATTTATCATGGGGAGTGTTCTGAGGAATTGTTCGGATTGATACCTGCTGCTGATTTTCACCACCATACAACCCGCCACAAACTAACGTTTCATCCCAATCATCTGGACGAGTGGCAGTCTTCCACCGTGCGTTTTTCAAGGCACTTTCTTCCACGCACAACCATTCTTTGGAATCAACTTCCAGCAGCAGTATTTCCGAACCGATACGACAACATAACCTTCAAGAAAAGAGTATATTCCTTTTTAAAAGGCCGGCAGCAGACTTGCAATGCCGCTGGTGTTGTGGGTGATCCTGTGCGGCGGTAGTCACTTACCATCAAGTGAGCCGCATGCTCGTAAGCCCCCTGTGTTGTAAAAAAAAAACATTATTTCCTAACATTATACCTTCCCATTATTTTTATTAACCCTTGTTAATATCAAGTATAACTTTATAACACAAATTTATTTACAAATATTTCTGTGCAAACGACTTTATTGCTCTAAAATCTCGTGTCGCCATGTTTATTCACAGCAAACTTTAAATCTCTCGATTGATTTTAATGTAATCTGTTAATGTGTATGTATTGTTTGCTTCAATTTGAGAGATAGGCTACTTAGTTTTTATCCCAATAAGAAAAAATGCGCCCTATATGGGTCAAAACATTTGTCGGTTAAAATAAAATTGTGAATTGTCAACAAATGGAGATCTGGACTCGCCCAACAAGGTAAATTTAGCCAATAAATACTAGCGTTGTGTTATCAGTTATTTTGCTAATAACATCAGTGTATGTGGCGTGCGCTGATAAAATGTTTTTGAAAAGAGCACTTTTTAAAGCGATCTCATTTAAAAATCTAATAATCCAGTTTCATATTGGCTACTCGTAATTATACGATTTGCTCTAACAATTGTGCCGCAAAATGGATACATACATCCGGATGAGTTCTTTCAAAGTATTGAAGTTGTCGCAGGTAATAAATATATCTTTAAAAAAAAAGTGACTTCGACTTGGACCTTTTAATACAGCAACTTTGTCAATATTAATTTTATATGATAATATTTTTTTTTTTATATTGTTTCAGGCGATATTCTTGATGTAGACGTTATAAGAACTTGGGAGTTCAATCCAAAATTTCCCATCAGAAACATATTTGTACCCAAAATGGTACTGGGCCCACCGTTACACTTCATACGAATTGTAAACCCTTACACTATGTATTACCTTAACATTGACTTGAAAACCCCATATTATTTACTAGTTATACCGCGGCTGTTTATATGCCTTCTGTCATTAATCAATGACTATTGTTTGTACAGAATATGCATACTTTATGGACAAAATTTTAGAACTCGTTTAAAGCTATTTGCGAGCTCATATGTAGCTCTTGTTTATTGCTGTAGAAGCTTTTCAAACACATTTGAAATGATTCTTTTCTCCTTACTTTTACTATTTGTAGCTAAATGTATGCGGAATTCTAATAAATATAAACCAATAACTTCATCTATTGAGAGAGTTAAACTATCCCATTTGCCAGAACATTCCCTGAACTGTAATAGAATTTTGTCTTCTGTAGTAGTAATAGGAATATTTAACCGTCCAACATTCGTGGGGTTTGCATTTGCACCGGTTATCTTCTGGTTACTCAAGGAACTCGAATTTAAGATTGTGAAACTCAAAGATTTTACTCACCGAATATTCATATTTATCATGTGTGGTGTCCCCACTGGCATGCTGCTAATTATTGTAGACTCCGTTTATTATGGACACATAACAATGGCTGATGTAGAGTCTCTGAAGTTTTCTTGGGGCAGTTGGGTAGTCACACCGCTGAATTTCATATTATACAACATTGATACAAAGAATTTGACACAGCACGGATTACATCCGTGGTGGCTACATCTCGTTGTGAATGTTCCATTGCTGTTCAATGTATTGGGAGTATTAGCACTTGTATCAATAACTGGAAATACCTATAGGTAAGTACTTTTTTTATACAACTTAGAATGGCAAACAATCTGACGGTCCACCTGATGGAAAGTGGTAACGGTCGCCTATAGACATGAGCAGTACCATGGACATAATAGAGTATACTGTTTCACCCATGATACCCCCCATGCGCCACTCCTGAGGACTCAGATGTTATTCCTCTGTACTCTGTAGTTTCACGCCATATCCCACCTTTCAAATCTAAACACAGCCATGCAAACACAACTGCTTTACGGTTGAAACACGAATGGGACAGAGGTACCCAAGCAAACGACTACGATTCAGTCACTTCTGTTTTGTGTATCAACGAGTAATAAGATTATAGAGATATTGATAATGAAGAAAAGGTAAAAAACGAAGAAAGAAAACACAAACATATCTACGAGAAAACGCGGCTTAAATACAGGCAGATGACCTCTATACAACTAATAGAGTTTTTCCGACCCGCACTCTAACCTTTTATTTTTTTTATTTTTAGGGTTCTTACCTTCTTCAAGTATATCAGTCTTATCGTACTTTAAATTGATTTCTCAGATAAGATTTTACCTATTTTATTTACTCATTGAAAGAGAGAAATGAATGGGCATCTAATAAGTTTCTACTTTGGGTTCAGCTATGGGTTAGTTGGGTTGGGTTCAGTGTTAATTTTGGTTCGACAAAACCAAGAAATCTAAACTGTCTTAACATAATCTAACTCATGCTTAACCAGTTATATTACTTTTTCTATCGCATTAAAAAATCATGCGAAAATTTTCTTAACTATAACCCCAAGAATTTCTTGTAAATATAGCGAATATTTTAATGCTTATCCTCTAAGCATAATTAGATAAGTGATTTCATTAAATGTACATGAACTTGACCTGTGAACTCAAAGTATAATCGGTGTCTGTTTTGTGAATATGAGATAGAATGTTAATTACAAATATTTTAACAAGCAGGAATGTTTGATAAGGTACCTATGTAAGTGAACAAAAAATGTAAATAGTAAATTAATTACAATTACAGATTTATCCGAGGTCAATACAACAAATTGCCAAGAATCCAAAGCATTACGGGACTAATGCTGTTCTCTCTAGTCACACCAGTAGCTGTATTGTCACTGTTCCCGCACCAAGAGGCCAGATTTATCATACCAGTTTTAATTCCACTAATATACCTCTACGGAAACCATTTACACCCAAACGAAACTGATGGCGCGAAATCTAGAAGACTGAAAAATATATTGCGTATTTGTTGGTACTGTTTAAACGTACTGTGTACCATATTCTTTGGGTTCATTCACCAAGGCGGTATATATCCTTTCTCAAACAGCTTCTACCGCGAAATAAAGAGTAATCATGGAATCCATACCCACGTCGTAACTTCACATATATACACAATTCCCGCCTTTTTGCTTCAACTGGAAAATAAAACGCCAATTTGGATTGAAGATAGAAAGACTAAAGATAAGTATAGACTAGCGTCAACAACTTTTCTGTATAACCAAGGTTCTATACCATTGGACGAGTTATTTATTAAAATTGACGACGTTTTAACGAATGCCGAGATGTTGTTACACAAAGATAGACAGCAATACAAGTTTTATATTGCATCTCCTTGCTCGTTAGAGAAGAAATTTCACGACGCGGCCAGCAATCATTATGTAGACTTAACTGAAGAGTTTTTATATTATCCCCACCTTAGTATGGAGGCATTCCCTGAATTTCCAAGTGACCATGATCAATCATGTGTGAAAACTAGTCTACGGATGGATGAATTTAGTATCAATTTAAATATATTCCAAAGTTTCGTGTTTTTTTAATAAATTGTGTCTTAAAATTTATAGAATTAGACCGTCTGGTAAATTTAAAAATTAACTGGTATTCACAAGTATGAGTAGGTATATTAAAATACAAAATATTTTACTTTGAACTAGAGAAAGGTGTACGCATGGTAGACAACTCTTCAGGTCCAAGGATACGTTGAAGCGGCACATACAATGCTGTAAAATAGGACCTTCCCAATGGGAACAACGAGCTAAGAATGGGCTAGAATTTTTTAGAGCTCTCCAGCTCTAATAAAATAAAAAAACTAATAATTTTGAAATGTCACGTCTTTCTCAACTGGATGTAAATAGAGATGAAATAAAAGTTCGACCACCAGCAGCAATATATATTTTAAGTCACTATGAGACACGCATGAAAGAAAAAGGAAATTGTTGTTTTATATATTTTGCTTATTGGTTTTGTTTTTCATTCTTTTATCTCATTTACTGTGTATTATGAGTATGTTTGTATTGTAATTTGTGTGCTGTAAGTAATGTAAATAAATTATCTATCTACTTCTCTAATTATCATTACAACAGCGGTAGTGTGTTTGCATGTTCGCTATGTACGCTACCTTTATTAAAAAGATTGGCTATGTAAGCCTCATCCGAGAACACCAACGTCAACAACAGCCCCATATACAGACAAATTTAATAATAGCGGAGTCATTACCTCTTTATTTTAGTGAATTGAAATAAAATTAATTTTGATCTGTGAATAAAAATATAAAGTTTCGAAGAGGCCTTTGGTACTTTTTTATTTGATCAATAATTCTATGGTGATGGTATAATTCTGTGGTGGTACGGTACACACTCTGATTTGCGTACTTTTGCTACCGAGTTCGATTCCCGGTCAGGCCAAATAGACATTTCTAGATTGATTTAAGTGCGAGTATACTGTGGTATGTCTCCAGGTACTCATTATTTGGTTTTTCATAAGAATGTTCTAGCAAGCGAGTTTGAAATTACTAAAAAGAAGTACATGTGAATGTGAATGTGAGAAAGACTGTTTTCCGCGCTTAGCCTCTCATTTGGGCCGTTGTGCTTATGAGTCGTGGCTAGTACAGCCAACCTAGCTCCGCCCAGAAGCGCAGAAGCTTCCTGGGTTCTTCACAGGCCTCACGGAGCGACCTCACCGTTCCGAGGATTTCTAAACGTTAATGGGCCACAGCCTCACATTCCAGGATTACGTGAGCAGCCGTTTCTTCAGCGAAAAGAAGTACATTTGATTCCATAAAAAAATGCCGACTTCAATCATGCACGCATGCTAATGGTAAAGGAGTTATGGGGCCGCCTGAAAATCAGCGCTATATAGGTACATCTCGCTGGAGCTGTACATATACAGCAACAGCTGAGGCGGCTTCTATTACCAGCAACATTGTTTTTTTTTTTTTTGTTGTTTTTATTTTCTTAATACTGGTAATAAAGGTTATCTATCTATCTAAAACCAGTTATGTCATTTTAAAAACAATCTACTGAATCGATTTTTGATAAAATTTATATGGGACCAATCTAAAAGTATATCCTTTCAGATATACTTTAAAATAAATCCAAATCGGTTTATTAATGGAATTTTGAGGTTACAAAAATAAAAAAAAATACAATCGAATTGAGAATTTCCTTTTTTCAGGTCGGTTAATAACATCTTTTTAGAACAAGATATTTTAGTCTTATATATCATAGTACTTACTCCATAATACATGATAATTGCAGGACACTAAGCTTTACAAACACCTGTAGCAGCACAATACCTACTTCGCGGGGGGGGAGGGATTGTTAGTAATGGAGACTGAGAATCCCATTGCTAGCAATATACCCAACCAGGTCGATCTCCTCGCGGTTCTCCCTGGAAACTATCATGGTTTATTCCTGATGAATTCATCACGATGGGCTAACTGGCCTGTTTTCATTCTCATCTATCACCTTTCATTGGTGCTCCGCCAGCGTATCCCGTTAGCGCAGGCGGGGTTACCATACCATTTTCACCCATAAAAAAAAATACCTACTTCGAAAATAAATACAATACAGAAATATAATTAATATTTCTGGGAAAGGTCTTCTTCATTAAAATAGTCTTTTCATTCCTCACGGAAGAAATCATGAAATAAAAACACTGAAATAATAATAAAAGCTTTTATTTTAATAGTAAATAAAAGCAAACTATTGCTTTAATAAAAGCAATCGATACAAGTGCTGCAATCACTTCCCCATATCGACTTCATTAGACGTTGTAATTATTCACAATGTAAATCCAGATATTTGTCATGAATCAGACATTTTAAGTGCTATTTGACGTTATGGTACCCATAATCTATTCAATACACTAGTTGTATTACAGTAATACTAAATAGGCAAGGTAGGTAGTGATGCATGCTATGCATTTCGATTTGAAGGCTGGGATATGGCGTGAATTTACTGGGTACTGAGGAATAACACCTGAATCCTCAGGAATGGCAACGCATGGATGGTATCATGGGCGAAACAGTATACTTTGTTATGTCCATGGTACTGCTCATGTCTATAGGCGACGGTAACCACTTTCCATCAGGCGGGCCGTCAGCTTGTTTGCCATTCTAAGTTGTATAAAAAAATAAGAAAAACAGCTATATTTTCAGTACTAATTATGATTCTCAAATATTAGTAGTCGTAATGCCAGTAGGGTAGAAGCCATAATTAAGTAACTTCAAAAAAGCGAATCAGTCTAATTTTCTCAGGGCCTCTCATTGTATGGTAGGGCATTGGGCCTTTTAAGATAGGGCATTGCCCCTCAATGCCCTCCCCCCCCCCCAGCTACGGCCATGTCGTAATGTAAACCTGTACACAAATCATCCTTGCCTCTTAATCTCTGATGATATTGATGAGTATTCGTATATATGTATATAATAACAAATAAAACTTAATTATAGTCATACAAACATAACATTACAATAACTGTCGAATTTCTTGCGGTTACATTCTCGTCGCAGGTAACAACATTCGGAACCTAGCAAAAGAATCATAAAAAATGACGACTTGTAAGCTTGTAAACAAGTATATTTTAATGATAAATCATTTATATTTCTATGCAAAAGTAGCATATTATGCCAGATAATTTCAATACGAGTAAAACAACATTACGATATATATAGCATTACAGCTGTTTTCTTCGACTGCCGTAAAAAACTAAGGATTGCGCATCTTGTAGGCTTGCTAACAGCTCGATTGATATTTATAAAAAGAACATCGTGATATAACTGCTATACGCTACACAACCGCCCTCTTTAAAGACTAAACGTATGTTACATAAAAAAAAATCTTTAAGGCAATAAAAATCGCAGCCATAAGCAAAAGTCATTTAACATCGAATTTTTGTAAGTCATGTCTTTTGTATCGCCTTAAATATTGTAATGATAATATTTAAATAGCGTGCCATATTTGCACTACCATGTGTTTCCAGCATAGAGAGGGCCACTCTTTCCCGTGGAAGTCGTAAGAGGCGACTAAGGAAACTTTATAGTCGATGGATTAGCACCAGCGTCCCTCTTAAAACATAACCAACAGCCAAACTGCGGTTGCCAACCCACCTGCCAGATTAAACAATTACTGGTAAAATCCCCCAGTGGTAAACGCCATAACGATATAATATGTAATATATACATATTATATACATATAGACAATATAAAAGCCCCTTTCCTTATGACAGTCTATAGGGAGGCCTTTGTCCAACAGTGGGCAGATAATGGCTGATATGGTGAATAATTAATTACACTTTCATTTAAATGCATTAACTATGATAACAGTAAACAGTAAGTTTCAAAGAAATTCAAAATAGATTAGTTAAACAGTATTACTTTCACATTACTACATAGTGTCATTACAATGTAAGTAAAATCTAATATTTCAACGTCATTTCCATGTCCCAAAAATTGTATGACAATTTTTTGGACGCTTGTTCGTTGAACGATAGGTAGGAAAAAAATCTATAAACTATAATACCATATAACGTGACGTACAATATTTAAGATAAAGCATATATTGAACATATAATATAATAAAAAAAAATTGAGCAAAATAGGAATGCTCATTTTGTTATACATATAATACAATAAAACTGATAACACAAAAATAAAAAATAAATCGATGTCTACATACATACATATATAACGGAAATTAATTAAATTAAATTAATTATTGTTAATAACAAGTACAGAGAGTTTTTTTTGTTTTCTCAGTGTAATATTTTCTTGTAATTGTTTATATTTATAATAAGTTTACTATTGTAATCTTTTGGAGGAAACAATAAAGAGTATCTATCTATCTATCTATATCTATGTATATAGACATCGTATTAAAAAAAGAACATAAGTTCATTAAAAATAATAAAAAATAAATTGTTTCAGATCACTGCCAATATAAATTATTTTTCAAAGTAGGTACATGTTTGTATCTGCTACGTGAGTATAGTCAGTTCCAATAGGACTTAATGAAAAAGTAATCAAATTTTGTTGAAATTATTACAAAACCACACTCGAAGTGAAATAGTAAAAAAAAAAGGTGTAACTAACACCTCAAAACATTATTAATTTTTAATTCTTTATTGCACTTGAAACATAAAAAAAATTACATAAACAATTCAAGTGAATACAGTAGCATAGATTAAAATATACCTATACATAACATTCAATTAATCAAAAAACAGTTTTTGATAATTTATATTTTCATTAAATTCTATTAAAAAAGACTATAATTTAAAATTATCACAGTTAAATATGAAACAGGATATACTAATTATATCCTATCGATGAAAAAATTAAATACATACTTAAGTAAAAATAATCTCTTATTTAATATTCCTCTATCTAAAACGGCTTAACCAAATATGATTAAGCCATATATTGTGATGATTTACTGGCTTTGGTATCTTACGCGAATTAGTATTTTAAAAACTAAACATATGGCCCAATTGTACTTTTATATTAGAAAATTGAATTTAATAATTTAATTGAGCAAATATAATAAATAGCCTGAACATATATATATAAAAATAATGCAATTTAAAGTGATAAATAAAAACTTTTCATATTTCAATTTTTGTCATTTTACATAATTGTATATAAAAGCAAAGATTTAATTATGCAAGAAAGAGAATATTGATACTTGGCTCTTGTTATCCTCCCATAGGTCTCTTTATTTCTTATATTTAGTAACAGGTCTGACCCTATAAATTTTGAGACAAAACTTTCTAAAGAAACATGAGATTCTTTGGAACATATTCAAGTCAACAACACGAGATTCGTTCGTCCTTAATAGACTAGTTTCCACACATGACTGGTCGCGGCCACTTGGGAATTTGGGGAAGGCCTCTGTACAAAAATGAGGGTAATACGAAAATTCTTCTGATAAATCTATGTAATAATAACTAGAAGCCGCATGGCGCAGTCTCTGCTCTAATGAGCAAGGAGACGCGACGTAAAACCTGTACTGTTTCTTATGTTTGTGTAACAACATCTCAGCATTTGTTAGGACATCGTCAATCTTAGTAAATAATTCGTCCATTGGTAGGGAACCATACTTGTGGAGAAATGTGGTGGGCGCCAATCTATACTTATGTCCAGTCTTTTTATCCTTCCAAATTTTCGTTGTACTCTCCAACTGAAGTAAGAAAGTGGGGATACTATAGCTATGCGTGGTTATAACGTGCGTGTGGACTCCATAATTGCTCTTTATTTCGCGGTAGAGACTGTTTGAGAAGGGGTATATACCGCCTTGGTGAATGAACCCAAAGAATATGGTCAACAGTACGTTTAAACAGTACCAACAAATACGCAATATATTTTTCAGTCTTCTAGATTTCGCGCCATCAGTTTCGTTTGGGTGTAAATGGTTTCCGTAGAGGTATATTAGTGGAATTAAAACTGGTATGATAAATCTGGCCTCTTGGTGCGGGAACAGGGATAATACAGCTACTGGTGTGACTAGAGAGAACAGCATTAGTCCCGTAATGCTTTGGATTCTTGGCAATTTGTTATACTGACCTCGGATAAACCTGAAAATGTAATTATTTTATTAAATATTACTTAATTCCATTTCATACTTATGAATTCATAATATGTACCTACATGACTATCAACTCAATCGAATTGGATATTCAGAGACATTGATTAATTTTAAACTTTCGCCTTGGTTACAATAGTACCTACATACGTAACTTTTATTACTGACATTTCGACATGGGCTACTAGAAGACGTCGTTCTCCTCAGCTCTGTCGTAACCATATGGCTGTAGCTAGAGGGAGAAGTGGGGGGCGTTGAGAGCAATGCCCTACCTTAAAATGAAAAGCGCCAAGAAAATTAGATAGTTCGCTTTTTCTAAGTCATTTAATTATGACTTCTGCCATACCAAAAAGTTCTTAAACTCGGGTCTAACTACGGTCCTGCGTAACAAAGACATGGAGCAACGTATATAAGTACTCTTTACCTGTAACGCATCACATAATAATCTGATCGTAAATTTAAAATATTCAAAGAATTTTTATTTAAGGGCGAATATGGAACTCCTCCTGCGCTATCGGTATACACGGCCGGGGCATCAGCTACAGATGATAAGAGAGAATGAAACATGTCAATTGACCCATAGCACAGATAATATATTACTATACTAGTACCCATTGTGACGAATTCCTAAAAATTAACCAATACGGTTTTCAAGGGGAACCGCGTGGACGTCGACCTGATATGGCATATTGCAAGCAATGGGGTTGTTTGATTCCCAAAACTAACGATCCTTTCCCCCCACCTCCCAATAATAGCTATCGGACCAGTTGTTTAGTGTCAGCGACATGAAATATGATGATGACTGTTTCATCACTGTTAGTAAAAAAAATTCCCGCCAAGTATACACAGGCCACAGATAAAATAATAATCTTTTTTTTTTTAATAACGTAGCCATACTCATTTTATACAAATAAATGCATCAATACTATAATAAATCCATAACATACCTACTTGCAAAAACATTCTGGCATGTTAATAGTATACCCGTCGTAGTTTCTATAGGCATTCATTCTTTTTTTCATCTAGCTTTGTTAAAAAGATATTGTGTAATTTAATAGATGAAAAGACAATAAGAATGAGTTGTTAGACAATTCAACTACATGAATTTAATTGTCTGTCTAGTGATATAAAAGTGTACCTAAGTTTACGAATGCAGTAGAATTTTTTTTATTATTGTATATCGGCAATATTGCGCAAGTTACTTATATACAATACTTATATATAAGTATAAATAAATCTTGTTTTTCCAAACTTTGGTAATTCTAAGCCTGCATTTTAGTAAATTTTTTATTGTTTTTATACTCCAAGGGTTCAACAGTGGACTGTTAGCAGCTGATCTGGTAATGATGATTTTTTGTACACAAATGTTTATCTTAATTTATTTACGAAACATACGAAATTTAAATAAGAACATACAACATTTGAAAAATGACTAATAATTACTAAGTGTGGTAAATACACGCAAACAGTACTAATCAGGTTAACAAGCTTTGCGCGTAAATTGTATTATCCCTTCTAAGAATACACACTGAGATAGAAAACCTTGCTGGAGTAGCAGTTTTACACACTGACTCACATTCTAAAAGTCGCGTATTCGATTCCGTATCATTTGTATTTATGAGGGAATTGTCTATTGTTGTCTGAAAATTTTCTTTGCAAGTTGTTAGGCTATTTATAAAAAAAAAATATGTCTACCAGTTGTCTAGTACAAACTCTGCTTTATTTGGAATAAATGGCATTGTGTGATGTCTAATTATATTTCTTTATTCCTGTAGTTTAGATAGTATGGACACATGATGGGCAGGGATGAGAAGCATGTTTTAAGAAATGTATTAAATATGAATGTGGATTTATATTACATAAATGAACTCACCTGTATGTATGTCCAGCTATTGATATAAGTGCTAATACTCCCAATATATTGAACAGCAATGGCACATTCACAACAAGATGTAGCCACCATGGATGTAACCCGTGTTGTGTCAAATTCCTTGTATCTAAGTTGTATCGCATGAAATTTAGTGGTGTAACCACCCAATAGTCCCAGGAGAGCTTCAGTGACTCCACATCAGCCATTGTTATGTACCCATAGTAACCAGAGTCCACTACAATTAACAGCAATGCAGTAGGGATGCCACACATGATAAATGTGAATATTCGGTAATGGAAATCTTTGAATCCAACCACTTTAGATCCTAGCCCCCGATGGAGCCAGAAGAAAATTGGTGGAAATGCAAACCCCACAAAGGTTGGACGGTTAAAAATTCCTATCACTACTAATGTAGATAAAATGATGACACGGTTCAAGGAATGTTCGGGCAGATGGGTCCGTAATTTAAAAAGTTTCACTTTCTCAACAGGGGAGGTGGCCTGCTTATATTTTTCATTCAGAAACTCTTCATGATATATAATTTTATCAGATTTTTGCATACATTCAGCAACAAACAGTAAAAGTATAGAGAAAAAAATAATTTCAAATGTGTTTGAAAAACTTCTACAGCAATAAACAAAAACTACATATGAGCTTGCGAATAGCTTTAAACGAGTTCTAAAATTTTGTCCATAAAGTATGCATATTCTGTACAAACAATAGTCATTAATTAATGACAGAAGGCATATAAACAGTCGCGGTATAACTAGTAAATAATATGGGGTTTTCAAGTCAATGTTAAGGTAATACATAGTGTAAGGGTTCACAATTCGTATGAAGTGTAACGGTGGGCCCAGTATCATTTTGGGTACAAATATGTTTCTGATGGGAAATTTTGGATTGAACTCCCAAGTTCTTGCAATATCCACGTTAAGAATATCGCCTGGAACAACATAATAACACAAATCATCATCTAAATATTAGGTTCAAACAATTTACTTATAGATTGGGTTGTAAAATGGTTATTACGAGTCCTTACCTGCAATAATCTCAACATTCTGAAAAAACTCATCCGGATGTATGTATCCTTTCTGTGGAACAATTGTTAGCGCAAATCGTATAATTACGAGAAACCAATATGAAACTGGTAATTTCACTGGATTTTTAAATGAAATCGCCTTAAAGATTCCGGTTTTCAAAAACATGTTATCAGCGCGCGCCACAGAGGTATATTCACTGATAATAACGTGGGAATTTTATAGGCTTATTTTGCCCGATGTATTTTGTAATCACTTTACATGGTAGTTAGGTATTTCTTCATGAATTCATTGAGTAAAATGTTATGTTGTAATCGTAACAAACGAGATGTAGACTTCATTAATAGCAATTGGTTGCTACTTTTCATTTAATACAAAAACAGACTAAGAATGCGAGAACAGTTTGGGAACAATCGCTAATTGTCAAAACAGTATTAGATAGTACAATTGCTTTCTGATCGCAAAATGAGTTAAATACACTTTTATGCAACCAAAAGCGACATTTGCGACCTATTGGCAAAAAATAGAACTATTTAATAATTGTAACTTAAGTTCGTAAATTGTTCAACAGAAGCAGTACTATCGAATGATCGTCAGTCATTTTCAAATAATACAAAACATTGATTGTCGGTTTTCGGATACTGCTGATATTGCTGTAAGTGTTTTACCTAATAGGAAATCAAGGCTTATTCACCTTACCGTTTGTATTATTCTCAATCTATGAACCATAATTGTTAATGTCACTATACGTCAAATCCTCCCGTTAAATTGATAGTGTCAACGTATATCTCTATTTGTTGTTTTTATTTACACTCAATATTTTCTTTTCTGTTTTTACAATTTATTTGAAAAAAATCAGATTTTTATTAAATTAATAATTACACTTACGTGATTAAATTTGTAGTTGGGGGTCAATAATAGTAACCAATCTATTTTCATAATTTTACGACATGAAATCTCATAAAGAAACAGTGCAGTCTGTCTTAACTGACTTGATTATTGTTCTCCGCATGTATGAATGGCTTTTGAATCTATACGTTTTGGTAAGTTAATTGATTTTAAAAATTACATTCACTCTCCACACTGGGGTTAAAAAATAATAATTTTCCATTTGCTTTTGGAGCCCAAAGAGTGTAAAGAATGTTTTATTGTCATATCAGGAAAGTAAATCTATATACTGCAAGACTAAACTACAGCTCGACTTGAAAGACGAGAAGGCCCAGGATCATTTTTGGCCAATAACCTCACGCCTGAAATGTTCATAAAATATCTTCATAACTTAGATTGTATAGATAGTGTCTCCATATAAATGCTTTGAGAAAAGTGGGCTAATTTTTTTATACAATTTTGCATGATAAATGGTTATGAGTGTTTCCTTTATAACTTCTATCTTTATTTTGTTTTATGATTTTTGCATCTTTTTAATAATGTTTAAATATAATCTTTTTAATCATAAAAACTTTTTATTTATTAAATAATTAAATATAAATACTTCAAGATACATTATGTGTATAAGTATATAGGACATTAATAATTAAAAAAAATTAGTCAGCTAATTTGACAAATACCTGACAAAAAGTTGACCTGTTTTTGAGACTCAATGCTCTCTCTATATAATATAAGGTTCACAACTATAATCCTACCAGTTAAAGTTGATAGAAAAAATGTGTAATTTCTAAGAGTATATTTTTAACTAAAAAGTAGTTATTTATGTTTATATAAAAAGTATATTTTTAAATGTAACTTCATCTGAGGTGTTCTTATATTAATGTACATTTATTATCTTTTCAGGACTTCTTTGTTGACAATCATTGGGAAAAGCTACCAGCTAGTTGGCAGGTGACATTCCAGAACATAGATCCCCAAGTTCTTGGGGATATTATATTAGGAAAACATAGCAATTATATATTACCTCTGTCATTCTTAGCATTGATTAAGACAGTACAAACTTATAGTTTGCCAAGGCAATCTATTAATAAATTTGAATCAATTAAAAAACCAGAAAATTTATATGATAGCTGCAGTGGCCACCCGAGATTGAAAAACCTTTATCTTAAACATGTAAAATTAAAAAAGAGACATGAAGTAAGTCTTATGGCAGAAATTGTACATCAAGCAACATTACAAACTAAATGCAATGCTGTTGTTGACTTTGGTTCAGGTTTGGGACATTTAGTAAGGCTGCTAGCATACAAGTATGACCTTTATGCTGCCGGTATTGAGTGTCAAAGTCAATTAACACAAGATGCTAGGTCTGTACCATTGGTATGTATGTTAAAAATGGCTTAATTGAAAGCAAAAACATTTTTAAATATAAATTTAAATAAATGTTTTTTTTTTTTTCCAGAAAACATGACTTACAACTTGAATATACAGCTAAAAAGTATTTGTCAGCGGAAAGTGGTTTAAAATTGCGCCGTCCAATTCATTTTGATATGACTCTAAATAATATTAATCAACTAGATAATTTAGAGTTACCAGATACAATTAAGGACTATGGCTTGATAGGATTACACCCTTGCGGAGACTTGGGGCCATTGTTGCTCAAACATTTTGTTAATAGTAGCAGAGTAAAGTTTATATGTGTGGTAGGGTGTTGTTATATGAAACTGACATGTGACTGTATTGACAGAGGATATCCGATGAGTCGGTACCTCACAGGATTGGACAGTGGCCTGTCTTATGCCAGCAGAGAAATAGCATGTCACGCAATTGAAGTGTATTGTGATAGACTGAGAAAAGGAAATTATGAAGATTTGAAGGTGACATAAATTGTTATTTATATTATAATTATATCACTTTATTTGTGCAATTTTTTTAATGTTATGTCTTTTCCTTATATGTTCTGAAGGAATGACGACTTTTTGTCCTATTTCAGGTCCATTCACTATTTTCTTTTTATTGTAAAGATGTTAGTGTTGTATATGAACTATAATTTAATATAGTCTACAAAACTTATAGGATCTATGAAATCCTAAAAGCAGATGGCATTTTATGGTTTCTACCTAAAGTTTGAAAGTGTCATATTGTAATTATGTTATATATTCAGTCATATTTTATCTTCTGTAGTTGTAACTATGGTTTAGCTCAGTGATTCTCAACCACTGTGCCGCGACACTTTTGTGTGCCGCCAAATTTGGCAAATATTTAAAATTTTTGTCGTAAACTATTTATGCAGTGTGTTGTAGTAAGTTAATAATGTTTATCTTTTTCTTTGTGTGCCGCCAAATTTTGAAATCGTTAAATATGTGCCGCAACAAAAAAAAAAAGGTTGAGAATCACTGGTGTAGATAAATATTTCAGTTAAATTTGTAGATACACGCGTACAGAGCAGCTCTAGAAAGAATATTAGTGGAGCATGACCCCAAGTTGCGCCACGCCCCTGTCAGAAGTATCAAACATTTCAACACCATGACATTTCAAAGGTAAATGTAACTTAGTTATAAAGATTAAACTAACCTAAATACTGGGGGGGAAAGGGATTGTTAGTAATGGAGACTGAGAATCCCATTGCTAGCAATATACCCAACCAGGTCGACCTCCTCGCGGTTCCCCCTGGAAACTATTATGATTAATTCCAGATGAATTCATCATGATGGGCTAACTGGCCTGTTTTCATCCTCATAGATCACCATTCACTGGTGCCCCGCCTGCGTATCCCGTTAGCGCAGGCGAGGTTACCATTCCATTTTCATCCAAATAAAAAAATTATACTATATTTTATAATTATTTGTAGATACTGCACACTAGCTGTAGAGAAATTAGAGATTCCGCTACCGGTATGTGCGGACACGTGGTCTCGCGGCGAGGCAGATTTGCAGCACTGGCGGCGGGTAGTGACCGTGTACACGCTTCGGCTCTTGCTGGCGCCCCTCGTCGAAACAGTAATACTCCTCGATAGAGTACTCTTTGTAATTGAAAATGGTAATTTTTCAATATTGTCAAATCATCTTTACTAAGATGTATGTTTGCCTTGAAACGTTGGTCAATCGTGTTCATAAATACGATATGGAATCTTGAGTCAACAATACGGTTACCGCTTTCCATCAGGTGGGCCGTCAGCTTGTTTGTCATTCTAAGTTGTATAAAAAAAAATTACTCCACTAGTTAATTTGTCGCAAAAAAGAATTATTAAAATTCGTCGTAAAGATAGTGGTTAACAAATACAAAAAACAAAAAAATCATTTCGTACACTTTCTTATTATTATTAATATTTAATTAGCATGCATTAACATTACAAAAACTTGAAAAATTTTAGTACCACTTAAACCTCTAGGGCTTGAGTGTGGCACTAAAATTAAGTACCTAAGTAAAGTAATTTGGGTCACTCCGACTCACATGGTGAAAACATATTTTCCAATATTTTTCTTTTGTTTTATAATTTAAAAAAATGTATTTAATTTAATTGTATGAACTCATTCGTGTTGCAACTGTGTTTGCATGGCTGTATTTCGGTTTTAAGGGTGGCATATAGCGTGAATTTACTGGGTACAGAGGAATAACATTTGAGTCCTCAGGAATGGCAACGCATGGGGGGTATCATGGGCGAAACAGTATACTCTGTTATGTCCATGGTACTGCTCATGTCTATAGGCGACGGTTACCACTTTCCATCAGGTGGACCGTCAGCTTGTTTGCCATTCTAAGTTGTATAAAAAAAAACTCATTTGTCAATTTACATGTGTGATAAATGACTCAAACAAAATGTTTATCTATCTATCTATCTATCACTTTACAAACCTTTTTCACATAAAAAATTGTTGAAAAAAAATTTTCATACTGTTTACGTAATTAATCAAAGAGAATTCTTTTTCGAAATATATTTAATATTAAAGAGAAAAATAAACACATCTATTAAAATACAAGTTACTTTACACATTATACATCTGTACAGCGTACATTTTTTTATGACATCGACGTAATCCGAATTAACTAAAGCGGAAAACATAAACGTAATAAGGAATGTATTTAAATTAATTACAGTTAAATAATACTATTTTAATTTTATTTGGCACTTTCAAGATCGAGATTTACAGATCTATAAGATCTATTGATATTTAGTATGTATGGCTGGTATGTCAAGCAAGCTGATGGTAAATGTCAAGCGTCGCATATATATTTTAACACTGCTGACCGGGATTCCATCATGGTTTAAATCTTTGGAATTAAACTAAAATTGTGATAAAAACCTAAATACAAAGAAAAATATTTTTTTAGTTATGAATACTTTGTAATTCAAACGATGTTGCCCGTCGAGGTAAGAGGACGTACCTTCACGCTAGTGCAATGACGAGTTTACTGGTCACCGGTCAGCAGTGTTAAAGCATTACACTATGGGCGTCGCAGTATATACTGTAATGCCTATTCACATATGGTATTATTGTGACAATATTAAGGATTAATATTTTATTAACATACTAAGGTACTAACTTGTAGATGTATCATAATTGAATTTAAACATTTAAAAAGTTGAAGTTACTTGATAGTTTTGTATCAGATATTTAAAAGGATAACGTTATACTTGTTAATAGTAATTTAATCGAGTTTATTTTAATTAATTTGGAAGCAAATAATGTATATTTACCATTTATATTAAGAGGTTAATTTGTTAATTTCATTTAACCACTATAGGGCATTGTTTTAATTATAATGTAATGCTAATGAAAATAATTTATTCTCTTTCAGGTTTAACATGCAATATCTATCCAGTATTTGACCCGAAAATATCGCCAAGGAACCATATTATAGTTGCAAGAAGAGCGTGAGAAAAATAAATTATTATTTAATGTATTCAATAATTTTTCAGTTATTTTTTTTTTATTTTATCAAAAAAAGAAATAAATTCATAAACTTATTATTTGTTATAATTTAATTATTTATAACCCTTAGTAATTAAATTAAATTTATAATTGTGATTCCTATAACTATAGGTTTGGTTAAGGCTCGGATACACAAAAGAGTTTGCTTACATTTTATTCAATAAAAGTATAGTGATGAACGGACAAGATGTTTTAGAGTAAATTCGCAAAAGAAAACGACAGGTTAATTTCCATAGATTTTGATTTGCTTCACTCAAATGTATCACATAGACATCACAAAATATACTGCGATTTAGGCAGGCCTCATGTGTCGCCAACCCTAATTTTAGTTTTGAAACCAAAACAACTGCACGCATAGCTACTACTCGGCAGAGATAGACAAAACGGCGGTACTGACCGCTCCAGGAGTGTCGCACAAAATCACCACCGGGACTTGGAAATATAAGCACCATTAGTAACTTCTTTTTAGGAAGAAGGCGTAAGGATATGTTTCTATGTAACGAGGATATGTTTTAGCGAGAGACTATACTAACAAAAAGGCAGGATGCGTACCTCTGTTTTGTTTATTTCTCCCGTCGAACTATGCATGCCGTGTTCCATTTGTGTTGAGTTAAATATCAGTGGAATAAATTGGTGTACAAAATCTTGATATCACTAGAGTTGATAATGCGCAAACGATGTTTTTGTTATAAACCGGACATTTACAAAACGGAATGCTTGCTTGACATACTTGTTTTTAATAACTCAATAGGAATGTGGGCGTAAGTTTTCACATGTGACATTCGTGGCATCATGCATTGGCTGGTGGTTGCGGGGGCAGCATGGGCGCGGGCTCGTCGTCTGAATCGTCGGAGTGGACGCGGGTGAACCGCCGCCGCTCCAGTAGTCTTCGTAGCTTGAACTCGCCGTGACCGTACTCCCAGCGGCGCCGAGTTATACCCTTGCGACCTATGAGTCCGTTCACATTACTAATATAATAAAATTGTAATTAAACGATGCCTGTACGTAGGAGATATTAAAGACCAAAGGGAGACTTTATACAAAAGTCGATTGCTTAGGTACCTCTGTCCCATTCGTGTTTGCATGGCTGTGTTTCGGTTTGAAGGGTGGGATATGGCGTGAATTCACAGGATACAGAGGAATAACATCTGAGTCCTCAGGAATGGCAACGCATGGGGGGGGGGGTATCATGAGCGAAACAGTATACTCTGTCATACCCGTACTGACCATATCTATAGGCGACGGTTACCACTTTCCATCAGGTGGGCCGTCAGCTTGTTTGCCATTCTAAGTTGTATAAAAAAAAAAAAGAAAGAAATACTTTTATTCAAGTAAACTTAGATTTAAACATTTTTAAATAGTCATTTTTTTTTCTTTACCACTCATTTGGTAAAAAAATATATGAGGTCTTAATAAGACCAATAGGGGCTAAAACAATATTTTTAGACATGTCTGTTTATTTCGGCATCACGCAATAATTACTGCATTAAATTGGATGCGGCTTTCACAGTTGTATTCCTGAAGGTTTAACTTGAAGTCTAGTGTATGTTTTGTCTTGTTATGTTTCCTGGAAGTGGTTTACTTCATTAGTTTTTCTTCACGCGTACGACAGCAGCACGGGCAAAAAGCAAATCTATATAGTAACGCATGTGAGACTGTGTCAGTGTGAGACTGCTCGATACCTAATTACCATTAAGACGAAAACATAAAAGTCTAGAATAAACTTTAACAAAAAATATTTTTCTCTATCTACTATAAGTTCTTACAAACAGCATTTTTTTATACCACTAAGGTGGCAAATAAGCATACGGCCCACCTGATGGTAAGCGGTTACCGTAGCCTATGAACGGTTGCAATACCAGAGGTATTACGTGCGCGTTGCCGACCCTGAAGAAACCTCTTTACCCCCTTTTTAAATAAGCCTATGCTGTAGTCTCTTGAGAAAACTTCGACAGGGAGCTCATTCCATAACCCAAGTGTTCGTGGGAGAAAACATTTCTGAAACCGCGTTGTATGCAACCATTTAGGCTGTAGGGTGTAAGGGTGAACTCCCTGTCGATGGCGAGTCGTACGATGATAGAAAGTGGCCGTAGGCATCATATTGAATAATTCTTCTGAGCACAATCCGTTGTACAACCATAGGACTAGTAAAATTTGTAATAGTATAAATTTTTTTTTATAAGTATAATAAGTACTATTCAGCCGTAACAGCTGAATCTAGAATCTTGAAATTTTGCAAATAGTTTCTTGTATAGGCTTTTATATAGTGTAGGTGAACAATAAGGAATTTTGAAAATTCTACTCCTAGGGGGGTAAAATAGTGGTTGAAAATGTATGGAATTTCGTCAATTTAGATGATAAGACACGGGAAATTTTATAGAACGAGAAACATGATGTGATCTTCAACTATACATCGTGTATAAGTTGAAGCAACCGAAGCAAATGGAAACGATACGGAATTCCAAACAATATTTTACAGGGGTCGGCAACCTGCGGCTCGCGAGCAGTACCGGCTGTGAGCCGTGAGATGGATGTGAAGCTGCGGCTCATTAGTTCCATACGCAAATAATGCAAATATTTATTTTATAAGAAAAATCGTTCGGAATAGATTAACGAGGATTAAGCACCAAACTATTTATGCAAGTACTATTTATTGTCGCCAAGATAGTTTTTTGTGGCTCTTCAAAAACTTAGAAATTTTGTAAACTGTAATTATTTTTCCGACTCAAAAGGTTGCCAACCCCTGGCTATATAAGCTTACCTGTACCTTGTTACACAATTCAAAGATATAATAAAATATTTAATAAAACCGCACGTCGCTTTATGCGTTCCGAGTATGTCCCTAATTCATAGGCTCCTAACATCGCTTCAACTCAAAAAACAGGATCAAAAATAAAAAGTGCTTTACGTTTGTGAAATCTAAGCTTAATTAACAAATGCCATGCGAAGGTGCGATAAAATAAAAAACAAGAAAGCTGCTTCCAATAAATATATTTCAATAAATATTGCACATCACAATAATAAATTCGAATCACAATCACAATACAGAAGCAAAAGTAAAAATAATTTACTAACTAGTATACTTGTATGTGGAATTATAAAAAAAAAAAAAAAACTGCCGACGATATCGACGAATCTCAAAATTGTGACTCACAAATTAATACATGCTCAAAATTAATTCATAATACGATCTAATATTAAATACTGATAACGATAAAAATAAATTAATAAAAAAAAAATAAGGCTGCAAACAAATGACTGAGGATACGTAATCGTTACAATAAAAAAAAAAAAATATCATGGGCATCAGAGAATATATTGTGACATTCTTGGTACCTACTGCAGTATCGCGCAGTCATTTGTTCGCACCCAGTCAAAGAAGAATGAAGAAGGCGGTTTAGGTAAATCATCTAAAATACAACCTCCATACTAAGTGTGGGTAATATAATATATAACATATTTAAATATTATAGTTATAATATCTATATATTGGTCTAAGTACGAATATATTAAATATCTAATATTATCCAATATAAAGAAATTAAGAATGCGATTTAAATTAATATACATATAATATCTGACAGATATGAGTGATATCGAAATAGTTGAACTTTTTCCGATATCATCGTTTAGAGGAATACAATATATAGATACCGGAGCGATATTGATATTACCCACGCCTGCTTCACACTTCTATGTTAATAATAACATTAAAAAAAAAAAAAAACAATTTCAGATCAAAGGAATGTAGATCACGATAATTAACTAGGTACAACGTATTTGCACATAAAAACTAAATATATACCTACTAATTACAATAAGCTAAGTCAATAACTATCTAGAGTTATATACCAAATTATAAATATTTATGTCGATTTTATTAAGATTGTAGTAGCAAGACTAGTTTCAGATTCGATTGGAGGCTAAGTGGCTGACGAATCTGTTACATTACCTCTGTCCCATTCGTGTTTCAACCGTGAAGCAGTTGTGTTTGCATGGCTGTGTTTCGCTTTGAAGGGTGGGATACGGCAGTGAATTTACTGGGTACAGAAGAATAACACCCGAGGAATGGCAACGCATGGGGGGTATCATGGGCGAAACAGTATACTCTGTTATGTCCATGGTACTGCTCATGTTTATAGGCGACGGTTACCACTTTCCATCAGGTGGGTCGTCAGCTTGTTTGCCATTCTAAGTTGTATAAAAAAAAAAAAGATATAATTTCGCTGCCATCCGTGTGTGAGATAGAACGAGACAGCAACGTGTGGCATAATGTTACTTCTTACTTTGATCTCTTATTTTTTTTTTACACGAGATAACAAAAAGTACCATGGAATAGATTCATTTGCCACTTCACTATGGGGTCATAATTATCGGTATCTCTCATGGTTGTTTCGTACAGCATATAAAAAAAAAAATCTATTTTTTTATGTTGGCAAGCAAAAATCTGCCTGACAGCTTTTTTTATACTACTATGGTGGCAAACAAGCATACGGCCCGTCTGATGGTAAACGGGGTTACCGTACGGGGTGACTATTCACACATACATAGGGTACACTCATGTACGCTTGCAACACAAATTGTGTCAGGTGCATATTGGCGCCTTTGGACTTGAGTTTCTATAATTCAACTATCCTCAATCATGATTTTAAATTAAATAATAATCAGACCCAATGTTAATGCCACAGAATAATATGATAATATTATCCTTTAGGAACTCTCAGATGTAGTTAATAATTTTATATTAGTATAATTTATTCTCTAAGAAATTACATTTAAGTTTAGCTATACAAAATGCATTTTTGTGTCACTCTAAAATTGTGTTCATGTGTAGTTTACACTTAAGTACGCTTACATTATTCGTTCCAAGACTTAAAAGTATAATTAAATAAATAATTATATATATATATATATATATATATATATATATATATATATATATATATATAATTCGTATACATTTTGTAGAAGTATTTTGTTGTTGTTAAGTTTATTTGAAAATATTTTAATTAAAAATATTATTTTTTGTACTTTTTCATTTCTACATATCTATTAAATAGAAATAATTATGCAGGAAGCAAACTAAATGTGCGTTACATGTAAAACATTCTATGTTAAAAGTAAATTATATGTAAATGCTAAAAGGGTAGGCATATCATACTCACAAATAATCAAAAAATGGGGCCAATTATTTCATATTTATAAAATTTGATTAAAAATATGAATATATAGAAAATTAAGAATTCTAATTTCAACAACTAATTAAATTCTGTATAAATTTGTACTACTATTAAGATGTCAATATAAAGATTCAAGTGGAGACGTTTTGTAGTCAGTATGATATGTCTGCATTTTCTACGGACGGAATGTGTATCTAGGATGCAGGATTTGGTGACGGTACGATGCGATGATATTTTTGAGATCTTGCAATAGTAGTATGACTACTGTTAAACTTAGCTGCTAATATTTGCGAAATTTTAAGAGCAGGAAAACGTTATACATGTCGTCGTATCGTACCATTAGTATAGTGAAAGCAGGCACGTAGATTTTAGCCCGAGTCAAGCGTGTTAATATTGAATTCTCGATCGACGTTCGAATTGGTTGTCTTGAAAATATCGCTTACAGCAATAAGGCAGCCTTATCACATTTATACTAGTCGTCTGTATAAACTATAAAGTTACTAGTACCGATACGGTTGATATCCATTTCACAGCTAGAAATTCAAATGTCAGTCAAATTCAATAATAGACAAAGAGGTACAAAACAAATGTGCCAAGGTCCATCTCGTAGATCGATTAATCGAACCATCGGGTGGTTCGATCGAGCAGTTTTACAAGCGACAAAATCTACGTGCGTACTGTCTAGGATAAGGAGAGTGGGCGTGCGCGTGGGTGTGGGCGTGTGCGTGGGCGTGAATGTGGGTGTGGGTGTGCGTGCGCGTGGATGTAGGTGTGGGTGTGGGCGCGTGCGTGTGCGTGCGTGCGCGTGTGCGTGCGTGTGCGCGGCCGCGCTAGCCGGCGAGCGTGCGCGCGTGGCGCGGCTTACCGGTGTTGCGCGCGCGCAGCAGCGCCAGCACGGCGAGCGCGGCCAGCGCGGCGGCGGCGGCGCCCGCGCCCGCCCAGCCCGCGCCCGCCCACCACGCCCACGCCGCCGCGCCGCCGCGCCCCCTCACCTCTGCACGCGACACGGACTCCGTTACTATGCGAAACACGAATTAGCATCCTGAAACTAGTGATCGACTCGAGCCGGATAATGTAAGGCCCAATAGACGTTACAAAATTAGTATATACAGTACTAGTAGTTTTTTTTAAATGGGTAAAAAGTAATTGATTGCCCTATTTTTTTTTAACGTATGATTTTAATAGTGACGCTGTCTACATGCGTTAGACGCTGGTAGAGTATGAGCAAAGGATAATAACAGTAGATGACGTACAATAGTTACGTTACTCTGTCCACATCTCGCGGACGTCTCGACTTAAAGGAGAACCGTGCATTAAAATTCAAGGTTCAAGAATAAGCTACACTTGAACTCCATTCGTAATTTTTTAACAAATAAACACATATAAATAGCAACATTTGAATTGAGTGGATTATTTTTTTACCAAATTACTCGCCACTAAAATAAATTACTAAAGAGGTTTGAACAAGCTTTTAAAAATGAAACCCGAATATAAAACAAAAACGGCACAACACACCTACTCACCAATGGTGGCTGTGGGCTTCACTGGCGTTTGCGTCGTGACTTTTTCTAATTTACTCTGGTTTCTTAGGCCCTCGTCCACGAACTTGCACACTCTGTGGGGGTCTAACTCTGCTACGTAGGCGGAGACTCCGTCGGGGGTGACTACAATGTCATGGGGGTTTCTGAAGCCCCCCTCTGGGGCGAAGGTTTGTATCAAACGGCCTGATGTGAAGTCGATGACGTATCCTCTCACTGGCACATTGCTGTACGGCCCGTTTACGACATACAATCTTCCACCTGTTCCAGAAAGAAATAATTTTATTAGTGATGTGACTTTCTTAAACAAGCAGACACTCACCAGTTGGCGAGTGAAGTAGGGGTATCAAGGCGAACCCCACTAGCTCGGCCTCACTGGGTTTTAAGCCGACATACGAGCGTGTGTACTGACCGTGCGCGCGTGAGTAGGCGACGCTGAAGAGGCGCGAGCCGATGAGCCAGTGACGGTAGCCGGCGCTGTAGGTGCCGTTGTCGGCGCGGAAGCACGCCACGCGGCCGCGTTCGCGGTCCGCCACGCACACCTGCCCACGATCCTCGGCCAGCGCCAACGCATGCGGCACGTCCAGCGTGAACGGGTCGCGTCCCGACCCTGCACGCAATATTTTAATATTACAATTAAAACCAATTGATGTACGATGAAATACCTAACAAACGAGAAGAAGGAGGTTGTTTGATTCCCAAATGATTCTCAAAGACGTCAGGAAGGCGGCCGGTTGTAAAACTAAGCCGAATCTTTTTGTAATATGGATAAAAAACATATTACGCCGACCCCAAATAATAATTGGAATAAGGTTAGGAAGTAGAAGAAGAAAATGTACGATAGATAAAATACCTTAACAGACGAGTAATCAAAGGGTGGTTATTAGTAATGTGGACTACCAGTCCCATTGCTAGCAATATACCCTGTCAGATCGATCTCCTCAGGGTCCCCACTAGAAATCTTGCTGCTAAATTCCAAGTGTATTCATTACCACGGGTTAACTGACATTTTCATTCTCGCAGGCAGAGTTACCATTCTATTTCTTTTTTTATGAATGATAATGGAATGGTAACCCCGCCTGCGCTATCGGTATACACTGACGGGGCACCAGTGAGAGTGAGAATGAAAAAGCAGGTCAATTAGCCCATCGTGATGAATTCACTTGAAATTCAGCACGATGGTTTCCAGGGGGACCACGTGGAGGTTGACCTTTTTAATCATTATGCCTAACAATGAGACTGGTAGTGCGCATTATTAACAACCCCCCCCCCCCCAGGATACCATTCTATTATTATCTATTAAAAAAATGGACCAGAGAGAGATTCTATTAAGAATCTCCCTTGTTCGTCTTTTTTGGGGTTCTTTGCTAGCAATAACAATGGAGGTGCCCTGGCAGATCGACACTCACGCCGACACCAAAAACCTTCAGATGTAATTTCTGAAGAATTTAGCACGATGAGCCACCTGATATGTCCTCGTCTTCATCTATCAATCCTCACTGGAGTCTCGCCAGCATATACCAATAGCATAAGCGATATTACTATTCCATTATCATCCGATAAAAAAAAAGATTTTACTTTATTCTCACCTAATCCGTCACTAATACTCCACTAGTATAAATCAGTGGCGAAAAGCAATATCATTTCAGCCGTTAACTGTCCACTGCTGAACATAAGTCTTCCCAACAAGGCTAGTTTTGCCAGTTAGTGCCAGATTTACCATTGGCAACCATAGTTAGACTTTTAGAGATGTTTTAAGAGAGACGCTGCTCCCCACACCTCTACTATTACGTTCCCTTAGTCGCCTCTTACATAACCCACGGGATAGGAAGGAGAGGTCTATTTTATGCCAGGACCATACGGCCAAAGAAATATTGTTATGCTCATTTATAAAAATTCACTGTCATACAACAATATAAGAAAAATAGTGACTAAAAAATTTTTTTTTTATACCACTGAGTCAATTACACACTTATCAGTGCAGTAATAAAAATCTCAAATTCGTGAATATTGTAATCAATGAAGCGTGTGCGCATTTTAATTAAGGACACACACGATTTGTTGAAGGCAATAACGTGCATAATTATCTATTATGCTTATTTTATGATAATCAATCTTTAATCAACACACACGCACACACACAACACACACACGTGCCTTGACTAGACATATTTTAGTTTTTCCTTTTCATCCTAAGGTTGCCTGGAAGAGATCGCTATTTAACGATAAGGCCGCCTATTGTTGCCTCTTTATTTAATCATAATTATAAATTATATTTCTATGTAATTAATTACATTTTGATTGTGTATATATTGTTGATCTTTATAATCTGTATCATTCTTTGAAGAGTTTTCATTCGTTCATTCATTCATTCACATACTATGGTTACGCCGCTTCGATTGTATTTCGCCTTGTCGATATTAGGTACCAAAAATGGATGGTGGTATTTGTTATTTTACCTAAGCCAAATATGAAAAGGCAATATATACTATTTAATTCAAAATTAAATAAAAAATTTATTTTTCATTTAAATTTTTTCTATATTTATAGTATTTCTACTAGTATCCAGGAAAAGTAAAGTATGTTTTAGATTTAGACACTATGGTTGGTTCATATACCAATTTTAATGAAATATGTATAGAAGCCTTGAAATATTGAATACAAATAAATCTATTACAAAAACACGTGACAAATTTACGTTTCGGTTTTTGTGAAGTTGTTATTTTTACTATTTTATCTAAAATTTGTGTGAACCAACATATGAGTTGCAAAAATAATCATCGAAATCTTCAGAATTTGCTCAGATCAAAGAGTTTCACTGCTGTGTGCTACTCACGTTTGCCCCACTGCAGTATGATTGTGCCATCTGGCGAGTACTTGATTATCCTGTGGTTGCAGTACCCATCCGCGACGAAGAAGTCTCCGGTGGAGAGGACAGCTACCGCGCTCGGTTTACAGAAGTGATTGTCGTCATTGCCAGGGATGAATCTGTAACAAAACGTATGACATTATTGTAAAGCTAGCTACGCCTGTTATTAACGTTGACTGGTCTCAAGGGATTGCACTGGAAGGGAAGGAAGGTTTTTTTTATACAATTTAGAATGGCAAACAAGCTGACGGCCCACCTGATGAAAAGTGGTAACCGTCGCCTATAGACATGAGCAGTACCATGGACATAACAGAGTATACTGTTTCGCCCATGATACCCCCCATGCGTTGCCATTCCTGAGGACTCAGGTGTTATTCCTCGGTACCCTGTAAATTTACGCCATATCCCACCCTTCAAACCAAAACACAGCAATGCAAACACAACTGCTTCACGGTTGAAACACGAATGGGATAGAGGTACCCAAGCAAACGACTTTTGTACAAAGTCTCCCTCTGGCAACCGTAGCTAGGCTTTGGTGATATTTTAAAAGGGATACTGCTGCCTATCCATAGCATATCATTCCATGGTAAGCGGTGACTACGGCATAAATCCATAGCATAACATATGCTATGGATGTTCGTAGAGGTGTCATGAAATCTAATTCGTTTTTTCATTTAAAAAAAGAAAGATTTTTTTTTTGTTTTTATGAACAAATGAGTAAACTTACATTACAATATAAAAAAGAAAGAGTATGTGTGTTTGTTTTAATGTTCTTATTTCGTAACTAATAGTTCAACTAGATACTAATACTTGAAAAGTACCTTTTATATTTGATAACTCATTTATTGAGAAAAGTTACAGACCAATCACGATTCACGAAGAACACGGGCAAAGCCACGCGATATAGCTAGTAATAAATAAGATAAAATAAATTGTGTACTGTTAAAAAAATAGACACTTGTAAGACTAAGCGTATGGTAAATAACCTATTTAATTACCTTCTATACAAATAACTGGGCTCTGGGAATTACAGTGACGTAGGTACATTTGTTGTTTAAACCGGTCCCAAATGAAAAATGTAAACATAATATTTTCGGAAACAAGTAAATGTTGTAAAAATATAAGATTCTGTCTCATATTTATGTTATATAATAAGTAACAAGAGAATGATAATTTGATTACTTATTATTTTGAACTTAACTGGTAAACAATGTTCACAATACTATGTGGTTAATCTTTAATGCATTTTATTGGTCAATTAGTAAGATAAAAATTAAATAAATAATTTATATGACGCCTAATGACTTACAGTAATTTATTATTTGTATACATAAGACAAAAAGTGGATGTTGGTATAATATAGGTCTTTGCGACTCGAATCTGTTTGCTTGTACCGTAAATACCTTTGCGAATATAAGTTGAATTTATTATTATTAAAGTATTAATATTTTTAAGGGAAATTTAAACATAACGAATGTAAACCTTAAATGCTAGAATAACATGATAGATAGATGAAATTATAAAAATCCACTTATATTAAAAACTAGCGGCCCGGTACGTGCTTCGCTACGTATAAAGTGAAATAATAAAAAATATTAATTTTAACATCAAATTCATTTATTCAAACAAAAAAAACTGTCAACACTGAAAAAAGAATCAATTTGACCGCACAATCCCTATCTTAAAAAAAGTTTGAATTTGACACAAAAATCCTCATTACAAAATGATCCGCCATTTATTGAATTCATTTGTTCGATCGAAACCGCTCGATCGATTTTGTGCAAACTTCACATAAAACATCTACTAAATAATCCGAACAAAGCCTAAACATTTGATTTGGATAGGTGAGCCCGTTCTTGAGTTATAAAATTACAACGAAAAGTGGCATTAATTTTTATATATATAGATGATTGATATATGTTGCGAAGTGTTTAGAACAAAGCAAACACGATTATAAATTTAGGCAGGTACATAGTGAGATTAATACTATTAATTGAAGAAATTGACAGTCAGTGATTTCCTTTCAATAAAATTTCCAGAATTGCAAAAAAAATTGAAATCAAGGCTATGCTATTAAAACTTGAGCATGTTCTTATGAAAAATTAATTGTCTATAATTAGTGTTACTGTATGATAATTATAATAAAGGGTTTCGTTTAAAATTTGTGAGGTAAATATGCAGGAATAATTTAGATCACGAGTCTGAAGAATCTCGATTGATTTTCACTAAATAGTAGATATTACTAACATACCACCAAAGTTCAAGTGGTAGAAAATGGTAATTTCCCTTTTTGTTTATAATCCTATAATTTAAATATCATAAAAACTTTATTTGAATAATTTCTATTTCTCTATGTTACTAGTAATTAAAGAAATATACATACTTTTCTCCTAACGTTAGGGCTGGCTTTTGTCGTTGGGTCGGTGTGAACTTAAAAACTTGATGCAAAGCCACATCTGTCACCCAAACATTGCCAACACGATCCACAGTTATACCGTGAGGCATGTAGAATCTGGAAATAAAGCTATAGCTTAATACACAGCACTGTGACTGATTTTATAATGATATATTTATATTTCGGTTATTATATAAACAAAATATTATATAATAACCAAATAATAAAAATATAATATAAGCAATTCTAAAATGTAACTGTGTTTATACCAATAAATAAATAAAACGCACAGAAATTTTATTAATACTTTCTAAGTTTGGTAGCTTATGACTGGGTTTCACACACCTCAAATATTTTTTACATACACTCCTGTCATTAAATTTAGTATATTAGAATGTAGTATAAATATTATGGAAGTATTTTATTATTATAATATATATTTATATATTTTTTTTTAATATTTTTTTTAAATTTAATTCACTCATAATCTTATTTTCTGATATTGTTCACAACTTAGATTACATGTTTATTTTTGTTATTTACTTAATTTTCTTACACTGTATAATTATGTATGTTAAAGTGAATGCTGTGAATACCTATAATAGGCATGTGCATTAATATTGTATTGTATTTGATGTTTATTATACCTATATGTTATAATGCAATATGCTGTTGGTGTTCCTTAAATAAATAAATAAATAAAATAAATAAATTATATTTTCCTAGTACTTCTTTGAATAAAATTGAAAAAATATCTTAATTATGTTAAAAATACCACTGAATATGATTTATACATAACTTTGTTGCAAAACGAACCTATTTTAATTTGCATTTCATAATTAATTTTCATATAATAAGGATTAAGATTGGATGGACCTTAAAAATTTTAGATGCCTTTTTTCTCTAAACAGTATTTTTTGCTGGGGAGCAACATGAACATTTTATACTGTGTCTCAATAATTATTGCTATTTAACAAGACACATAGGAATTGTTAAATCATGGTTTCTTTTCAGATGAATTATTATAATAAACAAAGTGAACTACTACAATACTAACAAATAAAATTACGTCTAAATAATCAAATTATTTTTAACATTAATAGATTGGGCAAAAATAAACTTACAGATTCTGTCCCCACATATCAACAAGTTCTCCTGTCTCATTAAACACCAGGATAGTAGGGTCTGGTATGGGTGGGTCACCTATTCGCTGGTACACATGACGTGGTGTGAATGTACTCGCATCCCATTGGTTGCCAGCTCTATGGAAGACCAGCAGTTGTCCAGTATTGTCCAGAGCTACTCCGGACACTTGGCCCATTTTCACAAAGGAATCTGGCCAGTCGGGCACCCATTGTGGTGCTGTTGAAATTTATTATTATTAGATTTTTGTCCCTTGATATTTATTAAATTAAAATGTAATGAAAACCAAACTAACATTTAAGAGTTAAGTATTAAGTAAATACCTAACAATTTTGAATACTACCATTTATTTTAATTATTTTGATCAATAAACATAAATTTCGCTATCAACTAACTAGTTATTATTTATAAATTTAAATAAAAATGGTAATGGTATCTAAATAAATTTTTATCAATTAATTATATGATAGCAATATACATTAGTAAGACTAGTTAAGTTTAAAATTAAATATAACATATATATAATTTTTTAATTATATTAAATGTTGCAAATACTAACCATGTTCCAATTTTCCCAAAGCAATCTTTATTTTGGGGTCTATAGCTTCCTGGTTGTCATAGTCGTTGTTTGAATAGTATCCCTCATCAGGAAACTGAACATACAAAAAGTTTAATAAGTTTAAAAAAATAGTCGATTCGAGGTTTTTATTAATAAAATTATTAAATTACAATCTAAAACATACCCCTCTTCCATGAGTAGGTTTAAAATTACTGAACACAAATAACAATTCTAAAACTGTTAATAAACTATTTAAAAAATTCATTATCAGCATAAAAATATGCTTCACTGCATGGATGGAAGCCGCGTTAATATTTAGATAATTGATCAACAAGTATGTATCTATCAATAAGCAATTTATAATAAATTTAATTTAACAACAGTGACGTATAATTAATGACGTCAACTTTAGTGTTGCCACTTGCTACTATTGCTCTTATGTTGTTCCTTAGATATCGAACTAGATATGATCTCCATAGATAGATAACCTCATTCTTTCAAAGCTCAAGTACCGCTTGCGGATATAAGTTAAAAATGGTAATTATTGTAAAAGAATATTGAACAGTTTTCGGCTGTAGTTATATATTTTATATTTAGGAGTTCTTATTTAAATGTAGAGAGCAAGTTTGCAATATATGGCACTTGAAATATTTGAGAGACGATGGTATGCTTATTCTCGTTTATATAATAAATTGCATGTCTTTTCATTGGATGATAATTCCATTATAATTGAATATAATTTTATTGATATTGCTCTAAGTTTTTTTTTAATTAATGATATTGGAATAGTAACTCGTCAATCGTTTACGCTGGCGGATCACTAGTGATGGACAATAGGACTCATAATCAATATACTTGGAAATCAGCACGACGAATTCCAGGGGAAACCGTATGATGGTTAACTTGATATTCCAAGAATTAGAACTATTAGCCCCTATTACTAATAATCCCTTCCACCATATAAATTGTCTTTTCCATCAAAATTATGAATTTGGAGTGTAGATATAAAATACAAGAAAATTTGATGAGGAAGAGATTGTAATGCGGTCTATTAGGTCCATTGGTTGCAATATAGGATATATTGATAGAAATGGAGTCAGGCTGAACCCCAAGGCGTATTCAACACGATGGGCTAATTGACTTTCTCATTCTTACATGTTGCCCCTCATTCATGCTACATCAGTGTATCCGTCAGCGCATGCACGATTACCATTCCATTATCATTCATCAAGAAAAAAAAAAATAAAAGAAATCTATGTTTATACAATATTTATATATATTTATGGCTAAAGGTAAAGAAAAAAAAATACATGCACTTCATACTAAACTTATTTTATTCACATTGTAGAATGAAATTATGACAACCACACATTTGCATGGTTTATAACATTACATAGAGATGCACATGTGTGCTCAGCTCCAAGGCTAACCATTGTACGGTTGATTTTGTTTATAATTTTTGCAGGAACATAATTGCCTGCATTTGGGTTTTTTTCACTTTTTTCATAGTTTTTGTAGGTAACTTGTAGTCATTTCTGTGTAATGAAACAATATGAGAATGTAATCTCCTTACTAAGGATAATCTCCACTTTTTCAAGTCACTATTGTTTGGTCGTGCTCTCAATAACCTTTTGTGATAGATTATTAGATCTCTCATAGCATTATTTTGAGAATTCTTTATTGTTCTTTCATTTTCGTTAACAGTTTGTACTGGTAAACCAGTAGGAACTGTAAACTGCTTCTCCTTATCAGATTTTTCAGTAGAGTCAGATTGAGTGTTAAAAAAGTTAGTATTATTCTTGGCAATAGTCGCCATTACTTTATGTTTTACTTTAAATTTACCTTTGTTTCGCTTTTTGCCTACTGACTTTGTGTTCCTCTTATCAAAGTATTTTTGTAGTAACTCTGAATAGTCAGTTCTCTCGGTGGCTGTAAATATACAGTGATAATGTTGCCCAATTTGCTTGCGCATTTCTAGAGTAATAGTTTTTTGTCTGAGTTTTGTAAGTTTTTCTTGAATGGATACTAATTCATTTAGATGTTGCGTTCCATCTGCAAGACCAGCCTGCCCTAGAAGTACCATGTTTAGTTTTCTGAGCATCGCATTTATATTGTCTCTGTTGTTCGAGACTTGTGTGGGACTTATTACTTTCTGTTGAAGTAGTTGTTGCTGACGATTTTGTAGATATGTCAATTCCTTGTAAAGAGCTGTAGGATCACCCAAGTCATCGTTGAGAGATTCTAGGGCTTTACTAATAACCCTTATGACGTTATTCCTATTTTTAGGAATGTTATACAAAAAAGAGTTGTCACTGTTTCCTTCCAGTGTTGTATCATGCTCATTGTCAGTGTTGGGTTTTTCTTTAATTGTAGTCCAATCTCTAAGTTCCGTTTGAAAGGCCTCTTGATCTGCGATTTTACCTTTTATATTTAAAAATAAATTCATATCAGAATTTTGTAAGGTTACATTACATTTCCTCATTGTGTTATCTAACCATTCTTGGCCATCCTTCGTTTTAAGTTTCTCTGTTATATCCTGAGTGATGTAAATTTTTGCAGATGTTATAACATCACTTGTGTCAGACACTTCATTGTCTTGGATCATTTGGCCTTTTTTGTCATGATTTGTCGAGAAAATAGGAATAAAGTCGGGAGCCTTCTCGACAGTAGTATCAGACGGATTTGCGACTACTCTACTAGTATCATCGCCTTGGTTCTTCTCTTGTGAATTGTTTGTTGGCCCTCGATTGTTTATATTATTTTTGTTATTGGCATTTGCTTCGGAACTTTCGGATGTGGAGTTTTGCTTTTTCTTTTTGTTAATAGTCTCGTGCGTACTTGGCGATTTCGATTGACGTTTGTTTCGATCATTCTTAGAAGTATTCGTTATCGAAGAGACGATTGAATCTTGAGAATTCTTACTAAATTGCTTGTTTTTCTGATTGTTAATAGGCGATTTAGAATTGTCCAGATTGGTTGACAAGTATAACGGACGATATTCAGACACATATGGCGAATTGATTGGGAGACCTGAAAACGGTAATGAGGAACGGCAAGTGTGGACGAGATGACCGCGGCGGGTGCAACCACTACAGTACAGTTGATAGGATTTCTTTGTTTGACGATTCTCCTCCAAAGGTACATCTATGTCCACCTGAAAAATATATTTATATTTAATATATTGATATATGTATAATAATTGGAATGACGGTTGGTTTATGTATTAAACTAAGATCTCTACTATCAAAATCAGCTGTCAAACTTGTAAGGATTCACAAGGAAAGATATCAATACATTTGTATTATTTTACAAACATGTGACTTTAGAAATGGTCCCATATAATATTTTCTTTTCTTCTTGAACTTTTTTATTATTTATTATGATTAAACAACAATACATATAACAACAATAATATAATTATCTATTTTAAAAGATCCTTTTTACAAAAAAAAAAAAAGTATATAATTAATTAAAAATTATTCCACATCATATATGAATATTGTTTCGTCTACACTATTTAGGTGTATAAAAGTTAAACAAATAAATAAATATTAATGGATGATATTTCCTGAGGTTTTGATAAAATAAATATATTTTTTAAATAATTTTTCATACAATAAACTGTCAAAATTGTTATCAATTACTTAGAATAAGAAAACATGGATTACACAGGTTATTAATGTCAACAGCTCACCGTGTTATGGTAGCGACGCCATGTGTCCGGGCAGTGGCTGGCGGGGTGGCCCTGTTGGCCACACTCCGCACATTTTATTCGCCCCCAGAAGCTGCAGTTGCGGCACATAGTCGAGTACATGTGGTTTGGAGATCCACACTGTAACAATTATTTGTTGGTACACTTTTCACTAGGACAATTTTTAACTTGTGATTCCTTGGTTTATTAGAGACAAGACGTGGATAACAAAATAGTTGTGTTACAGGCGTCCATAAACCACCAGACGGGCTGTATGCCTGTGCTTGTGCCCATTGTGGTATATAAAAAAACCTCTCTGGGGATAACATTCACAACATCACAGTATACTCTGTTATGTCCTTGGTACTGCTCATGTCTATAGGCGACGGTTACCACTTTCCATCAGGTGGGTCGTTAGCTTGTTTGCCATTCATCATAAACAGGCTGTGTACTTACACTTTTTTGCCAACATTGTGATATAAAAAAAGTAGGAGTATCTTAAGAATAGGATAAAACAGAAAATATTTATTGTCAGAAAAACACAAGGTTACAACAGAAAATACAGGAATATTATAATATGAAATATTATATTAGGCAAAAACAATTAGCTCAGCTGATGCTCTGAGTGTCCCAGTACAATGTGTACAGTTGCACAGCGATGGTTTTCAGCCAGCCATTTTAATTGATGAAAATAGATTCACTACAATCCTATACTTTTAAGATTATTAGTCCCCATTGCTAATAGAGCCAGAGCCCGTGGTGGCCAGACCTCTGTTAAATTATAAAAACTGAAAGTAATAAATGGTATGTACTTACATTGACACATATTTTACTTGGACACCGAGGTTCGAAATGTCCAGTGGACCCACACATGTAGCAGACAGGTGGCTTCATGCGGCAAGTGTCGTCCCGGTGGCCTGACCGGTTGCAGTAGTTACATCTGAAATGGGAAAAAATTATAGATTTGACCATAAGATAGTCTGTTCATGTCTGATAGTAGTATGAATAAAAAATCAATTAGTTGATTAATATTTCAATTTGTTACTAATTTTAACAAATTTTGATACTTTTGCATTAGTTTATATATACAAATAAAATTTCAAATGATCACTGACTTGTTTAAGAGATGAGAAGGTAATTTTCATAGATAATTAATGTATATGAATTTATGAATTGTGTATATAACATGTGGTTCATCATACAAATTCAAAGCAAGAAAAAAAAAATTGAGCCACAGGTTGTTTTCAACTGACTTGAAAAAGAAGGTCCTCTATTCCGTTGTATTTTTTTTTGTTTGTTACCTCATAACTTTGTTAGTTGTAAACTGATTAGGAAAGATCTTTTTTTATTTGAATGGATATGCTTACCGATTGGTCCCATTGAGATTTTATCAAAATCAGTTCAATAGTTTAGTTTTTAATTCAAAATAATTGATTTTGCCACAATTGAAGTTCTTTTTTTGTGGAACAATTTAATTATTTTATAAAAGAACATAAGTCAAGTTTCTTGCCAGTTTTGCCAAGCTGACATTGGACTGTTTACTGGATAATAATGTTAAAAAATTGCGTAAGTACCTAATTAATATTGTACCATTCATAAACTATACAGCTTATTAGTAACTTACGTATATTTTTTCTTGTTGTTAGACAGTCCTGGCATCCGGTCTTTGGCATCTATCATCCATAAACTTTTATCTTCTGCAAAAAAAAAGAAATCATAAAAGATTATTCGAAAATAATTTTTACTCACAACCAAGACATGTTCACTGACTAGGATTTAATTAGGATTTGTTTTTTTTTTTATTTTTCTTTACTTTGTGTATTATAAATATATTTAGGGGGAAGCCTATCTTCAATAGTGAATTATTGACAGCTAATATAATGATGAAATGCTAATTGGTATATGCAGATTCATTCATTCATAATGACACATATTTGTACTAATGAATAAATAAATAAAAATAAATAATCAATGAAATTTTTTTATAGCATTATGTCAGTACACAGATTATTAAAATAATGAATAAAGATGATAAATTATGTATCAAATTGTTACTTACTTGACATATGCTTCTGAATCTCTCTATGATTAAAATTTTCTCCACCCCAACTTTCATTATAGAACTTTTGCATCTCAGCACGCAGAGTTGTTAGTGAGTACTTCCTTCGCTTACTTGTCTTATCTGTACCTTTTAAATTGTCAAAATCAAGATTATCATACAGTATTGGAGGATATTTTGTAGATCCATAATTAGGAGTGGTATTGACAGATACAGGTTCATCTTCATAATCTGACGATTCCTTAAAGCCCGACACATTGGCCATGACAATATTTTCATTATCTAATATTATAAAATCATCATTTTTCGTCAAATCAACTATCACATCTGCTGATATATTGTTACAAGCATTTAAATTTTCAGATTTTTTTAATGTTTCATTCTGTGGTTTTAGTTGTTCCTCAAGAGATGTACTATGCTCTGTGCTAGCAGAACTTTTGTTAACATTACTCTTTGGATGAATATTCTCTTTTGTTACATCCGATTGATTAGAATCAGATTCATAAACGTCAGCATTTGGTAAACTCGTCTCTGATACAACAAATGTATTCTCATGTTGTTTTACATTGATGACAGATTGGTTGCTGTCTGAATCATAAACATCGACACTCGGTACACTTTTCTCTGTTACAGTATATGATCTTGTCTTCTGTTTCTTGTGTTTTGCCTTACTCTTTGGTGTTGCAAAACATTCATCAGGTTCATTTCTTTTTGTCACATCTAAGACGGCTACTGGGGTGGACGTAGCAACTGTCTCTTTAGAACGTTTCTTTTTCTTTTTTTTAGATGACCCATTTTGACCTAACAAATCTGAACCATGAAGGCTGAAATCAAAACTGTGATCATCTGGGCGCCGCGATGAAATATTCAAGGCAATGCAATCTCCACGAATAAATTCATCAGATACAGATGATACTACTGATGGGACGGGACTGGTCGAATTGCTGTTACTATTACTTGGTAACTTGTATTGTCCATTTTTGTCCTGTTCTTTTGATGGTGATTTAGAATTTGTAATAATGTGCAGCTCATCTTCATCGGAACTCTCTATTGTTATAGTTGGTTTTGGGGGTAACGCCACCTCTACCACCTCATCCTCATCACTTGTTTCAAGTACAACAGAATTGTGAAGGTCATTATCCAGTAAGTTTATAGTGGTTTTTATCTTATTTGGTGGACTTTGAACCATGGATAAATCTACAAATGGTGTATCGTGAGCATCACATTTCTCTTGTTTGGGTTTCTGATCATTTATATTTTGTGGTTTTGATGGTGAATTATTTTCCTTTTGCGAATTTACTTTCTGATATATATTGGACGAGTTCTGATCGACACTGGTGTGCCAGTAACGCCGTATGGTACTTCGCGGTGTGGTTTCTATTGTTTTTATCGGTTCATTATCTGCGGGCACGGTCAAGTTAGCCTCAGTCTCGTCCACGTGATGTAGCATTGCATACAACCGTTCCTCCAAATCATTTTCGTTAAGGTCCTGAAAATTAATATTGAAAAATAACCACGCAATGTTTCACAACTATGATTGTGACACAACAAAAATAGTAACCTAGCACTTACCTCCTCCATGTTTCCCCAGCGAATTTAAACTAAACAAAAGACTACAAGATAATAACATAATCGTGAATGTTAAATGAAATTAATCTGCTAACAGCATTGCGAGTAAATAAAAAGGATTTGTGTTATTTTAAAGAAATATCGAACACAGACTCCATTTCGAAACGAAACTGACTTATGACAGTGACAATTCCATTAGTTTTTTTTACTAATGTTTTTTTTTTATTATTTTTGTCTCTGGATAATCACTTGATTTTTTGTTCTTGCTTACTATGTATCTATGTTACTACTTCTTTGTTCTTAGGTTCATAGTTTTAATTAGAGTAGACCATAGATTGGACTGACATAATAATATCGAATAACGATTGTATTTGTGGTCTCTTTTTAATTCTAAGTGTAATAATAAATAAATTCATGCCCGTTTAGTGGTTTACAGGTTGACTAGATATTTATTTGACAAACACTGTGTATTATTTTAAAATTATTTGCTAATTGTTAAAATTATGTTACGCAAAATTAAGAATAATTCCTGCGGTCCTAAGCATAAAAAAAGAATTTTAGATACTGCCCTTGATCTATAGCTTTAAATGAAAGTCATCTAATAAATAATATCTAAATATATTTATAGCACAAACATATCTGTGGCGTAAACCAATAATGTTGGTCATAGATTAAGGATAGTATGTAAGGAAAATACAAAAGCGTGAAGAACGAAAATATTTTGCTTATGTGCGGACAGACTGAAATTCCTTTTTTTTATCTGTTAAAAAAAAAAGAGAATGTTAAGTATATAGATACACAAGAATTAAGAACGGAAAAAGCGCGGGAAACGTTTAAAAAAGCGGGAGTGTTTTTTGATCTTCTTTAAATTAATTTTATTTTTAATTATATAAGGATTAGTCTTATTTATATATTGTGTATTAGATTGTATATATAATTGTATATTTTGTAGTAATAGTGTTTGTTGCTGTAAATATTGGTAAGTAAATTACCTATATTAATTAGACATTATGGATCCACCTATAGACCCTGGGGGGACAAACCCCCAGGTGTCTGCAAATATAACTATCCCATTTAATAATAGTTTTGATATATTGGGTGAATCTAGTATGGACACAGATGGTTCTAGCGTTGCAAGTTCTAAACGTAAGCGAGTACGTGGCGAACGTCGCATTTGCAAACATTGCAATAAAAAACGAAGGAGGCACACCAAAGGTCTCGAATCTAAAATTAAAGATAGTGATTGTCAATGTATTGAGGATGAGAATCAAACTCAAGTATCAATACCAGTTGTAAATAATACCGAGTCTGTTAAACCTGCTTCTCCACCCAGTACTTTAAGCAGAACTTTGTACAATGCCGAGGATGTAGCTCCTTATGTCGTTCATGTACAAAAAAATGAAACACATCCTAATGATAACACTACATTACATCCTATTGCATTTGGTCGCTTTTTACACACTAATAAGATAAATAATATAGTGAATGGTAGCCTCAAAAGAATAGGAAGAAACCGTTTATCGCTTTCTTTCTCAAATTTTGAAAATGCAAATGCATTTTTAAATAATAGTCACTTAGAAACACATAATTTTAAGGCATTTATACCTTCTTTCCATGTAACCCGTATGGGAATTGTGAGGGGTATTCCTAAAGATTGGACAGAAGAGGAAGTAATCCAAAATATATCAGTACCTATAGGTTGTGGGAGAATTCTAAAAACCAGAAGAATTAAGAAAAAGACCATTAATGAAGGACAACCAGGTTTTATTAATACTGAAACCATTGTTATTACTTTTGATGGACAAATATTACCAAAAAGAGTATTTATGTTTTACACATCATTAACTGTAGATTTGTACATTTACCCCACTATCCAATGCTATAACTGCTGTAGGTTCGGACATGTCAAGATGCAGTGTCGTTCAAATCCTCGGTGTTATAAATGCAGGCAAAATCATACAGGTGATAAATGTGAAGTAGATGAGGAAAATGTTTCTTGTATCTTGTGTAATGGTTCTCATTCAGCAATTAGTAAGAAATGTCCTGAATATGCACGTCAGAAAGCCATTAAAGAAACAATGGCCCACAGTTGTGTTTCTTATGCTGAAGCATCAAAATTTCATCCTTCCACTTCTAAACTATATTCAGATGTATTAACATCATCATCTCTGTCTAATAAATCTCATTTTCAATCTTCTTTCCTCAAAGAGAAATCATCATTACCACATATTCAATCATCATATAAAAAAACAGTTACACTTAAACCACGCTCTCCTCAAAAAGCACAACAAGGATATGATCGTTCTGCCCATGAAGCCATAGTTAAGGAATATAATATTCCTGCTCCCTCTAATGGTTGTGCATTATCATCAAATAATATTGACAATAATCAATCCATCTTTGATATTATTCTCATGCTTATTAAAGTGTTATCGCAATCGAAAATGATACAAACAAATTTACCACCGTCCAACGATGCCATTTACAATGTATTTTCTCAATTATTAACTTCTCACAATGGATTACAAAGTCCTAATAATTCAGTGGAACTGTCGTAGCATAACAAACAAGAAATCAGACTTATTTTATTTGATTAATAAATATAATCCTTTTATAATAGCTCTCCAAGAGACTTGGTTAAAGCCAGGATATCCTTTTAGGATTTCAGGCTTTACAAGTCTCCGTGATGATAGAGCTGACGGATATGGCGGTGTTGCCATATTGGTCAAAAACTCCCTTCCTTTTTCTTCTTTTTCGCTTCCTGTATATAGCGGCATTAATGCAGCTGCTATAATTATAAATGGTATCTGTTTTGTTACTTTATATATTCCTGATCCTACATGCCAAATATATTCACAACTAGAACAATTATTTTCAATTTTACCTAAACCTTTTCTCGTAATGGGCGATTTTAATGCTCAACACCAATCGTGGGGCAGTTCTACTTCTAATTTTTATGGTGGAAAACTCCTGACGATAATTGACACTTACAACTTATGTATTATTAACTCAGATGTACCAACACGTAGAACTGCACCGAATGAAGGGTTTAGTGCTCCTGACATTTCAATATGTTCTTCTGATTTAGCTTCTTCACTGTCGTGGTATCCTCATTCCTCTACCTTCGGAAGCGATCACTTTCCCCTCATTCTTTCTTTTCCAATTTCCATTCCCTCAAGTCGAAAGAGTGGTCCTCGGCTTAAATATAATTTATCAAATGTAGACTGGAATATTTACAAACAATATTTAGATAATAAAATATCGGAGTTACCTATTGTTTACCATGGAAATGAACATCAATGTTGTAATGACTTGATGATAAATATGAAGGAGGTTGCTGATTTATTATTTCCTGTTAAAAATAGTGCTTCAGGGAAAATTCCCTCGCCACCTTGGTGGGACAAAGATTGTACGGAAGCAATTAAAAATCGTAAAGAGGCTGAAAAAAATTATAATAATTACATGACACCAGAAAATTTTGAAATTTACACCGCAGTTTCACGTTCTACTCGAAAACTACTGAAAAAAAAGAAATTAGAAGGCTGGAGAAGATTTTGTTCTTCTATCTGTCCAGAAGTTAATTCATCAGTCGTTTGGAATAATATTAAAAGATTCAGATCTGCCTTTAGTGATCATACATCACGTTCTGCACTCGATTTAACTTTAGCGAATAAATTTTTAGATCGCCTTGCTCCTAGTTATGTGCCGGAATGCCTTTACAATATTTCTCTATCCGTCTCTGACGAATTATTCGAACTTGACTCTCCTTTTACTCTAGTAGAACTTAAAGGTGTTCTAGCTTCTATTAAAGACTCTGCACCGGGAGAAGACGGTATACCGTATTCCTTTTTTAAAAATGCTAGCGATGCGACATTAATTTACTTTTTAAATATAATTAATTCCATAATTATTTCGGGAAATATACCTACTTCATGGAAGTCTCAGATTATTATACCATTTCTAAAGCCTCATAAACCACCTTCTGAACCATCTTCATACCGCCCTGTTGCACTTTCCTCTGTCTTACTAAAGCTAGCTGAACATTTAGTGAAAAACCGTCTAGAATGGTTTTTAGAAAGTAATAACTTACTATCCCCGAACCAGTTTGGTTTTAGGAAAGGTAAGAGCACCTTAGATAATGTGAGCATTCTTATTTCAGATATTCATATAGCTTTCTCACAAAATTTGTCAATCCTCTCAGCCTTTTTAGATATAAATTCTGCCTATGATAATGTAATAATTTCTATTTTAAAAACTAAATTACAAGCTCTAAATGTACCGGTAATGCTTTCTAATTTCATTATTAATATTTTATCAGAAAGAACAATATATATGAATTTAGATGAAGATACCAAATTATCTAGAACAGTATGGAAAGGCCTTCCACAAGGATCTGTTCTCAGTCCAATCTTATTTAACATATACACATACGATCTAGAATTATTCCTTGATAAATCCGTCAAAATTTTACAATATGCTGATGATCTTTTATTATATTTTATTGCGAAGTCCATAGAATCTGCTTCTGCCAAATTATCTGATTCATTAGATTTGTTAAAAACGTGGTTAGATGCAAATGGTCTTAATCTTTCTGTAACCAAGAGTAGTGTAGTTTTGTTTTCAAGAATGAGATCACCGCAACAAATTAAGGTGCTTTATGATAACTCATACATTCCTATAAAGACTGAAATTAAATTTTTAGGTATCGTGCTAGATAATAAATTAACAGGTCTGTCCCACTGTAATTATATTTCTACGAAATGTGAGCGTAACCTCAACATTCTTAGGTGCCTTGCTGGAGTTTGGTGGGGAGCACATCCCGTTTCACTAAAACTTGCTTATAATGGTCTTATAAGGAGTGTCATTGATTATGGAACTTTTTTGTTAGCTCCAGGAAGTTCATTTGCTTTTAAGAAATTGGATTTAATTCAATCAAAGGCCTTGAGGATTATCTCTGGAGCAATGAAATCAAGTCCAATCAATGCTTTACAGCTCGAAGTCGGTGATCCACCTTTGGTTTTAAGAAGGCAATATCTATCTGATCGCTTCTTTTTTCGTTGTTTACAATTATCTGATCATCCGCTTATTCAAAAGTTATCTCAACTACATATCTTTATTTCGTCTTCATCTTATTGGAAACATAAAAAACCTCCATGTTTAATACAAAGTTATGAAAAATATAAATCCATAGAA